TTGGGAGGAGAGGGTTTGGGAGGAGAGGGTTTGGGAGGAGAGGGTTTGGGAGAAGAGGCATTCTAGAAAGAGTCTGCAGGAAAAGACTCGATAGGATCTGTGGAAGAAGAAGGTTTGGGAGAATATCAGCCTGTGGAACTTCGATGAAGGCTATTGGGAAGACAAGCTTGGGGATGAGGGTTTGCAGCTCTGGAGAGGGCGAGGTTGGGGAAGGTTGCACTTCTCGAGGGGACGAGGTGCCAGTCCTGGGCTGGGAATGTCCTTGGCCAAGTTCGATTGCTCTTCAAGACATAACCTCCAACCTATCACCCTCGACTCCCGACCCGCCGAACTCAATCCCATCGATCCACTACCCCTAAACCTTAAGAAACTCCACGATGACCAATAGACCAACCTCAGCCTCGCCAAATCCAAAGCTAACGCTAAAGGCCAAGCCAAAAACAAACCCCCCACGACTTTCGTCAACCCGGATATCAGCAATCCGCAGCGGATGGCCACTAATGAGCATCCGATCAGGGCGGATCCGGCGGCGAAGTAATCGACAGCGCTTGACTTCCAGAAGGAAAAGATTCGTGCGGTCCGCCCGCCAACCATATGTTTGGCACCATCCAAAGCCTTGAGCGGAAGATACCAACCTCCAGATACTCGAGCACCTTCGCCGCGGTAGCGACTCCGGTGGCCCCACGGTATAGTCGACAGAACGGAATCCCATTAGCAGCCCACTGACGCTAGAACCAGTCCTCCCCTCATGGTGCCGAAAAGTAAAGCGTACCGTAGATGACTACATACCCCGTGGATCATCCTCCAAAACCGGCCTTCCGTTCTCCTGACTTCCGTCCTCAACTGGGAGATTTCCCCAGGCCGTTCTCCTCCCATCCCAACCGTCCAATCTACATCATCCCTCCATACACCTCCATCCCAAATCCTAACACTCAATCCCAAACCATCGACCGGCATAGAGCATCCATCCACTATCAACGTCGATACGCCTGAATCCCATCAACGGCCGTTTCATTTCGCACCCCGTTGGGTTTCAAAACGCAGGGGCGTACAAATCGCACGAATCGTATCTACGGGTTCAGTACTAGAATACCAGACTATCGTCGATGAGGAGATTATACGAGGAGCCTCGATTCGAAAGATGTGGACGGTTAACCCCGTTCTGTCTGGAAAGATCGGATGGATAATCGAGAGAATGGAATTGCTAGCGACGGCAGTTGGTTGCAGGAGTGAACGAGGTTTGCGTGTTTCATCTTCATCTTTAGGACCCCTCCGTGTTGGAGTATACCGCGTCCTTCGCCGCAAGGGACGGAACACCACCGACGATTGAGCTGTTATCATTCGCTCTCGGGGTTGTTAGTCGGGCGGGGCGTGGTTGAAGGCCTAGCCTGGCTTAAAGATAGGAGATGGCATTATATTCGCATCGCCGCCGTACGGATTCAGTACATCCTCGAAAGCTCCGTAGTTTCCTTCCCAGTGGCTCTGAGGTAGACCAACTCCAGGCCTTCTGAATCTGCTCCATCCAATTGACCAGGCCGGCGCTGTCCTCCTCACTCGTAGTCTCTGGGGATATGTCGATTCGAACTGGAATTCGCATCGACAAAGCTCCGTTTCTGGAGGGGTTGACAATCCACGAGAATGATTGCACTCGAGAGACATGATGAGGCATCGATCGGACCGCCGCTGAAGTTGGACGATGAAACGAATGGTCCAACGGAGACACTCATGATCGCTGATGCTGGGAATTGTGACACTGTAGGTGGTGATTGACTGGATCGGTGAGCAGTCGACATCGCTTTCCGAGGACAGATTCTCCTCCGGTCGGTTGCTGATGAAAGCGATAAGTCTGAATGCTTGCAATCTGGCAGCTCTTGGACAACATCGATTCAAATCCATACGTTGAATGAAGGGGTTTGGTGCAATTTCTCGCCGTTTGAAGGCTTGAAGAGACTTGGAGAAGGTTTGATGTTCTCGATACGTCCTCCTACTTGCCCAATCTGACGGTGATACAGCTTCCGCGTGATACTGACCCCAAGCAACTCTCTCATGCCACGCACGTTCGCGATCAAGGGCGCTGAGGAATGATGCTCGCTTTTCCTCGTGTGCGGCGGGGTGCTCCGTCGACGAGATGTTAACTTTCGCCGGCTACAATCAAAAGGAAGCGAGCTTGGAGGGATGCCCTTACCATCATGTCCACGGCCGTTGTCATCCTTGGAGCGACTCACGCCTGGGACGGCACAATTTGGAACTGTCTGCTCCTTCTGCGATCGATGCTCCGTATGGGAGTTGGGTTCGGAAATGACGGTGTCGGGGCTCAAGGATTGAGGAGAATTGGTCGCAGATGTGCGTGGTTGCTGGGAGTGACTATACGGGTGTGCCTCGATCGACATTGCGGACGAGATATCGTGAGCTTCGTGGGCAGCAGCTGGGGACGATTCTGGAAGAGACCGTGATACTGATGGTATGAACGTTGGGTATGCGAAAGAGCGTATCTGACGAGCGCTGGATGTGAAGTCGCAGGCCACGAGGTAGCTACCAGGTACCCAGCCAACTTCACCATCGCGCAGGCGTCGCACCCGCCGCTAGTCCATATCATCCGCGACCTTGTCGTTTCGATCAAGCATCATCAGGCGTTCGCCACGATGGACGCTGAGCAGGAGTTGGACTGTAGCGCACGAGCCTTGGCGAGCGTCGAAGTCGTCAACGTGGATGAGGATCGCGGATGGGCGTGAGGACGGGCTTGCAGTGCATCGACCTCGACAGGTCGCGGTAGATTCAGCAGAGATGGTGGCGTTTGGGTTGGCGGAGATTGCTCGGCTTGCGTATCTGGATATCCTGCGGCAGACCGTATTGGCTGGGTCCAAAGTGTCTCCCATGACGGGCGAGGAGTTGGGTCTGGATGGGGTGGAGCTTCGGTTTGTGGTTGACGAGCCAGACGCTGCTGTTGTAGCGGAGTACCCATCTGCTCTGCTGTTGGCCTGAATTGGGAAGGCATCGCGTGCTCTCACGCACGATCTGGTATTTCCTGTGGGTGTTGTTGTTGCTCAGCACCTTGAGCACCTACGACAAGTCGCCGCAGCTGATCTTGTCCAACATTTGCAGTACGCCGACGCAGTCTTTCCCGCTGTACCTCATCGATGCCGAGACGGGAGATGTCCAGGGTCGAGCGCGTTGGGGGCCATGTATCGCAGACAGAGCCAGGTCACCAGGATTCCACTTGCAAGATTGATCTCGTCCCATACTGCGTCAGCTTGCCATACCAGGCCCAGGCGGCGAGCATGGCCAATGTAAGCGTTTCCTTGCGTTCTGGAACATAGCTACAGAGGGCAGCCCAAGTTTTCGGAGTGCCGAGAGCAACCAGCAAGTGGGTAACGCGAGCGTTCTGCCCAGCGGCGAGAGTCGGTAAGGCCTTTATACGCGAGGCCTGGCAGGCGAGGGCGTCAGCTCGGGGAAAGGCAATGGGGGAGGAAGAATCCGCGCGGCTGCAGGACTGGAGTTTGGGTCAGCCGAGATGAAGCAAGGCAGAGCAGAGGGAGGGAATGGATGGTACATGAGGCCACGAATAGTAGTCGGATATTGTACACCGGGAAGCCTTCAATGTTAGCCGGTGGGATGGGGTTCCTCGATCTTGGGGGCTGTGTATGTCACGGTGGGAGAGGTGGGAGAGCGGTGGTCGAGGTCCATGGTTGCGGGAGTGGTGGGAGATGTTGAGGAGGTGCGTGGAGAATTGAGGCGGGTGTTGTCACGGGAGAGTTGGAGGGTGTTGTTGGTGGAGAAGACTCGGAGTGGATGCGGGGGGAGATGCTGGAGGATGCGGGTGGGTGTGGTTCTCGGCGTGGTTTTTGGGAGGGAGGCGAGTCTTTGATAGGGATTGATGAGGATTGATGGGGTTTGAAGAGGTTTGATGTGGTTTGATGGAGATTGATGAGGATGGATGGGGTGTTGATGGGGTTTGATGGGGTTTGATGGGTTTCTGGCCGCTGTTGATGGATTGTTGATCAGAGCTTAATCAAAAAACTGGCGGCGGAGCTCGGCCCAGCCCGCCGGATCTGGCTGACGTCAGCAGGAACCTCACCTCAGATCCCGTCACCAACTTCAACAACTCCACCTCACCTTGTCGTCCCAACTCCTCCCCGCCAGCAAGACCACCACCACCCCCCTCCCGCCGCGCAGCACACCGTCGCCAGCGATATGTCTACCCTCCGCTCGCGCCAAGACCTCACCACCGCCGCGGTGTCCTCCACCTCCTCGATCAGCGCCTTCGCGCGCCACGCTTCTCCCCCCGATTTGCGTCGACGAGGCGGTGTCCCACCGATGCAGATGCAAGCAATCTCAGAGTCGACAGTGCAGCGACGAGGAATACGGCGATGAAGAACTCAGCGATGAGGAATGGACCCAGTGGTGATGGTCGGGATGGAGAACAGAGCGGGCGACGCACGCTCGAGGATATGCGGGATGCATGCGGACGATGCGGTCTTGTTCCCTCAGGACCACCTTCCCGATCGCCGCCTTCTATTGTCAATGATGCCGCCGTCACCACCATGCCCTCCACACCCTTGGATGCAATCCGCCTGGTCCTGCGCGCCGCCAACCCCATTCTCATCCTACCGGTGCTGCTGGTCGCCGCCAAACCCTCTCACCCACGCCGGGCATGGTTCGCGCTGCTCACGCTGCTCTTCACCGTGACCTCAACTACGCTACATCTGCTCCACCGGGCAATTCCCTTTGGCCCCACTGAACCCCCAACATGCGATCGACCACTCTATCCCTCCTCCGTCGACGTCATCACTCGCCTCGTGTACCAGTGCTTCAACTACCACGAGCACTGCTACCATCTACAACGTCTGGGAGGAGACAGATCCGCCCTGGTGAGCTGGCTGCGAGCACTCCCCTTTCCCGCTGCTCCATCACAACAAGATGCGCACCCGTCAAGGACATGCAAACTTCGTTCGTCAACCTTCATTGCAGCGTCGACAGACATCGCAGACTTCACAGACCGCGGACATGGGTGGTAGTCCAGTGCCGCCGGACATGGAAGTGACCGGCGGCGAACTGCCAATGGCATGGAGACAGCATTTCGAACATGTCCAGACTGGAAGCCAACGAAGCGATGAGAGCAACGCATCTCGTCCGCCGCCTTCTCATTGGTCCTCTCCAGCAACATCAAGCCACGTTCTGCCGCTCCTCAAGCAGAGTCGGCGATCATTCCAAGGGTCAACCACCGAGTCTACCAATGGCGCGAGGATGCATGCCTGGATGATTTGGAGTTGCGCCAGCACGCCCAATGTCTGTGTCCTGGCAACTCTTGGATACTCCATCCGTCAGCACAAGTCGGCTTGTCCGCCGGGCGAAAGACTTTCCCCCTCACGATCTTCACCCGCTGATCCTACCGTGTTATGCGCCCCTGCGACTGCCTGTCCAAAAGGGTGGCCATCTGGCAACTCGCCATGTACGAGGATCTGGAGCCACTGCGTGGCGAATACGAGCAATTGACCAGTGTCATCATCCCGCAAGAGCTCGACCGCCTACGAGATTGCGAGAGATGCCTGGATGGCCAATAGCATCCCCATCGCCACCTGCAGCCTTTACTCAAACCAATTGCCGTCAATGGGCCGCCTCCCCGTCACCAGCTACAGTCTCGCTTTGCTGATAAGTGCTCGCACCCACGGGCCGCTTGCGCGGCCTCGCCATTACGCCGACGCCACCCCGTCTTTCCTCGGCCGCTTGAGTTCGTCACGCAACCCTGCAGGTTCGCTCCGTGATCCATCAATCGTTGACGAGTTGTACTCCCTCACCGTAGACACCGCTGACCTGGACAGGGAATGGTACGAGATTATGGAGTCCTTCACCGACCCAGGCGGAAGCTCGGTGTATCAAGATCCAGCGATGGCGTATGTTCACCAATCCTTCGCCAATGCCACGAACGACAGAACCATTCATCTGGCATGTGTTGGGGATGAACATTTCTGGCAACGCTATTGGAACGACTTGGGCCATGATCCACAATGATGCGAATGCAGGATGACCTTACCAGGGCGGCCTTGAGAAGGTTGTTCGTCAAGTCTTTCCCTGCAAACGTGTCTGTAGTACTCAAACTCAACGGCAAGGGATCCATCCCCTTTCCTTTCTCCCAGCTCCATTTCAAAACAACCTCTTCCTTCCTCGTTGCCATCCGGACTTTTTGCAGTAAATGCGATGGAGAGTTGCCTACAACATTCCACGGAACTCGAACTTCTCTCCCCCAGGACTCCTCGACCTCAACCACCTGGAAAGACTATCGCGAGGGTGGAGTTTCAGCACGAAAGTTCTTGTCGATAGCGCTGGGATTCGCCAGCTGCATCGTCATGGGAGCATCGCCTTTGCATCGAGGGCGCTCTTGCAGCTGCGCTTTTGGGTTTGTACGGAAGGGGAGTGCGCTTTGGTGCCGTCTGCCTTTCGGTCTGCCTCATCTTCGAGCGTGGAGTTATCTGTTTATCAATTTGGAGTGGACATGTCAGCGCGGCTCTTCGAATATGCAGACCATCTCGTCTTTTCGGTCCAGGATGTTCAATACGATCTACTCTCTTGCGAATAAGCTCGACCTCCTCGACGCAGCATCTCGAGATTCCTAGAAGGCTTTCAGCTTTATATGTCAGACTTCATCTTGTCCAGGTCTACCATCCTCCCGGCTCTGAGCACACGAGGGCACGGATTTTACTGTTCTCGAATGGGCGTTGTCCTCGCCCCTCGAGAAACAGGCGTAGAGACAGAATGTAAGCAGAGGTGAATCCTCAAGACGTAGAATGACAGAGATCGACGGGGATATGTGCCATGAAAAGATCTCCTTCGTTAACGATGATGGCCGGACCGTCGATCCCCGCCGAGCTGGATTGGATGGGAGAAGCCTGGCGAAGGGAGGAAGCTTCGATGTTGTCGACGCTTTACCTCACGATATTTACTCTACCGATGTCGGTTCTGGACAGCATTACAGGAGATGGATGGATGGGCGCTGATGTACTTCGACGGAGTACGTCGAACCCGGCTCCAAGCCATCATAGCAGGTCTGTATCAGCTACATTGCCTCAGCGCGCTGTCGACGTTCACTACATTCGCGTCGAGAGCAATCTTACTGCATGGATATGGCCACTTCAGCCACTGGTATTTCCTCCGAGCTCCATGCAGAGAGCCAGCATGAGTTGTGCATGTGTACGAACATGTGGTAAGAACGATACCATGCTGACGACCACATCCCTCGCCATTAGCGGCCGGCGAATGATATGTCACTCATTGCGTCTCCAATCGAGCCTCTCCCTCCATCTCTATCATCGTCACCATGGCCCTCGTAAACCCCACGGCTCACATGAGCCGCCTCTCTTAAACCCTCGAACACCCGCTCCCGCCCCACCATTGAACTGGAGGCTACGATCGTTCGGACATTCAAGATCACTCTCGACGATGGTCGGACGTTGAAGCTACTCAACTCCAATTTATACATGGCTCCCCGTGTGCAAGAGGCGTTGAGGAACGGCGGGAAGGCTGAGGATAGCGCGGGTGCGAATGGGACGTGCGTTGGGGAGATTGTGGAGGTTTTGGAAATGGCGGGCAGTCTAAAAGAGGGAAGGATGACGAATGTGAATGTGATTGATCAATTAGAAGGAAACATCGCAAACGGATGTGAATGTGATCAGTTAGAACGAAGCATCGAAGACAGATACGAAGACTTATAACCCCTATTGACCTCTTACAATACCATATCACTCACCATCCCCCATCTACTAGACCCGTCCGCCATCCATTACTACGATTGTCCGATCTCTACTCTCCATCTCATCCAATTCAAGACAACGATCACGTCGAGGGAATAATCCGTCGCCCAACATCAAGCTAGCGAGCAAATAGAAAGACCGAGCGCGGAGAACAGAACAGGTGCTGCAAGCCAACGAGAGGAGAAGACGAGGACTGCATTCAAGAAGCTAGAGTATCGAGCCAAGCCGGGTCGTGATGGCCGAGGTAGGATGCGAGGAGGAGCAGATGGGAAGAGTAAGGATGCCATGCGGGAACGATGAACCGCGATGCAGATGTGAAGGAGTAGGGCGAGTAGGCGGCGAGGGATGAAGAGGAGACGCTAATGTTTGAAGCTGCTAAACACCATCATTAATTTAGCACGTGTTGCACGGCAGCAGGGCGATTCTCTGCGGATGTTGATCTCAGCGATTTCTCGCTTGGTTCGTGAGCGCTCTACTGTACGTGATGAGATTGTGAGGGCAACTGAGAGATTTGTTCATAAGGGGATAGCCGTCGATGGGCGACGACACGACGGAATGGGCAGCTTGAAGACGAATTCAAGTGATAGTCACAAACGATTCGAAGGCCAGCGGCGAAAGAAAACAAACCCGTCTCGAAAACGGGGAGTCTTCAAGAAGAGAGCTATCCTCCAACTGCAATGAATGATCCGAATCGATTCATCAACTTCCTTAGCGAACAATTCATCAACTCCCCGCGATCAAATCCACTAAGTAGCCCCTTTGATATCTGGTCTGAAAGTGCTGGGTCATGTCAATTCCTTCTGAATCTTGTTTTTGTTGTTGGCGTGGCGAGGAACTGCTGAGTTTCTCCCGCCTTCTTCTCACCGTTCGTCTTCGAGAACGTAATCGCCAAAACCACAGAATCGTCTGAGGTGACGGGCTGTTTATTAGCGCCGTTGTGGGGCAGATATCGCCGGCGGGTCTGAAAGTGCTGGGTCATAGTCACTATGGTCGTTCGATTCGATGGGAACTGCTGCGAATCTTTGCCAGGCGTACCGCTCGCCGGAAGGATAGGATAGGCGTCTCCAGTGCCTTCCTTCGAGGCTTCGGGCGGCTCAAATATCTCGTCATCATGCACAGGCTCGACCTCCGCATGGCTAGCGTTCTTGGGCCCTAGGATCTCGATAGCAGACTCTTCATCGCTAACCGGTTCTTTCTTGATCTTTCGAGACACGGCTGTTCCAAGAACCAGACTAGCCATCGCCAGACTGGTCATCGCCGACCAGATCTTTCTTGATCGTTGAGGCACGGGGTTTCTTGAGAACAGTCTACGATCGAGTCTTTCTTGATCCTTGAGGTTCGGGGTGTCCTGATATTTGAGGCGCGGGGCTGTCTCGACAACGTAATTATCGCCAAATGGCTCTTTCTTGATCTTTGAGGCATGGTTGTTTCGACAACGGCCTGGTCCTGTTCATTCTTGATCTTTGAAGCACGGGTGTTTCGAGGACAGAAGCACCATCGCTGACCGGCTTTTTCTTGACTTGTGAGACAGACCGCTGGAATCTTCATCGCTGACCGTTCTTTCTTGATCCTTGAGGCCCGGGGTGTCTTGACAGCGGACGGCTCGTCGTGTTCTCTGTTGATCCGTGAGGCACGGAGTGGTGTCTCGACAACCTCAGCATCGCTGAACCGTTCTTTCTTTTTCTTCGGACATAGAACTGTCTCGAACGCACCGAGACTCGTCATCGCTGACCGGTTCTTTCTTGATATTCGACGCACGTAATCTCTCGTTAGTAGACAAGCTCGTCGTGTTCTTTCTTCATTTTTACCGCACAGGGTGGTGTATTGGCAAAACAAGCTCGTCATGCTCTTTCTTAATCCTCGAGGCACGGGATTTCTTGACAGCAGACGGGCTTGTCATGTTCTTTCTTGATCCTCCAGGCAATTGGCGTCTCGAGAACAGAGTTGTCATCGCTGGCCGGTTCTTTCTTGGTCTTTGAAACCCAGGGTGTCGTGTCTCGAACGCACAAAACCTCTTCATCTCTGACCAGCTCTTTCTTGATCCTCGAGGCACGGGGTGTCTCGAACGTACGGAGACTCTGCAATTTGCCGAGTCACTTGCTAACAATACGGCACATCTTCGCTTGCGGTCTGCCTTGCTCGTGAACCCTCCGCCCAAGAGGCTGAAGGAGGTAGTTACATTGCCGCCTTCGATGTTCGTCTTCATTGGTTCGGACGTTGGCGTGGCAAGCATGGCCTGCTCTGCTGCCTCTTCTTCTTGTTTCCTTGGTTCGGTAGACCAAATCCATCCTTGTTCTGTGCCCAACCTTCTTCCGACAGCTCCGACTTGTCCAGATTTCTTATCTTCCACGCCTTCTGGCTCTCGTCCAGATGGCTCGTTTCCACGTCCATTTCCATCTTCCCCCCAACAGGCTTCCGCTGCTCGCCTCGGAAAACACCAGACGATGCGAAGGTCGACGGGGTCTTGGGACTGCTTGGAAATGCCGAAATAATACGAGGTGAGGCAATGATAGCCTCTGCCGAGCCGTAGGTTGGGATTTGCTCGATTGCAAGGGCTGGTGATGTAAGATGGTGGGTGGTTATGCTAATGCGTGCCGAGCGGCGGGTCTTGCTGGTGGGAGAGGTTGAGTTGAGATTGGGCTATGATGCGATTCCATGGCCAAAGAAAGGCCAGACGTGGGTTTAGTAAAGGGTTCTCGGTTGGAGTAGAAGGGCGAAGAGGAAGAGGGGGAGGAAGCGTGGGGAACTGTAACGGAAGGTGTTTCCCTTCCTGCCAAGTTGGCAAAAGCCGCAGCCACACGATCAAAGATGTCTTGGAGGCAATTCTCCCGTTCTGACCTGGTGTGGAGGTCGGCGAGACCAACGACGGTCCATGGCCGAGATTCCCTGCAAGCTGATCTGAAAGTCTTGTCTCAGCCATCTTCAACATTACAGGTTGTCTGGCCGGTCAAGCAGCATCCTCCAGCATCCTGCAACTTCTTCAAAGACTTCATCTCAATCGTTTTCGACGTCACTGAGACGGCATCCATCGTTCCCCGACCGTTTCCTTTTAGCAGCAGTGTTCAACACCACCACAAATAGTTCTCCTTGGACATTCTGCACCCCAGTAGTGGCGTATGGTAAAACACCATCATTTTCATTTCATTCTCTCCAACCCCTGACAGGCATAAGCTTATCAACCATGCTACTACCGGGCTGCTTAACCCCTCACGCAGCTATGATATGGTCGCTAGGACGCCCGTCGTAGATCGTCCACGAGAGCACGGAAGATTGAAGAGTCTTGCAGAACAGCAGACAAGAAGGGATGATCAATGAAGCGAACGACAAGGTCATAGCTTACCTTCTCCTTCATTCAATCGTCATGGACTCTCGACGTACGTCTCGAGATCCACCTATCAAATCCATCGAGTCTCCGAGCCCTCGAAGCCAAATTACCGCAATATCACCTTCCCCAAACACTATCATCCGTCCGGCAGCGTAGCTTAAAACACCGTCCGCAGCATTGTCCGAAGCGTAGCATGATAAGTCGGTTGTGTTGAACGGTCCCGAGCTCAAGATTGAGAGGATATCTAGGTTGTCGAGATTGAACGGTGACCGGGAATGCCGTGTTTTGTACTGCGTAGGACTTGTAATAGCTGGTCGTTCTGGAGTGATAAGCCTGGATGCAGGATCTTGGTGGTGAGACGCATCTTCTGGCACTTGAACGGTTATGGTTCGAATGGCTGCTCCGTACTGTTCGCCCTCTTATTGAGTGCCTCCTGGGCCACGGACAATGCTTTTGGAAGCCCTGAGATCAAAGATGTCTGAGCTACCTCTTCTCTGACGGCAACACCCCAGCCCAGGTGTTTCCATTGGAATTGGGTTTGTTGCGATACAGTCCTGTACATCCTTTCTGAGAAGCATTAAAACCGCCCAGCAGCTACGGCGGAAAGCCATAGTGTGTTCTGGAATCTAGATCGAAGCCTACAGCCTACCCGCCCATCAACGTTTGAGTGCGTCTGCAAGTCCAAGGTTCCGCTCACAAAGATCATCTAAAACGAGCCTGAAAGTCTCGCCGTCGATTGGATGCTGCGCATCTTGAAATCGATGTTGGTGGTCGGGGCACGGCTCTCGAAGTAATTCTTGTCGTGGATGAAGTCAAGGAGCCGGCAGCGCTCTCGATCGACCAATCATTCGATAAGCATGGGCTTGAAGGGGTACTCGCATTTGGGGTTTATGGTTCCTGTGAAGGTTATGGTGATAACACTCCTCGTACTTTGCGGCAAAGGTTGTTGGTGTCGAGGGCAGTGGCGAGAGTTCCAGAGCTGACGATTTGAAGGAGGTATCCCAGGCACGAGAGAATCTGCGCAATGGAGATGCGGTTGTCGCATACATTTGCTCGAGGAGTCGAACGCTTTTGAGGTTCGCGAAAGAACTTTTACCTTGCGAATGCCACATCAAGCAGTAAGTTGAACAGGACAAGTCTGCGAAGCGAGATATTGATCCGGGCTGAATTACATACTCTTTCAAAGAGCATCGTTCTTGTCCTCGGCAGATCTGCACGGCTTGGAGCCGAGGCTCACTCAGTGAAGTGGAGAAGAGCTCGGCGGCGGAATCGAAGGGCGCAGAAAATGATGGCGAAGAAGAGAGTCGAACTGAAGCGAAGTTTGTTGAAGCGTTGACTGTGGCTGCATATCAAACGAGGGCGAAGAATGATGAATAGAGCCTTGTGGAGATACCCAGATGGTTCAAACACAGCTATTCGACGGATAACATGTTGTTGATGAACCAAGATCAAATTTCTGGCATGAATGTGTGTGTCCCGTTAGTCCCAACCAGATTGTCTCTGGCTGGGTCTTGGTCTCCAGCGAGCATTCAACTTGGACTGGTCCTGCATTACGGACCCAATCTCCCTGTCAGCCATCAGCCACTGCCTCGCAAGCATTGCTGTTCGTCATGTGCAAAGGTGGCGGGCAAGGTTGCAAGCATAAGTTGAATCACAACGGTCACATAGCATATTGATGTGTCATTCTTCACAGTGTCCGATCGTGTCTCAGCCCTGTAGCACGTGTATGCCCTCGTTCCACCCATTCCGGCCTCGCCTTCAACCGTCTTCTCCACGAGGACGTCTTGCTGACGCACCATACCGCCAAATTCATACGACCGAGGTGGATCCAGAGTCAGGGTGCTCAATCGGCACGGCAGGGTCAAGATCTTCGAAGGCGGCGTAGGAGATACAAGGACTTCGATCGTGATGCTTCCGCGCCACGCAATCAAATCTCATGCCCAAAGGTATCCATGGTGTTGCATTCGGCATCAACCCCTCCCTCGTCGTAGCAGCTGGAGTCGAGAAGACCGTACTTGTCCTGAAAGATGTTTCACAAAGAAAGGCAGCGACTTTTTGCCGGCGTGAAGCGTCGCTCACCTCGCTCAGATCGTTGCCGCATCGTCGAATGTAGAAGTCTTTGGCGTTCTCGAGCCGGTGGAAGGACTGAGCGTCTTCTGTATTCGAAATGCCCCAGACTCTACGCTGCTCAAAATGTTGTCTTCGATCTTCTTCAAGTCTGCATTCGATGCCTCGCGTGAGTCGTCAAATACATGCCCACAACAGTGCTTTCCTGAATCTCCATGACGAATTATCGCGATTGAGATTGTGCCAGTGTTCATTCGCGGTCTGGTTGCCAAGGTGGGAACGCGAGAGGGATCTGGTCCTTGTATGACGCCGCCATCTCCTTCGGCTGTCTGGGTGTATTTGTTGACGAGGTCCTGGTGTTGGTCGTTGGTCAGCACGACATCTACCAGATACAGCAGGTCAACTGCATCCAGCTCGGGTGATGGTGAGGGCCGTCGAAATCTGGTCTGCGCCTTCTTCTTTACTGTCGCTTTCTTCTTGGGAGAGGTAACTCCCCCGGGGATGAAGACTCCAGCAGCTCGTGACTCTCGCCCTCGTTCTCCAGCTCAGGGGACCGGAGGAGAATGTTCGGCGTTGCTCCTCTTCCAGCCCTGGCTCGATGGATGCCTCTTCTTTGCTTTCTGAACCGGAATCCTCCTTGTTCGTGGTTGAGTGTGATGGAGAATCTTCTGGTGAGATCGGTGTTTGCTTGAGCACAAGATAGGCTTGACTTGAAAGAGATTTCGCACCGTGAGATGCCTATCGCCAGACGTCGTACGTCGTTGAAAGCATTCGGGTCAGTGAGGAAGCTCTCGTCGCCGGAAAAGTGCCCGTGACGGGCATTGAATGTAAGCAAGATGTGTACACTACCCACAAGGACTTTTATTGCGTTGCAGTAACTCGTTAAGCAAGTTGTTGAAGACATTCACCCCGGTGACGTTGCCGGCGTGTGCCTTCTCCATCTCAAAGCTCCCGCAACCAACAATAAGGTTCGTGTAAGGGTTTGCGAATCTTACGGCCGTCGAAGATCTCGCGGGGAAAGGAAGAGACGAGTTGGAAGGCCTTTGACACGGCGACGTAGTTGTCGCTTTTCAGTGAAGCTCTTAAGTCGAGATGCCTTCGACATTGCCGAAGTGATGGATGCTGTCCGAAGGTGGGGGAGTAGGGCCGCGACGGTCTTGATGTAGCATGTGTAGTCTGTTAGCGGCACGGCACGGTCCATGCGGTTCGGATGTTGCTCCGGCGTTGGCTGTGGAGGCAGGGTAGCCGACAGTCCCAACAACATCCACCATAGATTGTGGCACGACTCTCCGGAATCACACCCTTCTCAGTCGGTCCACTGCAACGCTTCACACGAATCAGCGACCTCCAACACCAAGTCGAACGCTGCACATCCCGACCAGAAACCAGCCAAGACGTCCGCCATGCCCCCACGTACAGAAGTCTACGAGTCCTCCCTTCCAAAAGCGTCCTCCCACCCAAAAGCGTCCCCCTCTGGAAGTCGGTACAAGTCGAGACTTCACGGACAGAGACGGCCGACTCACCTGTTACCACACGAACCGGCAGTCCAAGCCAGGAGCTTGTCGCCGATGACCTACCTGCTGCCCCTCGAGAGGAAGAGCAGGAGGGGAAGCTCAAGAAACTCAGCTTGTCACGACAGTCGGCCCTCGACGCTGAGCAGCAACTGGACCGCGGGAAGATGAGAACAAATCCTTGACATGGGATGTCGCATCCGCAATGAAGATGACAGAAGAAGGAAGGGGAGAAAGAGAGCAGGAGGCAGAGGTGATGAAAGAGACAGGCATCGTTTGGCATGAAGAAGGCAGACCACTTGCAGGATAATGGAGAGTTGCAGCATGAGTGTTCCGTAAAGGAGGGTCATCGCCTGGGCCGAGGAAAACGACAAGGAGTCAATCAGCTTGGGAAGAGATGAGCGGACTCACGCTGAGAATGAGAGTGAACGTTTGGGATAAAGTGCGTCAGATGCAATCAAAGAACCGACTTGAGGAGCCTCGACCACCCCAATGCTGCGTCTTTTCCATCAGTTTCCTCTGGTGGGACCTCCCGCACCCAGCCCGTCTTCACATCGCGCACCTCGGGCAGAAATCATCATCGCCTGAACCTCGCCAATCACCTCTTGAGCCGTAGAGACGACTGGTCGTGGGCAGCGGCCTATGGGTTCGAGAAGGTAGTTAATCAAGCCTGGGGACAGTTGTTGATCACAATGGTTTGAGCAAGTGTCATGCGGCCGAGGGACTCGGGGAGTATGTCTTTCCAAAGCTGTGAGAAGTCGCAAAAGAACGGATTTTATGCGTTTGGTGTGACGTGCATCCGTTTCTAGGCAGTATTGATAGCAATTCAATACATCTAACCACCTGTATTCTTGTCTGTGGCGTGAGACGCTATGACAGAGTCGCTCAATGTTACTCTGATGCCTTCCACATATCTTGCGAATGGCATCGCCCAGAGTGGTATGCACGTCAGCATCGATAGAGTCCACATTGTTGGCCGGGAGTGGAAGACTTGATTACTGGTGGATGAAATGCGCTGGCTAAATATCGACGACGCCTTTCAAGACAGCTATCAAGTGAAGTTGAGGCCTCTGGATGGCGCGCGGAGTCGAGTTCCAGGTCTGGCGCGTGTGAATTGTATGGACACTTGCAGGTCGGCGGATTCCGACCTCCAGCTGTCTCCCGCTTGCAGGGCAGAGGATGGAGACCGACGCTCTCGCACGGGCAGAGCAGAGGGTGGAGACCGACGCTCTCGCACGGGCAGAGCAGAGGGTGGAGACCGACGCTCTCGCGCTGGCAGAGCAGAGGGTGGAGACCGACGCTCTCGCGCTGGCAGAGCAGAGGGAGGAGACCGTCGGTCTCGCGCTGGCAGAGCAGAGGGAGGGGATCAGCGGCTTCACGCTAGCAGAGCAGAGGAAGGGGACCAGCGGCCTACCCCGCCTCCAGAGCAGAAGGAAGTCACACCAGCGGCCTCCTTTGCCTGCAGAGCAGTACACAAGTCACCCCCAACGGCCTCCAACGCACACATTGCAGCAGTACACAAAACATCCCCAAGAAGGCCGATCCCACGCACGCATTGCTGCAGCACACAAGCGCCCTCAAGAAGGACGAGACCGGCCACGCATCGCTGCAGCGCACAAGTGGCCCCAAGAAGGACGAGACCGCCCACGCATCGCTGCAGCGCACAATGGTGGTCAGTTTAGGTGGTGGGTAGAAGGACGAGACCGCGCGAGCAGCGCAGCAGCGCACAACGGTGGTCAGTTTAGGTGGTGGGTAGGAGGAAGAGATCGAGTACGCTTCACAAGCAGCACACAAGTGATCCTAGGGAGGACGAACGCACGATTCGCAGCAACAGACAAGTGACCCCAGGGAGGACGAACATACGCTTTCGCAGCAGCACACAAGTGTCCCCAGGGAGGACGAACATACGCTTTCGCAGCAGCGCACAGAGGTGGTCAGTTTAGGTGGTGGGTGGGAGGACGAGCGTATGCTTCGTAGCAGCACACAGAGGTGGTTTGATCGATGTCGTCTAAAGAACGCTGCGTTCGTGCGAAGATGCTCAGATGCTGTACCGTGCGCCGTCGCTCTCCTCGGCTCAACCCCTGTCGATGGAGGTCTCTTATCCGAACATGTCATGAACACGTATTGTGTCCCAGACGGCTCGGCAGACCACGCAAAATGTATCCATCGTTCTCTCACCAAGATCACCAACGAGCTGCCCTACCCACAAGACGGTACAGACGATCCCAGGACGATTATTCGATATGGCCGAGAACAAGGCAACACGATAGGTTCCACTGGACCGATCAGGCTGACCTTCCGAGGAAGAAAGAATCACAAATGGAATCGTGCCACCTCCAGCACGGTCCAGCATCACCATGTTGAAGTCATCAATCATGTTCAAAATTCTGTGCGACCAATCGACAAAGTGTCCCTGCCCGGAGAGAGAACGCTCCGCTTCCTCTCCCGATCAATACCATCATCGGGATTCATCAGCTCTTACATACCCGCTCATCATATTGGACCCCAAGTCATGACAGCATATGGAATGCTCGCCTTCAAGTCAGATGAAACTTCTACGATCCCCAGCGATATTGCCAAAGGTCCAGCGAGTCTGTGTGACCCTAGTCGCTCTCCCCATCGTTGAACAGATACGCCAAAGAGCATTTTGCGTGCCATCGTGGGGCTGATCATAAGAGATCAAATACGAAAGTTGCTCAAATGCCAGCGCCATCGCCCTGTCAACTTGCAAGATCGATATTGCTTGGAAGATTTGCATTCAGTCGGCTGAGGATGAGCAAAAACACGGCCAACAAGAAGCTCATCTCAACCCTGATTCATTCGTGGCGGCTGCGCCGACGAACTTTCAATGACGTGGGCCAGATAGAGGCTCACCCCTGGTCAAAGCCGGATGACTTCGATTCGTGAAGTCAGATTCTGAGTTGGAACTCTAGAAACGGTTCGGGTGTACGCTTGAGATGGCATCCGGGGAGAGAACGACGCAATCAAACCTCATCGCGGAGCATGATCGCAGTCAAAATGTAGGAGCTCGAGCTTGGCAATAATGAGAGCGTGAGCACGCATGCTTCCATCGAGAGAGCCACATCTATCCAGAGCTTGCTTCCCTGATGTAAGGAAATACCAGGACCGCAGAGTCGCTTTTGAGTCGCTGCCGAGCACACTCGGCGGTCTGATATCAACCCCTTAGTACAGGCTGCGTCAACATCATATGGATCGAGTCGGATCAGCAGGTTCGAAGGTCAGCTTGACATGAACACAAGTGCAGTAATACCTCGATGCCATCCCAGAACGAATCTTGCCACACTTTCTCACCTCGCCTCAAGAAATGTGCAGTTGACGTTCCCAGCCGACTCGGCCAATGGGGCAGCAGCAACGTCACAGCTGAATCGTGACAACCATATCCTTGCGGTTTGTGATTCTGGTTGAGATCTGGTGGCAGATCATATGGCGAGCAGCGCCGACGATGTTCAGCTCTCCCAACCCCGTCTTCGGTCAAGCAGCCTCCATGATGAGCCATGACAATGCCTAGCAGAGACGCTGCACAGAGACGCTGCACGGAGCTCCAAAGGTAAGTGCGTCGACGATAATGCTCAGAAGATGTGAAGCCACCAAACCATGTCGAAAGAATACAATCACTCCGCCCAGAGTCTGACGAAGTCGTGGCTGAGTTCTGAACACCACAATCTGTTCGAAACGTCATCGCTCGTGGCTTTCGCTGGTTCCAGAACAGGATCTTGCACGCCAGAGGGAAAGGTTACAAGTTGCACGAGAGCGAGCTCTTCACGCCGCTTGCGGAGGCTCAAGATCTGATTCATACGACCATGGCTTTGGGTATAGCGAATAGGGGCGGTAAGGTCGACCAGTTTAAGAAGAAGCCTGAGGGACCAAGACCAAACGGCTAGAAGAAGCATCCGCCGCAGACGACTCTTGAAGGTGCTGTAGACTGATCATTATCATAACAAGGACCAAAGCCCAAAGCCAACATACCAGGTCATCTCCCACACATCACCAATACAATCGCGAGTGGGATCCAAACCCATCCTCCACGCATCCTCAAGAGCAAGTCGTTTTCAAGTCCAAGGACCCGAGCCTTCATCTCGAGGTGGACGTACTCACGGGTCTGCCCATCAGATCGTTTCAACATCGCCTCGTTACATCAAACCCTCTCAACGCCACCTGAGGATAGGCGGATACGTTTTGTCTTGAGCTCTCTCAGTCTGAAATGACTCACGACGCAGCATCACATCTCAACATTTCGGTGTGCGGAGGGTTCAACATTGGTCCGTGAACAGAGCATCACGAATAGCCGCAGATCCAATCGAGAGCTGCCCATAGGCAGTGCTGCAAGACAGTTCTTTTGTTCATACAATGGCAGGGAAGGAGACGGAAGATGCACCTTGCATAGAAGAGGAGGATCTCTTCTTGTGAACATTTAGCCAAGACCCGCTGACCATGAGCATGAGCATGAGCATGAGCAGCAAAGGTGTGGCAATTGGCAGATCAAACTAACCCACCATTTCCCAAATCCTACCGGCTAATCCTGCCCGCCAATCCTGGCACTCTTGTCCACCGCTTTCATGGTCTGGAGAGCAGAGGTATCGAACTTGTGGGCAGATTGTGCTTGTTGGGATCTACGCACTTGCGTACCGCGATCCCCCAGCAGCTATTTTGATTATCCAAGTTCCAAAGCAGGATGAACTGGATCGAAGGCGATTGAACGCCGGTGTCGAGGCGGATTGCATGTCGTTTGCACATAATGTGTTGCAATGGTACCTGCGCCTTGAAGATTCTGGCCGCCATCTGACTCCTAAATCCTGGGTTTAGCGTTGTTAGCAGACCGATTGATGCATACGATCTTTTGGGCGATATCATCTATTATTTGCGGAAAGGCCAGCGGATATAAAGATTGTGTTGTCGTTGCACGAGCAGATTCGGGTTAAGTCTGTCTAAGTCGTCCTCGTTGGTGTTTACAAGCCACATAACTGCTTGGAAAATCCCTTCAGGGTGATCCATGGATGGCGATATTGATGTGAGCGACGCTGGAGTCGTAGGTTGTATAGAACGCCTGCAAACATCCCCACATCTCCGTTACTCACATGCCTTCCCAGCGGCTGAGGGTGCAACGAGCTGCTTGATGCCTGTGAGAAGGGATACATGTCTAATGACGCCCAATTGTTGACCCCCACTGGGAGAGCATAGTTGTGGTGATGGATTTCGAGCGTTCACCCTTCTCAAGGGCACCCACTTGTGACGAGGTTGGCGCTGGCGAGGACACTGCTTTTGAGCTCTCAGGTTCCAGCAACTCGTAGGAATTCTCGATCTAAATCTATGGCTACGGCAACTATATTGCTGTTGGAGCTATCTATCGGTTTCGATCTCTGGCTGCTAGACCGTTTCGAACGAGAGCGGCTCCATGTCCAGAAAAGTTGGCAGTCTTATCGCTGTGGACACCTCTGAGGTCAGGATTGAGCACAATATGATCCAACAACTTACTCATCGACTTGAGAAGATCATTATACTGATATACGATCTTCGCCCGCTCGCTCCAAGTTGCTTCTCGAATCGATCTTGACTCATTGTTCTTATCTCGGTATTTGAGACGAGCGAACGTCTACCAGAAGCTCCCCAACATGTAGCGTGCTCGACGTCTACTTTCAATATGTATCCACTACTGTGCCTGCTCTCCCTAAGGGAAGCACTGCTGCAGAGCCCGCTCCTCCATTGCGTGGAACATACATAGCAACAAGCGCGCTACAAACTCGTTCCTGGTCTTCGACGGGGTCAGTCCACTAACATCTTTGCCTCTCCCCTGACCTCTGCGTTATATGCAACTCTCCCAGCGCTTCCGTCTTGCATCCTTTTCGAACCTTGCTCATCTACCCCAATCCCTTCGGCTTGCATCGTTTGTTGAGGTCGACATTTATGTGAATCGATGAATCGGGAAGACAGCAGTGCTCCCTCTTATTTGATACAAATGTTAACTCTCCATTTCGTCCTCGCCCAGGGCGCCTGGTCAGGGCGAGCAACTTCATGGGGAGGGAGTTGGTCTCTGATTCCGCTGTCTTTTCGAGGTTGCTGTGTATGGGAAGATCGACGCATTCGCTTTGTGGATCATGGTCTCGCGGCAGGGTTGCAATCCGCGGCCGAATACGGAGGAGATGTTGAGGAATCTGGCACTGTATCGTAGGACAGAAGAACAACTGCTCTTCTGTGAGTTCGGGTTTCGTTGGAACGGCTTCCAGACTGCGTCTTCTGGGTCGAGATGTTTGGCGTGGATGTGTTGTTGAAAGAGGCACATGGTTTTTGGGTCCGTCTCGCCGGTCGCAGGAACCGATGACTATCAAGCAGCGGGAGAGGTTGTAGCAGAAAGCACACGGGTGTCGATGTAGCAGTTGCAGTAGTGGGGTGTTCGGGGTGTCGAGGGAGGTGAAGTCGTTCGACGGCCTTGGCGTTGGGTGGGGGATGGCAGCAACGCCTCCGCGCTTTCCTTCACATCATCTCCACCTCTTCATCCAACCTTCTCCAACCTCTCGAATCGCCACCTGAGCCACTACGCACGGCCAGGAAAGTCCAGCTCAAGCAGTTGCTGACCACTACCGAAGACGTGGACACGCCATCGACCGTTGACTAATCTCCATGTCCGACACGAAGCGCCGTCGCTCTCGCTATTTCAGCCAAGACAGGCGCAGCTCAACAATTACGCGCTGCTTGCGGAAACTCATCGAATCGCACGAAGAGACTGAAGACGAAGATGACAACAAGCGTGAAGAGCCCATCAAGCCAGAGCATGGCGAGCCAGGCTGCCTGCGAAAGCTCATCCAGCAGTGTGGAGAGAATGGAGACGAAGATGACAATGAGTTCGAGTAGGTCGTCGAGCAGAAGGCATGTCGAGTCAGAAAGCATGTCGAGCCAGAGAGCATGCCGAGCCAGAGAGCATGCCGAGCCAGACTGCCTGGCGCGGAGAGAATGAAGACGAAGATGACGATGATCACGAGTAGCTCATCTACGTCTCTTGACGACGACGAGGAGCATGAGCATGCCAGCGAAGACGAGGATGGCAATGAGCCCGAGGATAATGGGAACGCCGACGAAGACGAGGATGACAATGAGGTCCACGAGATCATCAGAGAAAGCATTGTCATTGATGGTGACAGTAAGGAGGACCAGGACGACGGCGGGGAGGAGGATGAGGACAACGACAATGGCCCTGATGCCATCTTCCTTGATGACGATGGTCCAGAGACCATTGCTATTGACGACGACAGCGACCCTGAAGGTGGTAACGCTCGCGGCTACAATACTGACACGAGTCTCGAGATAAGCCATGGGTTAGCTGTCGACGATGAACTTGGTGCCGAGAGCAACGACGAGCACTCGAAGAAGCTTCTCCAGCAGGCAAGGAAGCATACAACCCAGCTGTATTGCAGGTGCTGGGCAAGGGATGGAACAGGCAGAAGTACGAAGACGCAGATAGTCATTCATGGCAGAAAGATTGACATAAGGCCAGCCGATTCCATCCAGAGTGACATCCATATGCTGCAGGCAATATGTAAGTCTCACCCTATGCGCCTCAAAGCTCACCGAGGATATGCAGAGCAGCTGGCTAAGAAAGCATGACCTTCTCCTTCTGTGTTCACCCGATCGACCCAGTCGAGCAATGACGGACCTCCAGAAAAATCTCTGCAGCCCATCCGTGAAAGATATAGCAGTGCTCTGCCCTTGATGGCGTATACAATCCTTGCTCTTCTGACGAATGCCTGTCGAATGGAGCAGTCTTGCTCACTGTTCGGCTCATCTTGGTACCCTTTCCAGCATGCAACCTTGAGACCCGGCACTAAGATCCATAACCATCCTCAAGTCCGTAGATAATCGTGGATGCTGCCAAAGAGTACGACGAGGTTCTTACGTTCTCTCGAGCAACAACGCGTCTTTCTGGCTTGTACATCGAAGTTGCCGAGGGCGCTGAAATGGTCATTGTCGACGAGAGCGGTGTTTGCAAAAGAAGGTCCTAGTCCCTGACCTCCATAGCTCCTCAATTATGGCCGTGAATGTGTGTTGGCGTCGAAGGGGAAGGTGATCATCTGAACTACTTTGGGTATATCCTCTGCCGTTAATCAATCATGATATTTTTGACCTGCTTGATAAGGGAACTCGCTCGGTGAGCGGGTCTGTTTTGGTTGGCGGGTGAATTGATGAGGGCCGGGAAAGCGGGGACCGATCTTGCGGGGCTGGTGGACAGCTCTTTCACGATTGATTGGTGAGTAGAATCTCCCTATCTGGTAAAAGTGCCATCTAATGGCCGGAGGCTGTCCAACCTCACTTCATCAGAATGGGCTAAGAGAAATAATGGACGGCTGAAGAGGCACTCAACCAACTCGACAGCCACCTCGGGAAGTATGTTGTTGATGGCAATGCCCAGCTTCAGGTCCGTGAGCGATGCCAGTGCAAAGCCCACACAAAGCCGCTGCCAGAAAGAACAGCTACTAGTGCTAGACCGTCTCCGCCAACTGCGAACGAAGGCGCTGAATTTCTGCACCATTCAACAGATCATGGGGATTACGAGTTTTCTTTCAGATAGCTGCAATTGAGATCTCCTGAGAAGTCTCGTATCCTGAGGATTCCAGCAGAGCAGTGGCTTGTCGGATTGTCCACGGTGATCTCGCTTATTTTGAGGATTGCAAAGACTTCTGTGCTGTCAGAGACCATTTATCGACGACAGCTAGGAGGCTGATCTGGAAATTATTGTGGATATGATCCAGTCTTTCAACGACATGAGTTGAGGCGGCGGATGAGTTGAATTGTCACGCGAATAAAGGGATCTAGGAATATCCCGGAAAACGTGGGACTGCCAAGGACGACGAAGGTTCCTCAGCGACCGAAAAGCTATAGCATTGAGCAGCATATAAGCGACCGGGTGAGGTCTGGAAGGGCACCTGCCTCGACGACTTCGCGATCGCTGCAAAGGGTTTCCACGTTGTGGCGATTGAGACTACGCTGGACCACACTTTCGAAGTCACGGCCGTAAATGAGTCCTGTTCTTGGAGCAAAACGATAAATCGAACTTTGCAGGCTTCTTTCTTACTGGGATGGTCTACTCCATTGTTGTCCATGGCATCTAGCCACCCTGTCGAGCGGCAAGAAGAACGTGGGTGAAACGCAGCCATTCCTTACCGACCTCAACGACAATCTCAAGACCAAGAACATTGAAAGAGCGCTCGACAACAATTCCAAGACCAAGAAGGAATTGAAAGAGCGCTCTTCGTCCCTTGCTGATCTCAACAACACCACCCCTCGCTGACCTCGACCACAATGACAAGGCCGAGAGGCAACTGAAAGGGAGCCGCTCTCCAACCTCAACGATAGCCTCAAGACCAGGAAGCAATTTAAAGTGTGCTCTCGGCGAGAGGCAGTTGAAAAACCGCTCTCCGTCCCTCGCCAACCACATCCACGACAACCCCAAGATCAAAAAGCAATTGAAAGAGCGTTCTTCATCCCTCGCCGACCTGAACAATCGTCGAGAACCCCAAGACCAGGAAGCAATTGAAAAAAAGGCTCTCTAACACTCGTTGGCCTCAACAATAACCCTAAGACCAAGAAGCAATCGAAAGAGCGCTCCCGTTAAGAGACTCCTTGGAGCTCGTCTATCTGCGAAGACGACAAGCAGTTAGTCGATAACATGAGGAAAGACTCCAAGATTCCTGGATAGGAAATGCATGACGTCCAGGAGGGTCTTGTACGTCTCGCCATGTCGTGAAAATTCGGCAGCAACGAGTTTGGGAAAGTTGTCTGCTACGAGCTCGGTGTATACAGATTTTCGGCTTCGGTGTGATCTCAATGCTGTATGCATCTGCTCTAAACAGTTAATATGTTGGAGACGCTCGTACGGACGGGCTTTCACATCCATCTCCTAGTCCAAATCTATCCCTATTGCTTTACTGCTCTTCGTCATTTCTTATCCTCCTACTGGCGCTCCTCGGCAACGCCTAGGTATCTTCGTCCAGAACACTTCGACGTCCATCATTAGCTGTCCGAGTTCTAGTGCCGTTCTAGGCGTCTTCATACTCCAGAAGCTCACGATTCTCGGGGCTGTCCTCCTCCTAGTCCGGATGATCGCTCGGAAAGTTGTCGTTCTCATTCGGACTATAGCTAAAAATGTGCTCTTCCTGTCTAGGATTCCAAGCTCTCTCTCCCACGTAGTAAGTATAATCCTGTAAATGGTCTTTCACATCGTGATTATGACTCCGATAAGTCTCCACCACGGAGTGCGTACAATTCTTGCCATTCTCCAACAATCTGCTCTTGCGCGACAAGTCTGTTAGCATCGATCAATAGTCCGGCGTGGAGGACCGACATATTTATGCCGTCTTAAAGACCAGCTCAAACATCACTGCATAGTTTTTCAATGTCGGCGATAAACTTTCTAGACAATACTTAACTAATCTTTAGCTGTTTGTAGGGTCTCTATTCAACGATTCCGATAATAGATCGTTCTATATTCTTCTTAAGCTACTAAGCACACCATTCCGAAACAACCTCGTAGCTTGTAATGCATAACGGCGGACAAGATCCCAAGCCGTTCCCTAGGAAGACGACAGTCGCTACCGGGGGAATGAATCTGAAGTCAAGCTTGTATTATCTCACTCTCCTGCCGTAGTATTAGGAGAAATGGCTCTAGGATGGCGCCTTTTGGCGATTGATCACGCTTTGGAGAAGGAACCAGCTTTTGTGCTCTACTTGGTGTATATTGTTGACGAGAGATATCGCGAGAAACAGCTCCGCTAAGGCCGTCCTCCTGGATCCGACTCGCAGGATGACCTTTCTACACCACGACCCAGTCCCTCTTCCTCTCTCTGCTTTAAGACTTCGTCTAGTGCTTCATCAACTCTTCCGCGTTATACCCATCCGCGATTCCTTCGGTATATGGACTTAATCACGAGCAGGTTGATTCAACGCCCAAGTGGCTACGCACGTTCCCGGGACATGACTATCTGCTTGGTAGTTGGAGAAAGTAGGCGAAGAATCGCTATGCCGCAAGAACATGCACTCTTTTGAGGCGAATGGTGTATCGATCTTGTTCGGGCGTCCAACTACATTCTTGGCACGTTTGTTTCTCTCCCAGGCTTCAAAACATGTATTAGAAGCGTGCGACAGGGAGTCGGTCGTGCATGCAGATGCTGCATATCCAATCATAAGAGCACATGTCCTTGACCCCGAGCAACCTCTACCAACCGCCAAAGACCACAATTAGCAAATTCCCCCATCACATCCATCCTTAACAAACTCACTCGCAGCAAATCCAGCCACCTTCGCCGCCTCCTTCAAAGGCTAACATTCCCACCATGACAAGTTAATCACTCATCATCTTTCAACTCCTCAAAGCGCAGGAGGCTCCCTCGCTGACGAGACAAGACTTGCAGGCAGAACCTCACTGGATCAACCACTTCAAGACCCTCGGCCAGCGCCATAGCTTCAGGGCCCAAGACTTCAAGATAACAGCCTCGTCAACGGGTTGGAGAACCTAGGGTATACTCCTCAGCTCCCGCAGCCGTGTCGAAAACTTCCAGCTTCAAGATATGCTCTCGTCACCAAGAGTGATTAATGGTTGTCGAGCTGTACGTCCCATGGTCGCCCTTCCAGTCTTCGCAAGGACTCACATACCGACCCAGCCTCGCAGATTGCTCACCTCACCTCAGCGTATCCTCGTTGATCGTCCAGCTTCCGGGAAGGCATCAAAGTCGCTCCAGGCCAGTTCAACTGCAATGTTGGTTTCGATAGTCTCGTTCGTCGACGATATTATGTGGTAGCCTTGAGGTTCAAAGACTGCTTATGCGTGCTTGGAAATCCACCATCGCCGTACATTCTTGCCCGCCATCCTCCCACGGCCTAGGCATGAAGGTCCTTCCCCTTTGTTAGAATCTTTCACATCCACGTTCTGCAGCCTGAACGTCTCTCAGCATGCGCAAGTCCTTCACCTTCACATTCGCCTCCATCAACATCAACATAAACATCGTCCACATCCACGTCGATATGCACCATGCTCAACCCCGATGCATTCATAGTTTGTAGCGTTTGCTTCGTACCCACACATCTCTTGATAGAAGGCGCTGCTGCAGACTTACTCCACGGATCATGAAGAGGAGGAACGGGATCCCACCTACCTTGCCTTGCCGTTGCCCAAAGTCTGATATGTGAGAGTCGACGGTAGTGATTGTGGGCATGAAGACTCAGCCGACTGCTATGTCCAAGCCCATATCACTGGATTCTCCTCCACGATCCTTGACCATGATCAAGAACCACACATCCCAACATCTGTATGCCCTTGCCTCGTGCTTGTTGAGAACTCGAGTATATCCTGATGGATGGAGGTCGCTGCTGTCAGAAGAGATGGTGTGATTGAAATAGATCCAGGCTCGAATTATAGCTGCTTCGGTTCTGTACGGCGGCGGCGGTGAGGTCGGGTGGGAGAGTCGGTCTGTCTGTCTGTCGTAACTAAACGGACTGATTGCATTGATCTTCATCGCAGCGCCAACAGTTGCGAGACCGTTTAGTCTGTTCTTTCTCATCGACAGCTGTCGTACATCGTGACACCAGAACTGTCCTCGTACCCTCATCCCACGATTGCGCCCTTCGACTTCTCCTGACGCAACCGTCATCACGTGGACCTTTCGTAGAGATTTTCAGCGCCTTCTCCAAGACCCCTTGGATCAATCTCCAACTCCTCAAATACCCTCCGCCCAGATCTCCCACCCAAACCTCCCATCCTCCCCGACCCCATCCTCCCCAATCCCCATCCTCTCAATCTCCACATCCCACCACACGCAGAACCCGCGAAAGCACCTCGATCATAGTATTCACCAACACTAGCCTCGCTTCCCGATCCACCATCTCCTCGCAGGAGTCTTCAAAAGCACCAGCCAGCCGTGGCTCTCGTCGCCTTGAAACGCCGTCCACCGCTTCTGAAGAAGGCGAAGTATGCAGTCTGGCATGCGAAGTGCTAGAGATGCGAACGAGGTGATCTTAGATGGGTATCGAGGCCGGATTGATTAGCGAGGCGTTGGGTTTGGAATGGATGTTGATGTGCGTGCGAGTCTGGGGGCGGTGGGCAGTTCTAGAGGAGTGGGAATTTGAGGGATTAAAGTCTCACTAGAACGTCGGGCGTTCTGCGAGTGTTCAAGTACTGGATGAAGCTTCCGACCAGGGGGGAAGCGTCAAGGGCGAGATTAGGGTGGGACATGATGAGGCGCGGGTTTGGTTGCTGAGAGGGAACGCATCGCAGCCGCGACAGATGATGGTATGGAGAGAGACTGGTTATCATGAATGTGCATTAGCTTCTTCTGTACGAGCATTCCCGCAACTGTCGGTCTTGAAGATGGCTGGTACGCTTTGCAAAGTAGGGATACACTTAGCAAAAGGTACCATGGCCGTCCGTGTCCTCGTACAAGCACCTGGAACGTCCGTCGAAGAGCTCCCCCCATCGCATTCCCTCATACCTTATCTTCCGACATATCTACTTCATGACCCCTCCCGCATACTCTGTTTCGAGCCATAACCGATGGTTGCCTTCCTCTCTGCCTCATCCACCATCATTTCAGCGAAGAGACGAGGCACGGCCGGGCCTTCTACCCTTCGAGGTTGCTGCTCCAGGTGAGATATAAGGTTGCCTGGCTTGCCATGATCACAATCGAGGCGGTTTCGGAAGTCATCTCGTCGGCGACGGGAGACATCTACGCAGACATGCACGTCGTCCTTGGCTGGCTGACGAAGAGATCGGGTGCTGGACGTTGAGCAGTCCGAATGAGTTATACTGAAGAAGTTCCTCTCTCACAGGAGCTGGGAGCTAACGCCAGCCGTGGGTGCAGAGAGATGAACACCACTTCGGATGTGTTCTCCCTCCGTTGAATCACCCGGACAAGCTTTGGACGGCAGCTAAGAAGAGTCAGAGAGCTAGCACCGTCTTCGTCACCCTCAAGCACGACAGCGACATGTAGCACAGGGATTCTGAAGATACACCATCTCGTAGAAGCATACAAGAAGGGGAGTAGAGCCTGGATGCAGTTAAGAAGGTCATGGACCAACCTCAAAAGCGTAACGTGGACCTGGCCGAGATGGACATGCTGCTAAAAAAAATCGAGCAAAGTCTCAACGCATTGGAGTGTTTGAAGCTACAAAAGCCCATCTCGATGACTCTTAGCTTCATAGAGGCAAGAAACACACAAGCTGCGAGGATAGAAGGCTGACATCGCATGACATCTAAGAAGCAGGTCCTGCTGCTGCTGCTGCTTGCTTGCTTCGTGACAAAATTCGTACTACTATAGTCTCAAGCTCAAAATACTGACAGAATCTCTTCGAAGGAAGCCCTCGTAGAATCTCTCGCAAACCCTAGTCTTGGCTCCTTCCCATGAACAAAGACAACACCGTCGCCGACCTCGTAGTTGGTTTACCTGGTCACTCTCGCTCACCAAATCTCGACGCACCAAAAGCTCATATCCATCGAACCAAGCCGAAAAAGCGTTCCTCTAAGTCCTGCATACTTCCTCCAGCGGCATTAAACACCCTAAGCCTCGTCGCAAACGACTCAGCAAGATGTGGCGAACAACGATGATCATCTTCTGCCCCTTCCCCGGGTCCACTACTGTTTAAGAAGGCTGCCGTGGATGAGAACCGGATCCTGTGATGTGGTCTGAATCTCCAAGATGTACCGTGGATGTACATTACTGGCATACGCTGCAAGGAGCCGATTTGTTACGGCAGAGCTGATTGAGTAGAGACTTTTGTGTTGAATGCTCGCTGGCGCTGGTTTCCTCAATGCTCTTTCGTTTTCCCTTCAATCACGATCTTCTTCGTCTTTCTTGATAACTCGTGCAGTATTCCCTGACTGACACACTCTGTCTCGCAAGTCCTTGTGCTGATGTGATGCTTTTTCCTTCCACAACACCCTCCAGACGACCCCAACCTTCCTCCCCCCGCGGATCCCCTACTGCAATCCCGAGGCCCATCTAAAACTACAGAACTCCACCTCTACGCTCCCCCTTACCCTCCATCTATATCAACCAATCAACCAACCCCCAAAGTTGCATCCCAAATACACGTATCCCACAACTACCTCCCTATGCATCGACACAACTCTTCCTTCCTCCGTGAATCCGCTTCTACATTCTCCAGAACTATTAAGACCCAAACAACCCCACCTTCCCTCCCACCCTTCTACCCTCCCACTCTCACTTCGTCCACGTTGAACCAGCTAACCCACCCCCAACTTCGCCATGCAAAACCCCACCACCATCTCACTCTCCGGACGACACCCTCCTTTCTTCCTCCGCAAATCCCTTTCTGTAATCCCCAGACCATCAAAAATCACACAAAACCACCCCTCCCCCTCTCCCTCCATATTAACCCCCAACACCGTATCCTAAAACCGCCGCCTCCCTCTACGGACGACAGCAAACTTGCTCCCTCCAGGGATCCCCATCTCTGCACCAACCGCAATCCTCATACCTATCCAAAACTCCACAACCCCACCCTCCCCCTCCCTCTCAATGTCAACCCCTAGCACCGCATCCCGAAAACCTCATCATCGCTTACGTCTCCGCCACTTTCCACGCAGAATCCTCCAACCGGTGTCGAGAACCCTGGAGGTAACGGCCTCGCTTCTTCTTCTGGAAGGGATGGGTGCTGTGGGTCAATGTTTGGCGGGCTGGGGTGAAGAAGATGAAGGAGAAGGAAGAGGAGGAGGGGGAGCAGGAGTGGAGAATGGCGGACGCTGGTGCGAGTACGGGGAGGTGATGGTGAGGAGGTTGGTGAGGAGGGGTTTGCCATTGGCGGTGTTGTGGTGGGTGGACGGGGGTGGGCTATTGGGGTGGGGGTGGTTATTGCGGTTTTGAGGTTGTTGCTGAACACTCACGGTTGTTTTTGAGGGTTTGAAGTTGTTGTCGAGGTTTTAGGGAGGTACGTTCGGCGGTGATGGTATTGCGGACAAGGGTGAGGGCCAGACGGAGGTAGGTGTTGACTCGTTGACGTTTTTGTTCTTGTTGCTGCTGTTGGTGAGAGTCTTGATGAGAACCAAGTCTATCCAGCAAAGGAGACGGCTCCTCTGAAGTTGTTAGAGCCTGTAGCACAACCGTTGTGAGAGGAAGAGCAGAAGCAGGAAGAATGATATCTCTTCTCGCAGCCTCCAACGCCCAGCATCTTTAACACAAGCTGCAACGGACGCTTCGCCGACTGAAGAGCTATGCCGGTCAATACCTGCCTTATCGACGCTCCATTCAGCTCCACAACTTCTTGAGTTCGCAAGCCATGCCCGTCAAGCTTAGCAAGATCGTCGGCTGATGCTCATCGTGGGTGAGCAGCACGGCGGCAGACTTCTTCCAGTGCAGCATCGTAGATTGGCTGCCTCTTGGCTATGGTATTGCAGTAGGATTCCGAGGCTCGTTTTTGCGCGCAGCAGCCTCTAGTCCTCGCCAGGCCACCTGAACGAGGTTTCCTCAGCCTATACCAGCCAGCAAGTCCAACGCAGGGGATCCAGTCCGGTCATGCTATGAACGTCTACATCAGATAAGGTAGGAATAGAGGTACTTGGACAGGTGGTGGACTTATGAGGTCCAACCGCGGCCTCTGCTTTGTATCGTACCCGCTTAATCGTAGTCGTATTCGACCAGTCGAATCGTTTGTTCAGGTAGTCGTGCTATGCATCAGCTACAAAACCAGTCATGCTGGGAGATACAAGACCCTTGAGAAGATTAAACGCTCTACAGCGAGAGGAAGTCGTTGTCTACACCTGTGCGTAGATGACGACCAGCGGTGCTTAACACTGATCTTCGACTTGCGGCGACCGGTAGTGACTAGATAAGTCTGGGATGAATGTGTCTGCCCCGCTGCTTTATCCGTCTCCTCCTCGTCTCGTTCATGAATCACTTCGTCGGGGTATTTATGCTCTGTGCTGGCTGCAAGGCTTGAAAGATGGATGGCGTGAGGGAGTCGGCGATTTCGAGAGCTTCACAGCGCCTGGTGATGTTCTCACACTATCTCCTTTCTGGGAGAGCTTGCAGCTCTTCGGCGACGATGCGCTTACACTCTGCACTGTCCAAGTACAGCGTCGACGGTGAGGTACTCGCTGTCGAAGGACATGTCAAGCGGTTCGGGACGGACGGACACGAGAAGATGCTGAATAGTCCTCCTTCACCCCCTGAGTTCGTCCCTGGGATCTCCTCATATAGACACCCAAGCCAGAAACGATGCACTCGCTCGTCATCTCGTACAGGTAGATTAACATCATTGAAACAAATCTCTGCCTGTTTCTCCTGAGCCGCCGGCTTTGGACAACCTCTTTTCCGTTGTCGTTAAGGGTGCTCGCAAGAAAGTTTCAGGAGACGATGTCATCGAAATATGAGGCATCACTAAGATTGTCATCAAATGGGATTGATCATCGAGCGAGGCGAGCTGAGATGTGTTTGTCGCAGATCATCATATCCGTTCGAGTCATTCTACGACGTGAAACCGAGCATCGCTGGTTGAAGAAGGGTTGTTTTGCATACTAACTTGCGAGGCACGAACCTTTCCGTGCCCATCATGTCGTTTGTGAAGAAGACAGAAAAATCACTCGAGGTTGCAGTACTCAGCAATTGCTTCGTCGGCAGAAACGTGCCAAACTCTCCTCGTCCGTTGGCGATGTCGTTGCTCCTTCGAAGCCAGGAAAACGCTCTTCGTGTTCGTAGAAGATGGTAAATCCACGGGCTGCCACGACTTCGGGCTAGAAAACGGCATGCTGCATGTGAGGTCGGCTTGTGGCATAGCAAAAGGCACGCAACGGAATGTAATGGTTCGTTTCAATGCGCTTGGTCGCCTGGTACCCTGGGGAATCGATTGTCTCTGCGAAGAGGCGATCCCAGCGCTTACGGTGATGTTTCGTAAGCCTGTCCGTTCTCCTAACGCTCATTGTCCAGGACCGTCGACATTTTCCTGAAGATCATGTAGCGAGGGTCGCACGCCGTCCGTTTCGTCGCCGTCTGAAAATGATAGAGGGATTCTGTGCAAACGGGCCCAACATCAGTCTCACCATGAGTGTTACGAAAGCGGTAGGTACCTGGAAACTGATTGACAAGGGAGATGGGGAGCAAGTTCTACTGCCACGATGGTGTTCGAGAAGCCGCAGATCGTCGACTTTCCTTGCGTTGATGCTAAAAGGTGGCACTGGGTCCCTCGTGAACTCCTTGAGATTCTGCTGTCTTGCCCGTGCTCTGATATGAATTTCACAAGCGATTAGCTTCGTCCGCCTATCAAATGTATCGTAGGGTTGCTTCTGCCTGACTGAAAAGTGGAGAAGGTCGGTATTCCGCATGGCGAGGAGTCATCATGTTCACAGAAAATACACATGCTTCACGGCAGTGTCTTTGATGAAAACATAGTGCTTTCCTGCAGTGTCCAGGCCGACTTTGGCAGAGTATTCGAGTTCCAGCAGAGCTGAGTCCGGGAAGACAACCAACAACGCAGCATGCATAAGAGCTGTCACGTTCTGCAACGCTGATATTTCTCACCGCGCACACTCTGAAACATATGCCGTGTGTGAGGCCCTCGTATGATTGACAAGATGTGGCAATTCTGCAGAAATACTTGGAATCGTCGAGATCGGAATCGTCCATCTGAAGGCGTCCGGGTCTCTAAGCCAGTCGATCCAGAAGACCTGGAAGCAGCCACATCAGAGTCGACTACAGCTCAGCCGTAGGAAGTCCATCCAAGAGCTATACAAAGGGAAGTGTCTCACGTCTAAACACCTGACTGGGAGTGGTCTTTTGATTGCATTACGAGTACCACGCAGGACAACATCGCCGGGAGTACTTGAAGTTGCGATCACGGATCCGTGACCGGCCAAAGGGCATGCATCCCATTGTCGTCTTTGGCGATGGACTGGTATGTGTTTTCATTGAACTGGGCACGAAGAATGGCCTTGATCAATGATCTTCGCTGGAATGTCCGCCTGAATTGGACTGATCATGCGTCTGGAACGATCGCTGATGTCGAACACGGCCAGCACGGTTCGGCTGAGGTTCGCAGCGTGCGACTAGGCCATGTCTTGGGTGACTGCATCTCCAGGTTGTTACAGTGGTAGCGGAAGATACAGCACCCACATCCTCATCCTCTCCAGAGTCCGTCACAATCCCTCGCGCTCTTCAGTGCCAACTGTTCAAGATCACGGCGACCACGAGCGGATGTCAGCCTTCTTGCTGCCACACACGCCATGCCCAGCCTGAGCCCAGCCAGTGTCCCTTCCATCTCCGTCTCCTTCAGCGTCAGCAAAAAAAGCGTCTCTGGCGATACGTCCGTCTCGAACGAGGACTGCTCGGACTCATGCCGGCGCCGTGACTTATGGAGTGGGTTGGTCGTTGTTTGAGAAGACCAGGCGCTTGTTGGAGGAAGGAGAGGCGGGTGCGATGGTATCAGTCAAAGTAGATGGCTGGAGTGACGGGGAATGGAAGGGTGAAGCCGGGGTGCAAATCCAGTCAGCGGTCGGGCAACGCCCAGATGTTCGTGTCCACCGGCGAGGAGATGGATGCAGGTTCCGGAGAACTCCTGGGTTGGCAAGACGCAATCAATGTAGCCCTGCGGTATTTCCAAGAGACGTTCCAGGGGATGCTGGATTGTGAAGGTGAGACTGGGTCAGATGGCTATGGTATAAGTCAAGAGGAAGGCACTCAGGATGATGACGAGAGTGAAGAGTTAGAAAGTTACGAGAGAAGTTTGTATGTACGTACTTGGTCTCATTAAAACTCTCTAACCGCAATGCAATGAAGAAGCTCGGAGAAATTGCGATACGACAATCCTCCACGTCTACGGGGTCGCGGACTCGTCGACATTCTTCGCCGTAGGGATTGACCATGAAGGACGAGACACAGCAAGATTGCCATGACATGTCACAATCATCCCATAACCAAGGTCGCATATAGCAATTGCGGCGTCAAGCTACCTATCGAAGGGAACTGTCTGCTGCCGTACAAATGCCATCTGTGAAGAAAGTCAGCAAGGTGAAGTCATGTCGGTGAGGATGTTCAACGTACCTCTCCAGCCCCCACCCGTGAGCAGTCATCGCCGCCCACCGCACCATCACCGCCCAACCTCATCTACCATCGACGGTCCGTGGAAACCAGCGCCTGAAGCCTGTGAGGAATGGTCAGCGTGTTGCAAACGGTGAGAACGCTGGAGAAGCTGGGCATTCGCTGTGACCACAGAGAGTCAAACGTCCCACTTGGTGCATGTTGAATGCTCGGCTGCAGGTCCCACCCCCCTCGGCAGCAGTCGCGCCCTTCGTGCAAGAACACAAGACGCGGACGTCCCCGGCTTGGATCTACAAGAAGGCGAACCGATTGCTCTGGGTGGTTTTCGCTGTTCGGCCTGTTGTGTGGTGGTGGGAAAGAAAAGTAGTGGGAAATACAAAGAAGCAGAAAAAGAAGCAGAAAAGGGGAGCTGCGAGATGTCTTGCCATGTGAAGATGATCCGAGGTGCTTTATCGCGGTCAGAACCTCGGAAGTCATTGTCGCATACACCGTAGACTGAATGTAGAAGAAAGATAACGTATAGGAAATTATGTATCTTGCGTCCTTCTCATCATTCTCATTCCCATGTAAACATATCAAGGCGAGAGTGGTTCGTCGTTGGGAAAGCAGGAGGTGACGTTGGAACTTCCCCCTGAGAAGCTCGGCTTGGCGCGACTTACTGACAACAACAACTTTGCCGACAGCTCTGCTCTGCTGCCACCAACACAGCCTGCTGAAAACGATGCAAACGCTACAGAAGATCTGTCAAAATTCGTTGTCAGCGCAACTCGCACGATCACCCAGCCGAACCGGCTGAGTCCTACCTGCGAGTCCTGGAGACAGCACATCCTCATCGATCTTGTCATATAGGCGGAGCCGCGAAGCAAGGAGGGCCCCTAAGAGGAGTCTAGCAGGAGAACGGTGGAAGAGGATGATCACGACGGGAAATGGTTGCAGGATCGCTCGATTAAGCAGCGCAGACGAACGGAATGCACGATGAGGACTTTGTGCAGTCGTGGAGGAATTTGGGGGAGATATACGAACTTGGCTGATGAAGATGTCAGAACTTGGCTGACGAGTCGAGACGTTTGTGTTTGATACCAACCCTTGAAAGTCTTGTCAAGCATGTTCACATTTCTTCTCCGTGTGCGTGGGATGTTCTGGGGCAGCAGCAAACGCCCGAAGCTCGCACGGCCGCCCTGAACCGCCGACAGGATACTTCCTTGAGACTTCGAGCGCCGAGCAAGAGGATGTGTACACCATGGCGACACTGTTGGCCTCTGACACCATGGCCAGAGGCAGAGTCCTACCACATCTGTCATTCAGACAAATTACGGACAGCCATTCTCAAATTCAACGTCCTCACTCGTGCCGACATAAAGACGTGAAACCCGCCGTCAGACTCCGAATGTGCACCCAAACATCGAAGCCGGCAGTATGGCAACTATACCCTCGAGGCTTTTGGGTGAGCGGTTCAACAGCCACTGAAAACGACATCATACGGCATCCCCAGCCAGTGAAGCGCACAGTCGGCCCAATTCTCGCAAGTTCGAGATGCCCACTTGCTCCAATGGTACGAGAGGGCCCGCGCATGCGAACACCCAACAATCCATGAGTCACTGGGTCCCAGAAGTCAGCCACGCAGCCGAAGAGGGAACTGTACGTCCAGCGATGCGCGGCGATGAGGGGATGAAACTCGAAGCCGTGAGCAAGGATGAACGGAGGGAGGCACAACCTACCTTGAAAAGAATCCCCCAGCCCATCCGTGTCGCAGTGATCAGCACATCTGGCAATCGGTGGAGTAGGTCATCGATGTCGTTATTGACTACGAGCCAGAACAGTCGGTCCGGTTGCCAATATCCGCACCTGCAGCGACCAACCATTTACGTAGAAGTCGCCAGACGTTCAAGGATTCTTCAGATTGGCTTCGGGCGTGGATGCGCCGAGTACATACGGTGAGGGAGAGAGCTTTCTAATACGACCAGTCTGGGAAAGTTGATACATGGGCAAATGACAATCGGCAAAGTCCATGACGTAGCTTGATACGGTGTCCTTGAAGATCATCAATGAGGTCGGCATGCACTAAGTCACGTTGGGGATTTATCTGTCAGCTGCACGAGACGGCGGAACGGCTGAGGAGTAAGTATGCGAGAGAACCTAGGATACGATGGTCTGTCTGATAAAGAAAGGTACAAGGACACTAACTAGCTTTCGTTCTCGAGGCAACCGTTGAAGATCCAAGAAGACCAAGGCCATGACCAGTCCTCTAGAGAACAAAAAAATCACGAACAGTAAGTTCATCGTCTCGTCACATTGGATGCTAGTTCCAGGTGTGTTGGACGATTCGCTGGGGATCTAATCTCCGAGGAAAATCCAAAATCGAGAGCTCGACGTGGACTTCGAGCACTCCTGTCCTCATCGTCAGAGAGAATCAGCAATAACAGCGCCTTCTTTGACGCCTGATCTGACAACGTGATCAATGCTGAGGTGTGCGGGTTCTCATCAAGTCGTTCAGAGAGCGTAGAAATTCATCTCAAACCCTTTAGATCATGCATCCTCTCGTATACGAGGCATCACGTCCACTGAATTCGCTGCTTAATAGCCCCAGCCAGCTCCTAATAGACGTTTCTGTTCGGCCTACGGGAGTAAAACTCGCGGAACTTGTAGCTCAATTTAATTCAACGCCGGCGACCAACTTTGCAAAACGACGTACGTAGACGTGGATGCTGAGTCGAGCGAGGACGTTACGAGGTAGATTGTAGTTTCGGCTTGAGCTGGTGAGATGATTGAGATGAATGGACAGCTCGTGCGTGTCGCCTTTGCAGATGACAGGTTGTACTGACACGAATTTAGACGGACACCTTAGGATGCAGGGAGGGAAGTTGGTCTGCTGGCTGGATATCCCCCCTTAGAGAAGATTTCGATGATCTAGTAAAGGAGTGGGTTGGGAGAAGATGATTGCGCACGGGCTATAGTTTATGATATGAGTTTTGTACGGCGGCTCGACGTTAATAGAGGAAGCATTCGTCAACGGCATCGTAGCTGTCATGATGTTATATGGGTCACAGGGTGAGAGACAGTAATATAAGATCTAAGAAGCTCCGTAGAGACCCGCCGAAATCTACATCGTGAAGCTGATGCTGGAACAAGATGCATAATAGTGCATAGGCCTCTCTACGGACATTTCAGGTAAGCAAAGAGTAACGAAACTTCCTCAGGTAGACGTATGCGTCATCGCTCGTGCACCAAGATCAATCCATTCACCGATGTCTAACATAATCTGCACCCAAGACCCACCGCTCCCCCATCCTCACCCCCAGCGTCCACCCCTTCTAGCATCCTCCACGACCTCCTCGAACCCGTCCTCCAACATGTCCTCCCCCTGTCCGCTTCCGTGCACCCATCAAGGTGTGTCTCCGCCAGATCACCTCCACCATCCTCTCCTCCAACTCACGATCTTTCTCGGTAAATTCGAAAGCAGGCTGGATGGTATCGGCCTCGCTTGTGCGTTGCGTGAGTAGCTTCAGTTCCGTAGGTGGTGTGTGGGCGGGAAAGATGCCTCCAGCAACGCCATTATCGCTTCTAACGACCGGAAGAACGTTCAGAGCGGCCGTTGCTTGCTTGAACTTGATGGTATCTGCCCCCTCAGCGTCTTCGGCTCGACTCTGCTACGTTTCGCGAATGGCCTGGAGTGCCTCTCTTCCATCTTCGTCGTCGTCGGCGGGCGTTGTGGTCGATGCACGTGGCTGGCTGGCCTGCTTGGCCTCCACACCGTCCTCGAAAGAATGTGGATGTGTTGTTGTTGCGAGACGAAAGAGAGGAAGAGGAAAGACGATGGAAGATCAGCGGGACCCGTCACGTGCTCGCGTGACCGCGCGAGGCGATGGTGCTGCCTGAGGCGACATTGCTGCCTAAGGCACGCGCTCCTGCCTTCCCAACGTCACCCCAACCTGACAAGAACATTCTTCACCTCAACAACAACGTTCCACAAACAGCACACGGACGTCCTTCAGCGACATTTTCGCCCGAGCACTCCGTCTTGTGGACTGGGTATGCCTGGTCACATCCGCCGGCTCCTGCTGAGCAGTACGTTGACGTGAAGTTTGAGATACAAGTCACCGGCTGATCAGAGAACAGGGAAGTTGTTCGTGTCTACGTGCCAGACAGCTCAAATGAGATGATCGAGTACAGAGGCCAGCGCTTTCGAAAGGTACGGTTCTGCCCGGTATTGTGAGAGTCGCTCGAGTGCTTACCATAATCCATCCAGGCTCCTTCGGTTCTGCCGCCACCATCGCCGCATTACTTTCAACAGCACCCTCCACCATCGCCATTCGGAAAGCAGCAGCTTGAGCCTCAGTTCATACCTCCATGCCAACTGGCGGAAGTCATCGTGTCGCCCAACATGGCCCACGACCGCCCTGCATCAAATTTGGATGGGGCCCAACCCAACACCCAGGGCCCACGACCGCCCCGTCCCATCTATCGGGCCGCAAGAAGACCTGCAAAGAGATGCAACGGCGCCTGCAGCAACGCAACAGAGCGACCCAAGGTCAGGCGAGAATCGGTCGCACCCGGCCACGCCTGAGAGTGAGACATTTGACAAGCGTCGCCGAATGGAGGTGTATTTTGAGAGCAGACAGTCCAATATATCATCTTAGCTATCATCTTAGCTATGAGTATCTTGAGCCCCTGTAATATCCGTCTCTCCACTCCACCTGTGTTGGTTGACAAGGTTTCTGTCCTGATCGTCTCCCACTCCGTCCAGTTCATCACCGTATCTGCCCTCCAACCTGTTTTCACGCATCAGGTCTCGTACTTCTATAGATCTTTCCCTTCCGACCTGCGACCGGACGAGACATCTGGAGCAAGGCGGATACAATAGGCTACGCGAAATCTGATAAGCAATGCCGTAACACGGAAACTCGTCACCCTGTCCGGAACGTCATCTAGCTCTCTTACGTGAAGGAAACTGGCGACAGTCCACGACTCTCTGACGATGCATCTTCGTCCGGATTCGCAGGCGTGAATAGGCGTACGCTCGGCAGCGAATGGAGACACATCCTACGGAGCCGCTCGAGTCCTCGTGCTGACGGGCATGGGCAGACAGGGGGATGCTTCAGATCCATCCACGCAAACTCCATATCCATTAACAACTTCGGCAAGTCGTAACATGTCTGTTGTCGTGAGTCACAATCCGTCAAGGCCTGTTGTCAAATCCAAGCTCGTAGAACGATAGACTTCCCAACCTTGGAGCCGATATATACTCTACAAAGTGAAGGAGGATCTCTAAAGATCGACACGGACTGGAGCGCTACTCTTCTCCGACGCAGGTCCCAGGAGGATATTAAGAGCTCGAGCAATGGTCCAGTCTTGTCGGTCGCTCACCGCATCAACACACAGCGATCTCCATCAGCTTTACTCTGTTAAGGATCCTGCCGCTAGGCTAAGACTCTTCTGACCGCAGCGTATCCGTTGGGAGTAACCAGAAGAAATTCTCAACTTGCGCACCGTACCTGGCGAGAATGACACATCTGAGCAGGCCACGAGAGATGCTATGAGCAGGAGAGTCGCCGTCTCCAGAATCTATATCAAATCTGCCTGAAGCGTCTTGTTTTCGTACCACCAGCCTTGGAATGCGATCTCGAGGACCAAAGAGCTCGAAACTTCCACAATTTCGCACCCAATGGGTTTCGAAATCCGAACGCTATTCGTCAGCAACAGAAGAGCCGCTGCGCTTTGCACTGTAAGCACAATGAGAGGAAACTTCTTAACACTGCATTCGTTTGAGATGCTTCTAAAGATCGTGAGCACCGGGTAACAAAAGAAAGCACGCCCTTAGGCTATTCAAGGCTGCATGATATCGGTCTCGTCACCAGCGCTTCTGTCAGCGCACCTGCAGGCGAAGGAGAGGACTACCTCTACAGCATCGGTCCATCAACGACGAAGTTGCATCGAATAAGAACACCTTGGACGACAAGCGCAACATCGGATTCAATCACGATCACGTCGAGGGAAGTCAAACTTGATATCAGATTAACACAAGCAAGCAGTTAGCCAACCTGTCGGCAAGGACTTGAACCCTATGCTTCCAAGGGACTGGCATGTTCGATCGGTTACCACCAGCACTCCCACAATCTTTCAGCGGGAGATCTAATAAATGTTGTAAAGGGATACGCATGCTTGAACATGATGTACTGCCAGCGAGCGCCCAGTCAGCCCGTCGCCAAAAGGTCAGCACTCGATCCTCGCAAGGCTGCGGTCGAGTTCTAGACTGAAGAGTTCCCGGACCTCCAGCTCAGAGCTTTGAGATGATAACAAATGCCTCTTGGACCAATGAAAATTGGAGGTGCTGCGTCGAAAGTCATTGTTTGCAGGCTGGCAAAACCTTACAGACTTCCAGCATATTCGACCTCGGAGTTTGAGAAATCAAGATATAGTTTGGATGTGTTGATGCCTGCTCACGCTGATGAACAACAGACAACATTGTCTCACGTTGAGCCAGTTCGTCCATCAAGACCAAAAGTCCTCTTTTTCCGATCTCGCCATGTGCTATATAAAGTATGGTGGCATAGCATGTTGAACGACTGAGTTGATGAAACGTACCCGCTCGATAGGGGCATGGAGATGTCCATCCTACCTCGTCGTTGCTATGTTGGAAGAGCCATGACAGCCACGAAGTTATGATACGCTGGTTCCTGCGCCCTCATCATCTACGACGACGAAAATTCTGAGCAGAAGGTAATGTGCTCATCCCAAAGTTGCTTTGATTACTCTTGCTTGGACGACGGCTCTTTTCTTTGGGTTGAGCAGCTGCCATGGCTTCCAAAAAAAGCATGAAACGGAGATTCAATGCAGGATTTCTACTCCTGGCGGTCTTTGGTGTCGAGGGATACTGGATGAAGGCTCACGGACTGGAGAGCCTGACTTGGACTTCGAGCTCTTTTTGCTGCCGACCAAGACAAAATGAATCGCAGAAAGCCAGCGCTCCCTGCCGGGGAAGTTGCAGGCGGAGCCGCCGACAACTTGGGCGAATTCTGTACTGGGCCTACAGACAGACTACATGTTTCTGCTGAGCAGATGGCGCCCTTCTTCTGCTTGAAGCTTGACGCTGTTGATGCTGGTTTTGCCTCTCATTCCTGACAAGGTGTTCCTCTCATCCACGGCAGTGAAACCTTTACCGCTCGATCACCGTGAGTCTTGTTCGAGGTGAAGTCGTACTATGGCCAAGTCATCCTTATCCTCAGCCTTGGTATCTTCATCGGACGTCTCGTTGCGGTGGTATCATCTGCGTATGGACTGACTCACTAACTGAGACCCCTGCCGAATTCTATCAACATCATCTCGCCGGCAGTGAGATAGCACTCTCCTCGGACTAATTCATCAGCGCTGTGCTCTCTACTTTGGCTCATTTGGAACATCCCACCGCTCCAGAGATTCTACCGTTCGGATGTGGAAGCCCAGACAACGTGCTGCAGACATCCTTGCTCGACGATAGACTGGACTGGCATGAATGAGCCTCGTTTCCGGCGATGAGCGACTCTGATCAGTTGCGATACTGATTGGCGGCTTGTCGCCGAGATTGGTGGGTCCGCATGGCTTGTGAGCCCCTTTGAGATGGATCCCGTCATGTCTTCACACCAAGATGGACGAGACAGACGCCAGGAATGCAGGAATACAGCCACCGCAAGGACAGGTGATGGAAACCCCGCTCTGCATGAACCCCTCGCCCACGTGTCCTGTCCTGCAGTATCTCGCAGGGATGCTGCATGGTCGGCCAGCTCAGCTTCATGCGGCATCCTGCTATGAACAACTGAGCCGACGGCAAGATAAAGCGGACAGAAACGCCAGACATAGATGATACCACCACCTCAGGCATATCAGAAATCCCACCCACCTCAGGATTCCTCTCCCAAAGATTTGAAACAGGATTCGTCATCAGATTCAAGTCCGCCATGAACGCCACCACGACTGGGAACGTCAATCCCCACAGCGGCAGCAAGCTTGACAGAGTCAAAGACATCGCCAACGAGTACATGGGCAGAGACCTCGACGCACTCCAAAGCTACTGGCGTGGCAAAGCACTCGCCTTCGTGCGGGCTGGGGCCGAGCGGAACCCACAGATCAAAGACTTCCTCCGAGAGCTCGTCGAGGTTCAGCGGGATGATGTTCACGATGAGCTCCTAGGGCGGAAATGCGGGTTTGCACCATATCATGATAAGAAACTTCCGGCGGAGGTGGAACGGATCTTGACGCAGTCGTGATTGGAGATGACAAGCTTGCGGCTGCGTCTTTGGGGGATGCTACTTTTGACGTTGGGCTGTGAAGTTGGGGATGTCTGGTCGACAAAGGCTTCAATTGAATGAGTTTTCTGCACGAGATCGCCTGTTGATCCGATCAAGCGATGAGAACGGAGGGTTTGGTGCGCTTGGCTGTGCTCGCGGCAAGATCTCAACATGACGCTAGCTTTTGTGCGACGCAATGCAGATAGCACGGGGAAAAGGACGGACAGTTCCATGCTGTATTCTCTGCTTTTCTTTCTGGCGGAGTTGGAGAGGGATCGAGTCGAGTACAGGCGAAGTATCGGGGACAGGGGGATTAGTAGTGAAGAGCGTTTGCGACGAGAGCACGCAGTATTTCGTTTATTGTTTCAATAGAGATAGAATACAACATGTCTGGGTTGTGCGTGAAAGAGGTGTGGTGCTTGCGGAGAAGGAGTAAGTTTCGGGCGTGCCGTGCGGAGAAGCGGAATTAGCATCGGGCCGCCCCCGGATCTACCGTTACCTCAGCAACGACCATCCAGACCGAAACATGGAACACCTCCTCTCCACATCACTCAGATTGCAGAGAACGAGCTCTTCGACGTCGACGGGAATGACTTCAGTGACATTGAGCTGGTTCTTGAGCAGCCTGTTGCAAGCAAGACTGTGAGCTATCCGAAGCTCCCTACACAGCCGACTGAACGCACACGAGACGAAGCAATCGCTTATCCCGCAAAAACAGCCATAACTACAACAGAAGCTCACGAGACGAAACAATCGCATGTCCCACGTTGCCGAAAGAGCCGCAACTGCAACAGAAGCACGCGAAGAATACCAGTCCAACTCATGATCTCCCAAGTGGTTCTCCGGATGTCCTCGTAGCAGGCTCTGGATCGGGGTGCTCCGTTGCCTTGGTCTTCACGATCAGACCGCCGAAAGGCGAGTCTACCCTCAGGCGACAGAAGCATTCCTCGCGATGATGAGAAAGAGGAAGGGATAGAGAAGGAGGAAAGAAACGAAATCAGAGCGAAGGTCAGTCTGCGCTCATGGACTTGATGGACAGTACGGAAGCAAGGACTTCTCTTGTAGCAGACGCCCATCGAGATCTCGACAGCCTTGGCGCAGTCCTAGCCCGCAGGAGCTCGCACATCCTCTCTAGTCGTGGTCATAGCGGCAGCGGAAGGGGGAGGGAAAGGGTTAGTATGCTCGAAGAAGAGATCTTGCTGAGGTGATGGTGTCCAACCAGGCAATGAAAACATAGAATCGTTCGCATGTTTGACTTTCATGGCTCGAATCAGAGCGGAGATTCCATTCAATTACCATCGGTAATCGTCTCAGCAGAGTGCCAGGCCTACCCATAACAGTAGGGTTCTTAGTAGCGAATCTGGTGCTTTGACCGCCGATGGGGTCTGTGGTTCTTGTCTTCTCACAGCTTGGCTGATGGCTGAGAGTTCCAGATGAACGATGAGGACAATGCAGGTGTACGTGCACCATGGACGGCAATGTCTGATACGGTTTCTGAAGCTTCCACGGCCCAGGCACTTCCCACGGCGCACGCCAACACAATCTTATGGAAGTCTCCACGACCACTTCAACCAATTTGCCTTGTTCTCATGAAACGTCAATCTCCTCCATTGGCTCGTTGTCCCTGCGGTTTCTCGCAAGAACCCATCCGCCGACACTAAGGTCAAAGACTTTGGCGGCGAGACAGGCAGCAGTGATGGAAATTTCCTGATCATCACAGCGACCTCCTTCAAGCCTCACGGATGAACTTCCTAGCTGGTAGATCTCATGTGCATGCCAAGCATGATCCCATAGTGGCGACGGAGGAAAATTTTTGGACCAGAGACGGAAGAGCTCGAAGAAGCACAAACTTCTATTGCTCGATGAACGATTGTCGGCGACTGCACTCAAAACGTCCCAAAAATGCGCTCGGAGATCAACCTTTCTCGATTTCGATTACCTCGCCGCCCTTCTTCGTTCGCCCGGTCCCTCCTTCCTTCGTACGGTGGTCGCCCCGATTCGACTTGTGCTGCGATCTACCAGCACGAGCTCCTTGATTCATATCGGCCTCTTCAACCGCATATCAGTAATCCTTTTCGTCATGAGTGATCTTGGCCATCCACGCATACATGTACTTACAGCCAGTCTTCCGGCACCTGGTGCTCAGCAAACCTCAGGCATTATTAGATTTCGTCATCAAAGATTCTAAGAAATCACCTCCGGCTATCCTCCTACCTTACCTCGAGCAACCTCTTCCGAACCTGCTCGAACAACCAAAACACCCATGACCACATCATCAGCGTCGGCCGCTCGATGAGGCCAAAGTGCAGTCTTGGCAGCAAGGCACCTCTCAAGAGTATCAAAGAGATAGATGGCGACGCCGTTGCGGACTTCACAGCTCGCACCAGATTGGACCACCCGAAACAGAGGTAGCAGACCATCCGCCGCAAATCTCGAAGCGCATCTTGAAGCGCTCTCCTTTCCACCAAGACCGCCGCTCCAAGAGAGCCTAGACACGCAGTCAAGCCACGTATCAAGGATGAAGAAGGCGCAGCAGGGCACTCGAGCTCTGACCCAGGGGGATACACAAACCCGAGCTGCCTTCTACGATGCAGTACCGACACCATCACACGCTAGCAGGAATGCTACGCCTACGAGTGCGGCTGGACCAGACGACCTTGACCTTCCCGCTTCGGCCGCCCCTTGCTAGACTGCAATCCCTTCTTGACTAGACAAGACGAAGAAGAGATGATCGGAAGAACACCATGCAGCGGACGGGTCTCCCACCCGTGCTACCTCGAACGCTGCCAGAGTCAAGAGAATGAACAAGACCACGTGTCTACGCTTTGGCCGCCCCTTACCAGACCTCGTCCCTTTCTCAACAAGACCAAGAAGAGAAGATCCGAAGAACACGACGCAGCGGACGGATGTCCGACCATGCTTCTTCGAATGCCACGGCAGTCAAGAGATCAAGAGCACGTTGTCGAAAGGGGGATCCATGTACAGCGTCGTCCGAAAAGTCAGCACCCGAACGATATCAAAGCCAGCAGGATAGTTGTGGATGTACGTTCCAACGAGTGTTAGGCCTCGGACGGCCGTGTTGCTTGTGGCAATGCCGCGGAGGATTAAATTGAATGCGGCTTTGCGTTAGGGAAACGTTTGGGAGTGCCGGTGAAGGATGGCCTGCTGGAGAGGACGAAACAAGCAGGTTCGCTGGTGGTCTGATGGAACCTGCTGGACAGGGTGGATGGGGTGAAATGGGTGAAGTGTTAATGCGTGGGAGAGGATGTTGTCTGGGTTGATGATGTCAACGTTCATTGAGATTGGAACGTGTAGAGAAGGGCACTGAACGCAGTGCCGCTCTTGTCATCAATATCGTTGGGTTGATTGCTTCGTCATGGGAAGGATGGTAGCTGAGCAGTGCAACGTGGTTGGCCGGCAAGGAACCGGCTTCGCCCATCACCACCGCTTCACCAACCCCTTCTGTTCCACCCGCAAGCCCCTCCTGCACGCACCTTGGTCCCAGCGAGTCTCCGCCAGGCTCCTACGCCAAATCCCTCCCTTCGCCTCCACATGACCGATTCCACCCCGACGGCTTGAATCCAGCCACAGCATCGTGAATCGTAGGTCGCTTCGAGCTTCTCAAAAGTCGCGCGAGTTCAAGAGAGAGCAGAGAAGATGTTTTGTGTTGGAAGCAGCTGGATGATTCCTCGTCATGGTGGTTGGGCTTGGGACGACGCATCCGTGGGCTGGGGAGATTGTGGACGCATAAGCATGGCTGGACGAGGGATGTGAGTGCAGTGGAGGCGGGTGAGACGTTTTGGTGGTAGGGGATCAAGACGTTGGGGACGCAGGCGGTGCGGCATTCTACAACGAGCAGCGGGTCGAAGTTTCATATACCGTGCTCAATGGTACGGTCGCGCTCGAGACTTTTTGACCGGCGTCAGAGAGGGACCGCAGGCTCCAAAGTCGTTCGATTTCGAAGTATGGAATGCATGAGTACGCTGCTTTGATCACTCTGATCATTGGGCTTGCCTTCCTGCCGACTCTGCCGCGAAAGTCCCATGCATTGCCAATGTGCCGTGGCAAAGACTTTCCAATCCCAAGCTCCTCGTCCACGCTCAAGTCGAATCGCAGCATCTCCAAGCATATAATCCACCCGATTCCCCCGAACACGCGAATCCTACCCGTCCTCTTGCTCCATGCCATTCACAGATAGATCCTCTCTCCACTGACAACTTCATAGACCATGACCTTCGTGCCAGTCTTCACACCATAACTGCTCAGCACTCGATCACCCTCCAGCTCACGCCCTCTCGCAATGACTCGCAGATTCCCATCGCCCACCCAACTCTTGAGATCCTTCGCAGTCATATCACCCGGAGAGCACAGGAGGCTGAAGCTGGTCCGCAGGTGGAGAACGCAAGCGTTGGAGCTGAGGGTGCGTTCGATCTTGTCGAACACGGCGAGATTGGTGGTGCGCTCGACTGATTCCCATTGGAGGGAGAGGAGCTCTGCTTTGGCCGCTGCGATGTCTCTCTATACCTCGGAGATCCTTCTCTTCCTCGGCGGCGGCTTCGGCTCGGATTGATTTGGGAGAAGAGCCGCTGACCGGGGATCGGGATGGATAGGGATTGATGAGCCGGTGATGTGGAGGTGACTTGTGTTGGTGATGACGGCTGGGTTTTGACTGGCGGGTTCTTGACCTCGTCGCTGCTCTGACCTTCTTCTCCACCCTTGAAATTCGCAAGAGCAGCAGGCAGGCTAGGGCGACCCCAATCCGGAAACGTAAATGAGTATTGCGATGGGCGCATAGCCGGTAGCTCGGCGTTGTAGCCTATGAAATATGGCACATAGAAGCCAGCGTTAGGATCGAAGTAGGGGTAGGGGATGTGAGACATGATGGGTAGGAGGCGATGGCGTTTGTCGAGGCGATGGATGGTTGGACTTGGTTGCGAGGCGTGTATGTCGATGTGGAAGCAGAGGTGCGGTGACTGAATGCTGCGCGGGAAGTTTGAGGTGGTGGCGTGCGAGTTGGAGAAAATATCGGTCCAGCTCACATGCAGAAGCTTGACGCTCGGACCACCGCCCCAGAGTGAATTGGCGATGAGCTTAAAACTTCGCTCCTCGTGCTGAGTGAAGCAAAGCAACGAAGTTCAGAGACAACGCACCATTGGCCGTGCCATTCTGGAGGTCAGACTGGCACGAGAGGTATGCATTGTTCACACCGATTACCCTCAGATCAACAACTCATCCGCACCAACCTCATCTGCGCAGGCGTCACCAAGAGACTCTGTCCTGATGACTCCTCGTTCGCCTGTTGAAATTGAAGGCCTCTCAAGCGATTTGCACCTCAAGATACGAACGGCGACCCGGGACCAAATCCTAGATCACCAAAGCGACATGCTCCCTCTGACCATACCGACATATACTGCTCTCCTCTACGGATGCAGGGGTCGATGTAGACGCACAGAAATATGAGAAGGTCTTGAGAGCATCGACAAGGAGGCGCAGCACGCTATTCTCATGTGCTCGCAAACTTCCTCTACTTGGGATGCAGCTGCTATCAATCTGGATGACTTCGGCTTGATTGGGGCTGCGTCATGAAGGTACGAAGCACGATACTTTACTACTAAGTTCTTCGCAACTGACAAGACTCTGGCTACAGTTGATGGTATTGACGGAGTTGCGTTCATCCTCACCTTGCAAAGCGAAACGAGACGCTTCACACAACCTTCTCACGCCTCGTGCATTGTGAAGGATCTCGATCTCGCTGGCGAGGGATCATCCCTTTGAAAGTACACACGATTATCGATACTAAAGTCCCAAGTCACAATATCGCCATAGACTCTGCCACTGACCTCGGTGATAACAGTCACTCAGCAGATGAGCAGCATGGCAGTGTCGTGGTCAAACTTCATCCAAGCGGCTTGGGGATGCCGAACAGTATTCCATTGTTGTACGGAATGACTGCGTGAAGACCATTTAGTGTCTGCGAGCGAATCTGCTGCAGCTACACGATGGCGGAGTATCTCTCGAAGCTGTGGCTGTCGGTATCAGGACAGGATTGCAAGTCTCACGCAGGCCATGATAAGGAAACTTGGGCCAGCTTCGAGGGGTTGCTGCGGACGTGATGATTGTTACAGCTTCTAGAAACGGAGAACCGGCTTCTAATATACATTTCCAGCATTTGGGCCTTCCGTCGTCTTTGCTGGGCAATCTACGAGATCATCGCTACAGATAAAGCCTGGTAAAGCGCAGGACATCTTCAAGAGTGGCTCCTTCTATCGCTGCCCCAAGGCCCGAAACTTTGGCATAAAGCAACAAGCACATGAAGATCATGTTCTGACCCGTCCATGCTGATTTCCAAGTCTGAACCGCAGTTTCGAGCTATGTTGGAGCCGTCTACTTCCCATCTTTGGGACGTTTTAATCAGGCCCACTACGACGAAGACTTGCGTGCTGGTGTCGAATATGTCAACGCTTCCGAATCGTAAGCCAAGGCCCTGCTCTAACGGCTCGGTGTATGCGCCAGGCTCGTCCTAGCTGTCTAGGGTGTTACTTTCGTTGAGCAGACGAGGATTAGCGGCAGATCTGGTGTTATATTGTTCTGCAACGCCAGCATAACACACTAGCAAAAGCAATACTTGGATGACGAAGTCATTGTTCTGATCTGTCTCTGCCGCCTTGCGTTTTGTTCAGGTCTCAAAGAGGAAAGCTTGGTGCTCCAGTAGCGTCGTGCATTTCAGCCGATATAGTAGATGGCTTATGTTGGAGCGACAGGCTCGTCCGATACCGGGCATGGGAAGTACGTAACTGCGTACACCAAACAAGCTACCGTTCCCGGATCGTTTCTGGATGACGAGTCGATGGGATTCTTGCTATAAAGGGCTGAGCAATGAAATGATCGTAAAGGTTGGACCAAACAACATCATAGGTATATAAATGCACGGATTGCTTCAGTCAGCCATATCGTGGTGACAGGAGTCAAACATCTCAGGACGTGAGTGTCTCAATGGGATGAACACCAGTGCGTGGCCTGGCATTCTATAGACCGACTTCCAAGCTCGTACATCAGACCAAGAGCTTCATATTCAATAACAGGCCAAACTTAATGCCCAGAGACGAAGTAAGTGACCCAGAGTGTTCATTCATGCTCTCATCATGGTCTTTTCGGCTGGACAATATCAATGAGGTAGAAGTCGAAGATCTTGATAAGTTCGACGTTAGCCTGCTTCCCCGCTGTTGCCGCGAATGACAATGCGGATCTGGCAGCGGATGACCACGCCTATCGAAAAGGAAACTTCGTTTCAAACTTCTCATACTTTCTTAATCCGTATTCGATGTCGCCCGATCCGAATGGGACACCAACGAGGGCGAATCTGATTCCCAGGTGCTCCCAAGACCATTTTACCAAGACTGACGTACCTGAAGGCATTCATATTATGGCACCCTGGTGAGGGAGCAGTCCGTGTTGGATTAACAGTCAGCAATGTCGTGAAAGCCAACAGAACGGTCAACGATGACTCCAAGAGATAGGTTGCTGCAGAATTTGAGAAGTCGCTCAACCAAAGCCAGTCTGTGTTTGTTGCTCACGATATTCTTGCTCGAATCGATACTGACACTCCAGCCAATCCATAGAACTACGCTCGCCCACTTTCCTTTCGCACATGGTTGGCGCTGATTATCCAGAGTAGGAGTGAGCACATCAGCGGCAGAGATCAAATGGATCTTCGGTCAACCATCAATCGTAGCCCTGTAGTGATCAGAAAGCGGACATATCGAGACTTCAGGTCAGACATCCCTCGGGGTTGCAGGTACGTTATGGCGACTTCTTTGGTCAATTCTCCTACATTTTGACGTTGCACGCAGTAGCGACTCGTTTCGAGGTTGTGCATTAAGGAATACCTTTCGTGGTTTTGTCCATTCTCCGAGTGATCCTCTGGGGCGTCGAGTGCGTTTTGTTTTGCTGCACTTCCCATGGCACCATCTTGCTCTGGACATCCGCAAGAGACAGTCACAGCAATCTTCGTGAGACTGATTATCTTCTTTGGGAATGAACACATGGCCAAGTCGAGAGCCGTGAACAAGCTCGAGCTCTTCAACTTGCATCAGGGAGACGAGCTCTTCGACCTTGAAGTTGTTGAACTCGGTGGTGATCCTATCCTGAAGCTTGACGACGATGGCGAGGTGAGCAGCACCAGAAACTTCAATGTCTGATGCTTTGGCAGCCGTCATATCCAAGCATGATCACTATGAGAGATATGTGAGATACACAGCAGCAGGCATTGTACGTACGAAGAAGCCGGAACCACCGCATCTGCAGTGAGCATTGGCGCTCTCGGAGTATTGAGTGCGTAGGATCAGTCCAGATCTCCGCGCAGTGCAAAGCGATGGATCAGCATCCAGAACAATGTTGTTTTTGAGGTTTATCGTCGCTTCAGATGCTCCAACGTCACCAAGGTGCAGCCCTAGATAACGTCTGTAATGGAGGATGGAGATGAATGCTGGCAGATACGTTGGCGAACGCATCCTCAAAGCAGGACTGCCACGGATGGCAAGCCGGTTGAAGCAAGGGCATCTACATTCGAGTATGTACGTTCTTCGGGAGTAGAACGAGTTGACGTTTGGGGAGGGATCAGACGGACAGAGAACAAAGATATGACCATGCAAGCTCAGTTATTTGGCGATCTTGGCTGCTCACACGTCCGGAAAACGAGTCTTGAACCGTAAGCAGGGTTTCATTGCCAATCAACGTCAGTCTTGACGATTGGTAGCGGAATCGTGTGCATCCAGTCGCCGGAGTATTGAAAGACATCTTGCTCTTGGTTTGTCTTCTCCAGCTTCCTGTGGCATTTCCAACCATGATTGCAATCTAGGGATCCACCAGGAATAACCCACAAGGGTTGCCTGCTTCTTATAGATAAGAAGAGTCCAGTCTTCAGCTCGAACATATGCCGCCCACGACAACTTCGTATACATGCTCCACGGCCCAATGAAGTCCCGGATCGTAAGCGCTGCCCATGGATGTGGAGGAGTCAGATATGGCGCAGCATGGAGATGCAGTCGTGGAAGCCGGGTATCAAGTCAGTCTAGCCAGCCGATGCTTTGACCGGAGGAATATCGCCTTTCCGGCTTTGCTCCAGGTAGGACATAGTTGCCAAATGACGCCAAGCTCCAAGCACACCGCCAGAAGGTTGCATGTCTCCTATCACAAGTTCTGTACGATGAGTTGCTCTTGGTCCGTCCTGTCAAGCATCATACGGTTCCTCAAGAATGAGCAACGCGCGATCGACAGAGACGATGAACACGACGGTGCTTGCGGGAAGGTTGTGGAACATTTTCGTACCAGTAGCAAGTCAGGATGACTGTCCAGCCGTGCTCAAACATTAAGATCCTCAGAAGGCAAGAGCAAGGTGTCCTGTTAGATCACAATGCCGCGATCGGTAGTCTGACGGCCATCGTACTGCTCTCCACGAGCTCCATCTGCGATAGCACTTGGTGGACACTTCTTCCATGAATCCTTGACGAGTTCGTTAAGATGGTCAGACAGATGGTGGCGGCAGGGTTGGTTGAAAGAGCGGGTTTACAAGACCGATGCCGGCACATCAAGGCGTGCCAATGTTTGGACGTCCAGATCGGAAGCAGAAGGCATGATGTCGTGGTGTAAGATAGCTGTGCTTGAAGTCGTGTCAACCACGGTGCTCTTCACAGACTCCGTCTATTTCCGCGGCAGGTGTAGACTGGGACAGGATGCGGAATGGTTAGGGAGAACGATGCGATGATGGACGACCTCAGATCATCATGCCAGCGTTAAAGGTGGTACATAGGATGAGGTGATTCTGTTCGTCGGCGACTGAGTCTGTACTGATGCAGAGGCGTGAAGGTACACAAATTTGAAGTTTTGGATTGTCAGATACGGACGGCCTATCCAAAGGATGTCCGTCTCCAGTCAGGACGATATCCTACTCACCATTGGCTGAGCAATGGCATTCATTCTTCTTGGACGACCTCGCTGCTCCTCTCGTTGCTCAGAACAACACCTCGTCCTTCTTGACGATCTTTCGCTCAATGGTATCCTGAGCTTAGTCGACTTCAATCGACTCATCCGGCGGACTGATAGCACCCCAGTTTTCTCCATTCGCGAAGTAGCCCTTGTCAGGGTATGCCTCCTCTTCAAGCTGCTCGACAAGTTTCCAACATTCGTGAACCGCCTCAGCAGCCTTTTTCCGCCACGCCTCGACGTACGCCATCCAGCGGCTAGGGTCATCTTCACATATCATTTCCAGTACTTCTCGACATTCCTTGACGACGGAAGGATCAGACCATCGACGTTGAGCAATGAGGGCATCACAGAGTGGCCCAAGGCTCGGCATCTTGACAGCGGCGGGGAATCGAGATTGGATCTTGCCGTACATGTTGGGAAATCCGGAAGGCGTAGCGTGAGGAGCAACCAGGTCACGATGGCTCTTGTTGAGATCAGTCCAGCTACCGCTGCCAGGAATCTCAAGAGCATCACCGTCCGGATCTACCTTCACATACCAGGGGAACAGCGTCGTACGAGCCCGCTTCTGAGCTTGGGCGCCGTGGGGAAGGTGCGGCATGGAGATGCGAAGTTCAAGGGATTTGCAAGGGACTGGTTTCCAGTCGGTGCCAAAGTATTCGGCATCGTCACGATTCTACATCGTGCTGTCGATGTCCTCGACTTTCGCCGAGGTGACATCCCGACGATCAAGCAGTCGGCTTGTCCATTCATTCCAGTTGCTTGGAACGTGCATCTTGGGGATGAGGATCGTGCAGTCGTCTCTTTCTTCATCACGCAAGGACAAAGAGCCCTGTGCCATATTCTTGCCGCCGCCTTCCTCGTTCATGTTCTCAATGTTGAAGTCCAGATGCCTGAACTCCTTGCCGAGATTGCTTTCCAGCTTTCCCACGGCTGGGTGCTGGTCTTTGCAGTAGTAGCTGTACGAAACGAGAGGAACGGCGGAGTCTGGGCGGCAGCAAACGTAGAGAAGCCAGTAACATGGATCCATCCGCATGAGTTGCTGGCAGAGACCATGAACCATCGAGCGGCCCCATCCAATGTTGCTCTTGCCGCGGACGTTACGCTGGTGCCATCGGTACATGGCGATCTCCTCCATGGCTAACGCAAGCAAGTTCGGATGCTCCTTCGATCCATAATCAAAATCCTTCCACCAGTGGAAGATCTGCCCGGTGATTAGGTTTCCGTCCTTCTCCCACGCCTCCCAGTCCTGCGTGCTCAAGCCCAAGCGTTGCCAGATTGCGTCTCGTGCATGATTGAACTTCGAACTCTCCGACATCATGATCTCATCCAACGAGAGCGGTAACTTCGTCTTATTGAACGATTGGTGAGTTTGAAAGCGATACGGCCCAAGAACATCGGAGGGGAGGTCCGGTAAAGACGCACGAGTAAAAAGATGACCGTTCGAGTGACGATACCGATCCAGATCGGCCAGGCCCTTGCTGTGCATCCTCATGAGAGCCTTGTCGTGGTCCTCACGAGAGCCCTTGTTGTTCTGGAACCCAAAGACTCTACCTTTGAACAAACGCAAGTGCTTGTGGCAAAGGGGAGGTTCATCGCGGTCCTCCCTCTGCGCAACGTAGTACTGCAGATATTGAACTTGCTGGTCTGTATCGGACACCATGATGTGAGCATCTTGCACGATGTGGATGAGCCGTTTCTCGACATCGTGAGGGCATGCTTTGTCGTGGTTGTTCAGCTCAGGGCAGACATATTGACTGCCGTCCTGGTCCGTGTGCTCACTTTGGACATCGCTGTCGTTCGAAGTGTCATCAGGAACGATAGCAGGGGAGGATGATGTCGGCGTAGAGTCGCTGGTCGATTTCGTAACAGCAAAGCCCAATCTGGACGACTTCTTGTGCGTGGACGACTTGTTTGGAGGTTCGACTAATGAAGTCGATCGTAAATGGGATGTGGAGTCGCTCTTCTCGCCGGGGGTCAGGGCTGGCTTGGGATTATCCGCCAGGCGGTTGCTCGAGTTATGCTTCGACGCCAGCTGCTCAGGCCAGACCAGATCAGTCTTTGTAGACTGTCGGGAAGACCGGCGAAGCTCTTTTTGAGGAGGCTGATCCGGTGTAGAAGCTTGTCGATCGGGCTGAAGATTGCCGCCAGCTCTCAAGTGACGCATAAGTTCAGGATTTGGTGCCACCTCATCATCACCAGCTGTTTCAGACAATGTGGGCTCGTCAAGTCGGATTTGCGTTGTAGTGATGTTCTTGCTCGAGCAAGGACGCAGAAACTGATGCTCACCAACCTCCAACCAAGCCATGCGATAGTCTTCGAGCTCTGAAGGTAGATTGCGGCAATCTCATCTTCATGCTCGTCGGCAATAGCCTTCAGGTCGATGGGCATCAAGCGCTTGTCTGGGCTTTTCCCTTTGCCGGGGTGCTGCAGGCGGTAGATGATGGACTTGCTCAGCAGGGGTGCGATTGTCGTCCAGTCACGATTCTTGTTGACAAAAGTCAAGAACTCCTTGGCCCTCTGCTCGGTGGTGTTGCCTCCTGTAAACCACTGGATGAATGGATGCTCTCGGGCTGCCGGTGGCCATGAGGCCCTAACAACTTTTCGAGCTCCTTCAATGCGCTTGCGAATGTTCGCGCCCTTGGCGGCAGCGTCCTTCACCTCTGCAAAGAATTCGGTCTTCTTCAGGAACTCGTCCAGCTTCCTCTTGCCGAGCGCATGGCCGAGCCCTTCTGCCAAGATGCAGACGCTGAGGTTTGCCTGCTGCCTTTGCTTGCCGAACACGTCGGCGAACAGATGTACCAGGCCCTGCTGATGCTCCTCGTTCTCCTGATTCTTGATGAACTTTACGAAATCTTCCAGGGATCCGCCGAACGCTTGCATCACTTGCTTCTGATCGCAGTCACCGTACTTGTTGCTTTCCCAGGCACAAATGATGTGACTGATGTCTGCATTCAGTAACTGGGTGACTGCGATATTCTCCTGGTCTCCGGTGACAGCTTGTACGTACGTCGTGAGGTCGGCGGTCGGCTCATCCCCCAGTTTGATCGCGAGACCTTCATCAGAGGCGTGTGAATCGTCGTTGGAGGCAGTCGCCTGTATTGCTCGTCGCTTGCTGCTGCGTGCTTGATCCCTCTCACGTCCGGCAAGCGAATGTCTGCGTTTCATTGTTCTTGGTGATGGGTGTGATTCCAGAACAACCTCCTGGAGTCCCCCACCCGCCGTGGGAGAGATTGATAACGGTTGAATCTGCTGTCGGACGTGGGTGACTTTGTTAGAAAGGCGTTCGTGACGGTGAGGGTGGTGATGAAGTCGCTCCGACGATGAGGGAGGTGGTTGGAGCGAGTTGTTTTCAATTCGCCGTCCAAATGGGTGCGAAATGCCAAAGGTGACCTCTTCATGGTCGCTCCTTCCTCAATCAGCAGCGGGTCGTTTCCGCGCGAGCACCCCACCTCGTCGCACCCCACCTCCGCCAACGTCACTCTCCCAACGCACTCTCGACATCACCACCCCACGCACACCATCGCCGCCGCCGACACCGTCACCGATTGCCCTCCTCATCACTGCCCTACCCACCACCGCCCTCATCATCACCACTGCCCTCCTCATCGCCGCCTTCCCTTCCTCGCGACACCCGCCCTCGATGGCGATCCGTTTCCAACTCGGCTCGTCCTCCCCGCCAGCATCCAACATGCCGTCTTCACCAACTGAGGCGAAGTCGGCGAGAAAGAGCAAAGCCCGCGAGGTGAGTGTTGCCAGACAAGAAGATGTGTCTCGCAACTCTGACCGCCAAGACAGAGAGCTGGAGATGTCGAGCTCAGAGCCCAATACAACGAGGATGCGAGTGCGCAGCTGATGATGGAAGAGGACGCAGCCGCTTCTCAGATGACAGTCGTCGATCCTCAACACAAGCTCCCCAGACTCAGACGTCTTCGGTCCAAGGTCATGATCAACTGCAGCGAGGGGTTTCGCACCCCACCGGAAAGCCCTTCCCAGCAGAGATTCGAGGGCACCAATCAGAAAGAGACTGCATTCCTCAACAACCCCAGAAGCACGCTGTTCTGGCAACCAGGTGTGATTTTCGACGGCAACCCAGACCACCCGAGCTCTCCTTTGGGCTTCCCCGCCGCCAGCATGGGATACCGATGTGTGCAGTCCACCAGAATCCCCGCAAAACCTTTGCACGCAACATCCGCCGGCACTCGTGACGCTGGACGATACGGCACCCTGGACGAAGAAGAAGATCGTTTGGCCACTCTGCTCGGTTATGGAGGAGAGGACGAGAAGGAGATTGTTGCGCAGCAAGAGGAGGCTCAAGAAGAGCAAGATTATGAAGACGCGGAGAGGAGGAGAGAGCTTCTGATAATGTGGTGGACGGTTATGATCGTGGCGGCCGGATCTCTCCTCGTTGGCGTGGGCATTGGCCTTCTCGTCCGGAAAGACGCACACGAGGGTCGATGAAGATAGACGTCCTCGCTGTTCGAGATGGACATTGCTCTTGTTGGAGGTCTGATGCCGCATGGGGCTTGCTGAAACGACCTGAGTGGTGGACTTGGAAGACAGTATGGCATCCATATCTCGCTCAGACGCAGAGGTAGTACAGAACGAATGCAGGAGCCCATCATGGTGCTGTCGTCTTGCTCGTGGTCAGCACATCAGAAAGATCATACCACACGTCATACGAGACTGTCGCATGTAGAACGAGCACCAAGCTCCTCCTGCTCTTCGCGTCTGCCTTCTTCTTGCATGTACACGGTCGCGACGACGACCGGAGACTTCCTCAGGACAACATTCCGCCATTCTTGAAGAGATTCGCAGTGATCAGATTATCCGGTGAGCATTCCAGATGCGTTCACCACAACACCACCGACTGCGTCTGCACAACTATCAACGTTCGCGCTCCAAGACGGGCATCGTCAAGGTCATGAGACAGACGCATCATTCTTTCCATCCACTGCATCACAGCAATCACCAGCAGCGTGTCCGAGAATTCTTTCAATCCTGTCGATTCTCATCTCAATGCCAGCGGCCCACTCAAGATCGTCTTTCCAGCTACGAACGAACGTCTACGAATGCTCATCATCTATGTCGATCACGAAACTTCATGACCATCCTTCTCACGGACAACGACTGGAGCATCGCCGTACAGATGGTGAGATGCAGCAAGCTCAGGGGTGATACTGAGACGGGTGCGTTCGCGGACGGCAACATGATGCACGGCACGCTGTATGCGAGACTTCGATCAAGACCTTCACCACGGCCGCGAAAAGGTTCCGAACGAAAGAAGAACGCACATTCAGACCGGCGCATGGCTTTGAAGAACGAGACGGCACCGTACGCTTAGAGTATGGCTTGATAGGATGGCGGACAACACATGGGTATGCTCTTTGTTGGAGTTGCGAATGTCGTCGAGCAAGAACGTCTTCAAGGAACGAGCATCAATATCGAAGGACGGCTGAACGGAAGACATCAAGCTTCGCACGTCCAATGCAGCCATTCAGAGACATTGCGGAAGTATTCACAAGCGCTATCTCTGAACGCAGAGACGAAGGTGATACCGGTTCTGTGCAGTGCTCATCAAGACAACACTGCGAGCTCAAAGGTCATTGCAAACAAGCAGCCGAAGAATGCACATCATCTTCGGCGGCGCAAAGCATGAGAGAATGACCCGATATTCCCAAGCCGACCTCTCGAAGATCAGCATGCTTTACATGCATCATGTTGGTGAGAATGCTGAATATCCCGTGGTGGTGGACACCCATGGCTGGGGCATGAGTGGTGCACAGTTCTGGTTATCCAGACCATGAGGATGAGTTTCTCACGACCAAGTGAAGTCATTTGTCGCGCTGAAGATGGATGATGTGTGGGCGACTCAAGATCAAGTTCCGCTTTGAGATCAACACGGCATCTGCATCTCGCTGACTGTGAGGATAGACCGCTGCCGGCACCACTCGGAGATCTTCTTGGTTCTGCTGCGAGAGATCAGGAAACCATCGCTTGACAGTTGTATGCTCACGTTTGTGTCTCAGGAATGAGCTCGACGAATGTCTGGTCGATGAGAAAGTGGAGAGGTGTTGTATACACGGCACATTGGAGCTTCCAAGATATCTGCATTCATTCTCGTTGTCTGGGAGAACAACCTTCTTCGGCAACACCACCACCAACTGCCTCATGGCCGAGACCGCTTGCTCCAATGCATGTCTGCGCACGAATGCCTTCTGACATCTACATGTACTCAGACGCAATCTGGAGGTAGACGATGATCATCTCCTTCTCCGACTTCTTGACCTCGTCCACCAATCTCTCAACCTCGTAGCCTTGCAGATGAGCCGCATGCTCAATCGCTGCGAAAGCCTCCTCCTCCGACTTCAGGGTATGACCGTTGGCACTTGAAGAAGCTTTCATCTTCCTCGCCAGCTTGTAGGCCTTCCATTGCGCATCTCTGACCTTCTGCGCTCGGAGGGCCTCTTTCTTGTAGCAGTGGTAGCTTATACGCAGTTGCATCAGCTCGAACGTTGGCATTGGAAAGTCGAACTCCTCATAGCTCGTCGCGGCCATTGCCATGAGTTCATCTGCGAGATTCTTCGCCTTTCTCAGAATCTTCTGGTGCTCGGGCCCAAGCTGATGCATGTCGTGAGCTCCAATGCCGACTCCTCCCTCGAGATACTCGTTGTTGACACGCTCAGTCTTGGCATGTCCGTCCGTGGTATGCTTGTCCTTGGCATGCTTCTCGACATGCTCGCTCTTGATATGCTTCTTGACAGGCTCGTTCTTGACACCCTCGTCCTTGACACGCCGATCTTTGGCATGCTTGTCCTTGCCATCTTCATCTTTGACGTCTTCATTCTTGATGTCCTGATCCTTGGTGTCCTCACGCCTGACGCCCTCATGCGTGACATCCTCATGCTTGGCATCCTCATGCGTGACATCCTCATGCTTGGCATCCTCTTGCTTGACATCTTCAGCCTTGAAATCTTCAGATTTGAGATCCTCTTGCTTCACATCCTCCGACTTCAGGTCTTTGTCCTGGATATCTCGATCTTCATCATCGTCAGAACGTCCTTTCTCCCTCGCAAGTCTCTTCCGTGGCGGCGGTGGAGTGTCCTCGTGGTCCATCTTCCGCCTCTGGTGTGGGCGCCGCACTTCTCTGCTTGTGGTCGAGTCAATGTCGGCCTCGGTTGCTCGGCGCTTCCTCGATCCTTGCCGTGTCGCTGCTGCGTAATCGGAGGTTGCCGTCGGTAGAGGGGTGGAGACGAGGCGGCGGGTGGTGGTGGGCGGGTTGCCGGCGCAGGGAGTGGGGTGAGCGTGCTGCCGTCCATGTCAGCATTGGCGGCGGATGTCTGTACAGGCCTCACTCACCGGGAGAGGTTGCATCCTGGCAGGCTGAGGAAGGTGCGACGACACGATTCGTGTGGGCGCCATGTCCAGCCGGATGGCGGTGTTGTTGGGGAAGTGCGGTGTGGCGTGGCGTTGGTGGGGAGGTGCGGTGTGGCGTGGTGAGAGAGAGAGAGAGAAGTTGCAGGCAGGAAGTCGCGAGGGCGGGGATCGCGGGGCTGTTGGGTGGTTGCTTCCTTCGCCGCTTGAGGAAGGAGCAGTATGCGCATGATTCATGAGACCGTCTGGACTTCACCTCCTCCGCTCACGCCACATCAGCCGCTCAGATCACGCCCCCATGTCGCCGTCCAACACCGCCGCGCACCCATCCACCGACGTCGTCCCCGCCAAGCCATCACCGCCATCACCACCCTCACCAACCCCACCAGAGACCACGCCGTCCCAGCGCCGACTCCTCGATATCGCCATGGAGCTCCACAACCTCATGGCCCGCCAGTCGGTCTTGCAGCGCAAAAGGACCCCCAACACAGAGGAGCTCGCAGATGTAGAGGCCCGCATCACCGCTTTGAGGAACGCGAGAGAAGACGTCGTCCAGGTCATCGAGGCGGAAAGCCTTCTCCGAGGGATTGCCAATACCAAGACCAGCTCTCCCACAACCGCAGCCCAAGATCAGCGGGAACAGACATCACCACCTTCCAACCCGAATGGGTCTCTGCCCGCCCGATGTGCATCGTAATCAGAGCAAGAACACACTCCCCTCGATCTGGCCGTCTCGATCTGAGCACTCGGCATGAACTGGACCAAGAAGTCCCACGAACTTTTGAGCCTCTTTCCGCCCGTCGGTCTGCCCGAGAGAACGTCCTCGCAACCGCTCAGACACACGACACAGCAAGCGATGGGGTGGCGAGAGTCTCAAATCCTTTCTGTAGTGCAACGCATCTTGTCGACACAGCTGGGCACATGAGTAGAGTGCAAAGGTTTTCGAGGTAGCTGAAGGGTCCATTTGGTGATTGGGGGGTCGAAGAAGCGATTGCCAGCCGAGACAATGGAAGACCTTGCAGTCATCTCGAGAAGAATCTCCCTTGGACAGTTCAATCTTTCTTCGCTCACACATTCATTGCGCAATGCAGGGCGAAGGATCTCGCAACCTACGGTCCTTCACTTCCTCCACATCTGCCATGGGATCCTGTCTCGCTGGACTGAACAGTGAGGACTGACGCCATCGATGCCAGGCTTCACGCGTGACCATCCGCGCTCACGTCGTTTCAGTAACTAGTCCTTTTCCCCCTCTTGGAGTCGCTTTTGAAACCTCACTGACTGTCCAGCATCCTTAGATCTCCAACAACCTCGAACGCTCAGCATTGTCGAACTTCCAGAACCCTCGAACGTCCATCATCTCGACGCTCCGGCTCAGAAACCGCCTCAGCAACCGCCTTCTCATCTCACCCCGCCTCTCTGGCTTACCCCGCCTCTGAACATCACGTTCACTGACCGCGAAGGGCCTCGACAGCATCTCACCGTCTACTCAAGACCACCGCCGCCATCCGACAACACGCTCTCCATCGACACCAACCATCACACCCACCGCCCACCGTCTCACCCGCCACCACCACCTACATCCATCAAAACACACGCGCTGAACTTCCGCACCTCCAATTTCAGCTCCATCCCCTGCCCGCAACCTCACAGCCACAATCACCTACTCCAAAGAACTCCCCCACCGCATCCTTGCGACCGCCAACTGCCTCCACACTCTGTGCTGAAGCTCCCCTGTCATCCCCGCCACCATGGCCGGCAACGTTTACACCAGGATTTGCAACACTCTTTGCGACATCGACGAAGTCGCACAGCTCAGAAATGAAATCAGAGAGGGGATGGAACGTGCAGGGATGCTGGATAAGCGGTTGAGCAAGAACTGGAGGGAGGAGACCAAGGAAGAAATCTGGCCTGAAGTGGAGATGACGAGGATTGGCAGAGCCTTCAAGAAGAATGCGCCTCCAGACGAGTACGAGGAGATGCAGCATCATCTCATCAAGTTGGTGAAAAGGACACACCTCACAATGGCGAGAGACAATGCTGCAGAGCCGAGCAACTCTGCGCAAGGGCGTGATGCTGGAAGTCAATCGTCAAGGCCAATGCAGAAAGGGAGCTTGGCCTGTCAGGAAGATGAAGAAAGCGTGGAGCAGTCGCGCCAGTCAGATGCTGCACGTAATCATGGAGATCAGTCAGGACGATTCAAGCCGGCTAAACCGTCCCAAGATCAAGACACGGCTGCATTGGGCAGGCCTACATTCGGACCAGGGGATTCGTTCAATCCAATGGTGCCGACATGGCATCATGATCTTGCTCAACAGCATCGTCTTGGTAGCCCGCAGACACTGACAGGGCGCATGAATGATTACGACGAAGACCAGGCAGCGATGCCGCAGCCGACGTGGAATCGAAGAGCAGACAGTCCGCAGGCTGAGTCTTGAAATCAAGTCGTCAAGAAGGAGACGGCTGGAGAGTCGCTCGGCGATCAGCCACCTGCTACAGGCCAAGGCGGCCTTCACTCATTCAAGACCCACTCTGCGATTGTCGCACAATTACGAAAGGAAACGCTTGAATTTTGAAGAAAGTTACCAGTGATGCCGACAGCACCACGAACGAATAACGGGCCGCCGCCTGGTCACACAACTCGATTGTCCTTGCTCGACGTTGACGCAGAGGCACGAAGAAAGGCGTACCAGCCTCCATCTGATGCTGCAGCTCCTCGTTTGGATCCAGATCCGTGGCATGCCGACACTGCAAGGCACGACGCCCGTCTCAGAGAGATCATGATCGATCTGCAAGAAAAGGATGGCCGTGTTTGCGAAGAAGATGCAGAGTTTCTAGTCCTGATGAGCGGTGAAGGATCGAGGATGAGCTCGGCAATGCACCGCCGCCTTGCCTTCCTTCTGCATGAAATCTGGCAAATCTGGCCCGGTGAGGACGACGAGGTAGATGACAGCGATGTTGCAGCTCTGATGGGAGTCATTGGCGAAGCCCAGGAAAATCTGGAGTTTGAGGAGTACGATCTGGCACAATTACTCCTGAACAACATTCTTGAATATCTGAGGTCCATAGGACTCTGATGAACGAGCTGGAGTGCTTTGAGTCAGCAGATTAAAGAACTCTTGAACGTCGGAAGAGAACGCCGGCTGCTCTGCTCTTGCGAGTAGACGGTCGAGCGTCCATGAACACGGCGAGAAGGATATCTCTGAACTTTGAGACGGCGATGACGAGCTATAAGTCTATAGCGAATGAATCTCAAAGGTCGAGGTGTTACAGACTTCATCATATCTCCTCCATGATCAAGACGGCGGTGCGTCTGACCTTCTCCAGGGAAGCAAGCATCCGTGACATGATGCAGACAAGGCTGGAACGACATGCTTTGTTGCCGATTCTACAGCGGCAGAAGCTTTTCGGCTTGCGTGTCTGGATTCAGAGAACTTCGCACCCAGCGAGCAATCGAAGGAAGCAATCGGTGCATGCGTTCACGGCTCAAGACGGCATTCTCCTCTTGATACACCTCGCCCTTGATGAGCGAGTAGTCAAGACATAGCAGCCACTGGCTCGTCGAGATTCCTTCTCAAATCCGGAGCTCTGTGGTGTGTCCGTTGAAGAATGAGGAACTCAGACAAGTCGCATGAACATTCTCACGTCCTTCCTCGAGCTCATGATTCTTCTTGCCAACTCGGAAGCTCCAACGTCGTCTCGAGCACCAGGACACGGTCGATTTGGCAGGAAGAAAAGCATGAACAGATGATTCAGATTCGATTTCATCCGGCTCAAGACCTCACGGTTCTTCCGCTGTTGTTGCACAGCCGTGGAGCAAAGACATATCCGACTTTGCGCTCGCCAATCTCCGTATCGTCTCGACAATGTCACCTCTCCTGGTCTGAAAGAATCCCAACAGCTCACCTCCACCCCTCCAAAGTCGTTCCCTTCCCCTCGCCCGGCTTTTGATATGCTATGTTGACGTTCGATATGGCTCCTTGTATATCCTGGAAATGCTACGAAGCACCACCTCGTCTCTCGGCTATGTCATCTTTGACGGCCTCAACATGCAACATATCCCAAACATCTCTGGCGAAAGCTCGACTCTCGCTTCTTCTTGCAGGGCAAGGCCATATGTCTGTTGTGATTCGACGACGAACATGTCAGCACTCTTCGACGCCTTCTATCGCCTCTCGCCGGCTTTATGCCGAAGATTTGGGACGTCCACATCGCTGGCAGACCACTACCAGACAATCTGCTATTCCGACCAACCCCTCCACTCCTTCGGCTCAATCTTAGAAGCTCCGGATTGCATAAACCTTCCCCTGGTCCCCGTCCGAGACTTTCCTCTTCGACGAAGGCATAGCTGCATGTCGAAGAAGTCAACAAGCCTGACCCTCTCGAGCTCCCAGCATTTTGCATCGCCCAAGATCTTCCTCCTCCTGCTCCAAGACTTCATAGGATGGCGAGACAATATTTCCATCCACCAAAGAGCACAGATAGCCGGAGGGCATCCGCACAGGTCCTTGGTTCATCCCCACCCTCTCCAAACCATAAAATGTCTCCCTCTCCTCCTCCAAAGCCACCCTTGGCTCCTGCGTGAAAAGAGCAAGAATGTCGTCTCGTCTTTCAACGACTTCATCTCTGGAAAACGTCATTGACTGCAGACTTCTGGCCGCAAATCACATAACCGCCTGGTCGTTGAGTCTCCTCGGCTTGGTCCTCATCAGGCTGTATTCCTCGGGATTCCGCCGTTCTCTTCATTCCTTTTAGATCGCAACGATGTCGTCTGATATCCACACGGATCCGGCTCTCGACTTCTTCATCTTGGACGGCTCGGAACCTTTCATCATACTAACCTCCCCGTGCTAAGTAATCGACGCTGCTGAAGCTTACCATGAAGCAGATCTGACCTTTCATGCGTCACCATGCTCGATCTCTGCGGAGCAACCGCTTGCAGATGCCCGGTCATTCCGAATGAAAAACAGCCGCATGTCTGACGGATTCGTCGACCAGGTCATCAATCAAGCCAGACTATCGTCGCCGGCTCAGAGTGTATACTCCAAGATTGAGATCAGACTTGATACAGACATTGTTCCGGGCGATTCTGATGTGCGCAGCAACGTCGTTCCACCAAAAGTTGCATCGAAACTGTCGATCTTGCCTTGGCCGGTCTGGGGGGGTGGTCAGCCGCTCTTGCAGCCTGTTGTCTTTCGAGCCTCCACCCAAGATGGACAAGGAACAACGATACTTGGTGTCTTGGTACTCTCGTCGTCTCAAGGGTCATAATCTCTCAGTCCTGGCATTTAACGAACACCAGAGACAGCACGCTGCTTCTCCAACACCGGAGACCGTCACCTTGATCGACTTTTCGTCCACGCCAGGGCATCAAAAGCAACAGGGAAGATATCGCCGGCTACAGTCTGCCAAGTGCGAAGTTGTTCTTGACTCGGTCGATCTATCTTCAAGATCGTGAAGAGATTCGTTTCCAAGAGCAATCTGATACGTTGAGAAAGTTCCCCGAATTCGACCACGACTGCCAGCGCTTCTATCTTCAGCAGTACGACTTCTGATTGTCGTACGAGCTCGTTCGGATCTTCTTACGATTAGTTTTAATCGTCTGGACAATCCATTTCGATCGTCTGATCAATCAATTTCGATCGTCTAAACAGCCCATTTCGAACTCCTCCTTCATCACTTTCGATCCTCGTTCGAATCCATTCATCCCCGCTCAGAGACTGCCTTCAACTGCGAAGATGACCGTTTCATCTTTGATATTGAATCATTTCTCGACTCTGCGAACGAATTTATCTCCCTTGATTTCAGTGTTTGCAGCAGCTGGTTCCAGGCTCCTTTTTGGAGCTTGCACGATTTCGAGCTTGTGGTGAACGATTTTCGTACCATGACTCTTGCTATTTCGCCTCAACCACAAGCCGATTTCGCCTCAACTACAAGCAAATTTCGTTATAACTACGGATCAATTTACAAATCCGTGCATATCTCTTTCTTGATTCTTCGAACGGATTCCTTCAATCTTGGAATGGGTTTCTTTTCCGCACGAAAGAGTTTCGGGCGGTCCGGCAGACGATTTTGGCGGCTTTGATCCATCTTTCGTATCTATGGACGTTCTGTTTTGCGGAAAGCTGCACTGGATTGCTTTGACGAGGATTCAGATACGAGAAGAGAGCAAAATGTTGAGACTGGCGTGGTTCAAGGGAGCCAAAGGCATTGCGAGATCTTCAGGAATGTTCGGAGATTGGCAGTTGTTGGGGCTTGGGCTTGGTTTTCTTGATGCCTTGATTTTGGACGCATCATTGAGCGTGCATCCACAAATCGCTTCTCGAATATATTGGTACAGACTGTCGCTGCTGCTTGGACTTTGAAGGCTCTTCGAGGGGCAAGAGATCCCCGGGACCGCTTTCCAATCTCTCGCTACATTGCCACTCTCATATCGTACATCTCTCCATGGTCCGATCTGCTTCATTCTTTGTCACGTTTCTCGCCCATCTTGCTCAGAACGCTCTCCAGCGCCTTGAGACCGTCAGACATCAGGCCCTCATGCACAACAAGGAGGTGCGCAGCGGCTTCTTGGACGTGCTTTTGGAGCACTGCATCCCTCTCTCCCAGTGGATACCGGCGGGAATCCTTGCGCCATTCGGCCGCAATCTTTCTGAACGTCGTGAAGAGCTGGTGACAGGCCGGACTGGACGATTCGTGAGCTCCCTTGACCGAAGCTGGAGGCTCCTCTTTCTTCAGAACCTGCACGATATAGTCCTCCAACCTCGCGAGATCTCCGATGGTGTTGGGTCCCCAATTCTTAGCGACATGGTCTCCGAGGACAAGAAGCTGCTCCCGCGGTGGTGGTGGCTCGTAATAATAGCTCGGCACCATGTCAGGACTCTCGTCTTTCTCTTCCAATGGTTGCTGGCGCTCGTTCTGTGGCTCCGGACTGGGTAGAGTGCCGAACATATTCCGCGACTTCTTGGGAGCCCGCGGAACGCTCGAATCCAATCTCTCGGCATTGCGGGGAGCAGCTGGGCGGCGAGGCGTATCGTATTGGCCGCTGGGAGAGGCGCTGGTACGGTGTGGTGACTCCTCGTATTTGCGCTTGCTTTTGCGGCTCTCGAGCACCTCCTCTTGCCCCCGCAACTCCGTCATTTCGATTCTCTGATCACCTCTCATACAGGGAGCTGCTGGAGATGGACCGCGAGATATCTCACTGGGACAGTCGTCGGAGATGCTTGGGCGGTCTGATATCATTCCAATCTCGTTCTGCTCTTCCTTGATCTCGTTAGAGTCTGGTAGCATCTGCTGCATATCCAAAGACTGCTGAGCTGTAGGATCTGAGGTTTTTGGATCGATTGCGGGTGGCCATAGGCGAGATCTGGCTACGGGTGCAGTCTTGTTGACCATGCCCATCATCCAATCCAGGATCTTGCTGTGCATGTCCTTGGGTATCTTGTTCTTGAACGTCTGGCCGGCGTCGGTAGTCTCCACCGCTGCCCATATCCTTTTCCTCACGACTCGGTGCTTGTCTGCTTTGAGAGGCTGACCGAGAAACGGCTTGTCGTTGAAAGGCTGACGGGCCATCTGTTTTCTGAGTTCTCTCTTCATCTGGACAATGACCTTTTCCCCTCCAAGGCACCAGGCGGCAACTCGTTGCTTGTCTTGATCGTCGGCAACCATGATATTGGCAGGTTGGTGATTGTGGGGTGTGTGAGGTGGTGGCTTTTCGAGGACGTGGTGGTGGTTGACGGCGAGATGAGGTGGGTGTCGAAACGTGAAGATGAAGGTGTGATGAGCAGTACTGGGTGATGTCGCCGCAGAGCAGAGGGAGGTGACGTCGCGACCGGACGATGGCGATTTGTGTGTGTTGGTGAGGGTGTCGAGTCGAGGTGGAGGAAGACGAAGAGGTGGGGTGTCGCTCGTCCTTGAAGCGAGTCGCTCGGCGGTGACTTGGGAAGATTTGTCCATGCACGGTGTCGCACGGCAGAGCAGAGGGAGGCGGCGGCGCTCCTTCACTTTCGTCTTCACTCGATTGGCCGGCCTGGATGCGTTCGATGTGCACGTGCGACAATCGGTCGTCTCCTCCCTCTGCTCTGCTGGAGATATCAAAGACTTTGTGGTTGAGCTTCTCGTCTCCTTCCTCTGCTCTCGCTGGGATTCGAAAGAGTACGTATATTGCCCATCTCCTCCCTCTGCTCTGGCCGAGATACAAAACACAAAACAGTCCCTCGTCGGACTTCCGGCACGTTGCCATCTCCTCCCTCTGCTCTGGTGGAGATATCGGAAGGTTTCTCGTCGAGCTTTTGGCAAGTTGCTCGTCTCTTCCCTCTGCTCTGCCTGAGATCAGAGAGCTTGTCGTCGGGCTTCTGGTCACCTCCCTCTGCTCTGACTGAGATCTGAAAGAGTTGATATATTGCCTTCGCTCTGCTCTCCTGGAGATGTCAAAGAGTTTCTTGTCGAACTTCTGGTCCCTCCCTCTGCTCTGCCGGCCGCAGACGACCGAAATATTCCCTCGACCGCTCAGAAAAACACTTCGGAGACCAAACTATCATCTTCACCGGCTCTGATCGAGATTTGCCGCTTAAAACAGTCACGTCAATCGAATCAACGTCAGGAACAAGCCATCATCATTCAACTGCCTTCTCCTCAGCACGTCAAAGGCATACGACTCTCCATCAACCCTGCGGTCTATATCTGAAAATTACAAGAGTCTGCTCTTGATTTGGCAAGCCCTCGTCATGAGAGGCTGATTTTTCGTACAAGATCGTCTTCGCTCCCTCGTTCGTGTTCCGCCTGGCTGCACGACTCGCATTCACGGCACAAACATCCGCTGCTGCAGATCAACGCCTGACACTCGGCAACAGCTTGGTCTTCATGATTGAGACTTCAAACTGCAATCCATGTGACACCTCGGAGCTAGCATTTCCTATGAACATCGACTCAACGTCCAACGAGGATCAAACGTCGTGCTGGAGACATTTGCTTTCAAAAACACCACCCCAGTCCTCTTCCGGAGTCGGGAGGATGCCAAATGCTTTCTCCGGCAACATCTTTACCATCCGATCATCCGGAATTGTCCTTGTCGTTGCAGAGCCTGAGCCTGAGCCCAAAATTGCAAACCTGTCAGAGGACAGAGACTCCGCTGTGTTCCTCGCTGCTGCCACTCATCCACATCATCGTGGACCCCAGGGTCACAGGTGCTCGCTCAGCACATCTTTCGTACGATTTTTTGAAGAGCGATTAAGCTGACCCTGAGGCCGCGTGGATGAGGGAAGGTGATCACAACAGGGTTGACTTCCATTCCTGCCAGCTTAGACTGCATTCGGCCATCAAGACAAAGCTCAAGGAGTCAGACCTACTGTGCTGAATTCCAGAAGATCAACATCGACTCTGCTCTATGAGTTTTGTTGAGAACAGCGCTGCAAGTCAGAGCTCGCTATTTTCACCCAGTCTCGTCAAGCCCCAACACACTCCGCAAGCTTCCGACGTCCTATCGTTACACAACGTTCACGCTGAGCTCCGGATACGATTGCCACGATGTGTACGTTCCCGCCAGGCTTCTCCGCAAGAATCAGACTTGGTTTGATACCTTCCTGCCAACTGCTGGAGACACCGGCGTTGCCAGCTCGACAAGACACTGAGAATCGACCAGGACATCGAGCTTTTCTGCCACTGCCGCCAACGAGCATGTTTCGAACATTATGATGCTTTTCAACCTCATGAGCATGGACCGACTCTCGGGCTGGATCTTGGACAGACATACGGACTCATTCACCCCCGATCCAGCAAGATACTCCAACCGCGACATTCCCACCTCCCGTCGCTTATTTTGCCTTGGTACGGTGATGGTATGGCGTATTCGAATCCTTCGGACACAAAAGACACTTGGTGCTCGTGGCAGTCCCTCGACGAGCACAGGCAGCCCCATTCAGCGCTGGAGGCACCAGCTCCTGTTGAAACCAGTCCAGGTGCCGAACCTGTCGCATTCATTTTAGTACGGAACAAGAGACCTGAGAGACTCTGAGCCCTGCTCGCACAGAAATCCTCCGAAAGTTCGTGCAGCGCACCCTGCGTGATCACAGAGATCGTGGAGAGCATGGAGAGCGTGGAGACATCTTGCCCCTATACAGACGCTGAAACTCTCCTTCGGCGGCTGGGCATACTGCTTCCGTACATCACCCGAGCAGCGATGGCCTCGTCAATCGAGATGATTGCCGGACGAAAGATCACAGACACGGATGAATAGCCACAGCTGTAGGACGAGCCATCCAGGGGACGAGCGATACAACTATCAATGATCGCTAGAGAGCCAACAATTGGCAGGACGTTGAAATCCGGCCGGATGTCCAGCGTTCACCAGTCCGACGAAAGCCAGAAGGGCAACGCTTGCCGGAAGCTCGATCGGAGCGACTTCATCACACTACATGCGTCCATCCGAATGCTCGTGTACTCAGATATGTCAAAGAAGCGAAGCTGAGCCCTGGTGCTGAAGGCTTCGCTGGACCGGTGCCGCGGCAAACTTCGCGTTGGAAGAACGATACAATGCTGATGCCATCGACAACCACAATCCGAGACGCCGGACGTAGGAGGTTGGCCAGCTGCTTGAGATCCCTTTTCAGTCACACGGACGAGCTGACTCGGAGGCACCGGGGGAAGAGCCTTTCCCATCTCGCCAGACGAGTGCTTTGCATAGTTGCCAGCTGAGCTTTGATCCGCGTGGCGCATCAACATGAAAATGTTGGCCGCTTGGATGTCGTCGCTGTCGTAGTGGCTCGAGCATGTCTCAGATGATGGTTCATACGGCATAGTCGGCGTTGTAGAGTTCTCGTCCGCCCTTATGCAGCGGTGGACCGACCAGGTAAGCGGAGTTGGAGGTGTTATGTTAGAAAGCAGGGAAGTTGAACCCGTACAGATGAGGACAACACGCTTACGGTTTTCTGTAGATCGCTCATAGCAGATGCAGTCTGTGAGAGACGACTGCCCCTGAGACGAGGAAGGTCTGCTCAAAACCGTTCACCCTCTCGAAAGCCCGGACGTTGCTGCGTGAAGACAATGGCGCGTGAATGGAGAACGTCGGACTGCACCTGTCTTGAGGAGAGGTTGTCGATTGGTGACTTGCTCCGAGGAGTCCATGACCTTGCCTCGAAGAATGTCCCCATCATTATGTTCATAACGATCTAGAGCTGAAGGAACGAGGCTTCTGTACACTGGCACAGGTTTCCACGCTGCTGGAACTGTTGGAGCAGCTTGGGAGCAGAGCAGAATGTGTCGTGGGACCAAATGGTGACTCCGTGCACGACAGACTGCGTTGTGGCATCAGATGCCCGACAATCATTGCGCTTTCGCGTACGTACTCGTTTTATCAAAGACGTTGGCTTATGCTTGAATATTCCGGAGGCGATGCGAACGATCGGAACAACGTGCAGTCCGTCTCCGGAAGGGCCATCAGCGGATTACTTTAGTCTTCTTAATGCGCAATCCCTAAACCCTGGCTGTACGTTTGCTCCTCGCCAACTCCGTTCGATACTTGGGAACGTCCGCCCCCATCTTCGTCACGCATATCGACGCCCTCATCATAGCTTTCACGAATCTCCGAGAATCGCTAATTCTCCCGAACGGGTGGGTAAACATCGCTGACTCCTCCCTCGCTACAACCGGATCGTCCAGCTTCCAAGCTACAGCACGTTGTGACCAGGATTTGGCACCCATTGAGGGCGAAATGACCAGCTGATAACTGCACTGAGACATTACCGCCTTCAACGATGCTCGTCTTGAATGCCTCGTGTTGGAAGAGAGAACGAGATTGATATTCTTGGGGAGGCTACGTCGATAGAGATAGACGGTCAAGACGATATAGCCGGTCGGATCAGGAGCCGAGTTCGACGAAGCAGACGAAGGGTTTGTGGATGTTTATAGCCTGTGACCAGGGCAGAAACGATGGCGTTGCTTACCCCTGCAAATCCAGCTTTTATGCATTCCCTGAACTGTTTACGGCTTGCAAATCATCCAACCAAGCTGCTCGATTGTAGAGGCGCTTTCTTTTACGGAAAGGTAGAGAGACGGCAGCTCGATACCTGCGGCCAGATACCTGCGGGAACCTCGGATACCTACGAGGGCTAAAGACTCGCATGAATGCTTCGAGATTGTCTCCAAGGACCTGCGACGGTTAAATACCTGCGGCCAAATACGTGCGAGGGCCAAAGACCTGAGGGCGTCTTAAATACCTGCGGCCACATACCTGCGAGATCCCAAGTACCTGCTCGATACAAGAAGGCACCTAGGAGTACACATTTAGCGAAGCACCTCCCGATAACGCCAGAGCAATGGCCGGTGGAAGCGCTCCAAAGTGCTTGCCGCAAACATCTTGATGATACGCAGCAACAGCAGCAGGCACATGACAAGATCGATGGATGGCGAAAGTTGTCCGAGCCGGAGATGCCAAAGTACTCTGGAACCTACCTGGACAGCGTATCTGTCAACAACCGTCGCACTGGATCCTCTTCAGGTTTGCCGAATGATGCAAGACATGCTGTTGCAACCGTAGGAAGGCTTTGCTGCCCTCACCGTACAGCAGGGGCATGTCGGCGTCGAACAGACCAAGCAGCAGTATGCAATGTCTTGCTCACTCAAAAGGCCGTGAGCTCGTTTAAGCAGGGCGCCTGGCTGAGGTGCGACATGGCCATATGGCTGAGCCGGCTGTGGTACTGCGCCTACATAGGGAGTACGTGGTGAAGCGGCGCTGTAGGGTTGCCCGTTTCCAGAATGGATGCGGCAGCTAGAGAGAGAGAGAGATCTTGCTTCGAGGTGTTCCCTGCGAGACGTTCATTGAATGAGGAATCTTCTTGATGGATCGTTCGGTCATTCAAAAGGTGCAGCAGCGAGGCTGAAGCGATTGAATTAGCTGGAAAGTCGATGCTTTCTTCGGGTCCTACGTCTTCGGTCGGAGAACATCAGGTGGTCAGTGGACGACCGCGAAGGAAGCAAAGTCGTGACTACAGGCCGCGAGAAAAGCAGCCTCGTCGATCAACATGCTTTCCGCGTATGCTCTCGCTTTCAAGGCCACGACGCAGCCTCTCGGGGTCTTGGTCACGATCTGCCGCGTGTCTTTTAGAGTTGCGTAACATCTGAGTGCTCGTATCATGAGGCGTGTTCAAGTCTTAACTCGATTGATTCACGAAAGCTCAATTCGCGGGCGCGGAAGGACAAGTTGTAGCTCGTCAAAAACACTCCCAATCTGCTGCAGATATCAGAGTGCCCGCCGCTTACTTTTCCACCCCTGAATCCAAACGAAGCTTACCTGCAGCCTGACCGGGCACAGAAGACAGTTCTCGGCTAGGATTTCGTTCATAACATGATTCGGCGCAGGAGCAACGTCATGACCGCTCGAGGAACAGCGAATGGTCATAAACAAGCAACGACGCACTGCATGTCCTCCAGAGGGCAGGTCGTTTTTGTCCAATCACTCCCATTCTTTCTGCTTCCTCTGAATGGACGGAGACCGACTATCTTCTGCATGATCAGAGCCTCACCAGCAATCTTCTACACGGTTGTCTCATAGAGAGCAACTCGCTCATCGGCATTCCGGCGCATTGTAGATGCCTGTCGGAAAGTAACGAATGCAGCGCACGTCTCGATGCGGGTTACATTCCCAGGATCAATTCCTGCGGATAAAAGAAACAAGAAAGCAGGACGGAGCATCAATCGTATAATAACACCACGGAGCGAGAACGTGTTGACCTCCGTTTGGTCTCCATCCCTCGCAGACTTCTCTCGAAACAATTAAAAATTGTTGAGAGTTGAAGATTGCAAAGTTGCGAAGTTAGGAGAGCGCTGGAAGCAAGCACGGGTAAAGAATTGCTGGACAAAGAAGACGGGGAGACGTACACGATGGATCCTGGAGACGAGCGACCAGAATAGAGGGAGAGAACGCAGGTGCCATCCTCTTGTCGAACGAATCGACCAGGCATCGAGGCGTCCCAGGAAGCAACAAGCTGTCGATCGACAAAGGTTTCCACTCGGGATGTTTGACTGCCTGCAAAGGACTCGCAATAATAAGGCCAATGGGTTCCCCGATCAATCTTATATCCTCCTACGCATCGACAAACCCTCAAGTCCTGGGACTTGCGATGTCCTCGCCGCAATAGGTCGGGTAGGGAGCGGAACGAGACGTCTGTGAATTTGTTCGTGGACGGACGCAATAGTCAGTCAGCTATTGAGCAGGTTGACTTCCAAACCGTCGGGCACTTGGAATCTCCATCGAGACGCTTCTGCGACAACCCAATAAACTTCCCTTGAGCTACTACATGCAACAGGACGGCGTTGTCATTGTTCACGAGCACTGGAGCATTGCAATTTACCTCGAATGATTGCAGACTACGAGGCAATGCTCTGCTCTGTACGTCGGACTTACTCTAATCTTTGAGGATCTGCAGCCCTTGCAGCCTACATTGCAGTCTCAACGCAAACCCGGCTAGCTCCCTGTAGTCTTGAAAGTGCAGGTGTGAGCAATTTACAGGTGCAATGCATCTAGGTATAGAGCTTCATTTGAGAAGATTCTTGAGGAGACAACAGAAGAAGCAGTCGTCTTAGCTTTCTCTTCGCTAACTTCGCGTTGTAGAGGCAGTACTATGGAGTAAAGCCCGGTGTAAACTGCCAAAACGAGACGCAGGCGACGCTTTGGCTTACTTCCTCTGAGTACAACTGTCCTGATTTGGTCATGCGAGTAATTGTGCTGTCTAGGCGGGAATCGCAGACCTGTCTTTGTGCCTATGTACCTCTCTATCTCTCTACTTGTTTACTCGTTTCCCTGTCTATCTATTGACTAGTCTACTTACCCGTTTACCTGTTTACCTATTTACCTATTTATCTATTTACCTATTTATCTATCTATACTTATAACAGCTCTAGCTTCTCTATTAAGGCAATAGGACCTACTACGCATAATGCAAGTGCCTTTGTAAAGTTACTATTTGTTGCACACAAGGAGTAGCGGGTCTAAAAGTAATAAGTATATGCGCTATCTTAGAACTTGAAGTAGGGCTATTTACCGAGCTACTAGACAGGACATCCTAGCCCTTCCCAAAAGAGCAGTATGCATCTAGAACCGTAATAAGCGTACGGAGGTAGAAATAAGAGGCCTGTTTAAGCTAGAGCCTTATAGCGACTAATAGGATAGAGGAGTAAGTGTAGTAACTAACTATAGCCTTCTTTTACTCGCCTATATTTATAGGCCTTTTTTTAGAGGAATATTCTAGATTTTATATTTCAGATTTAGATTTGAGACTTAGTTTTCAGATTCTAGATTTAGATTCTAGATTTAGATTCTAGATTTTGAATTTAGATTTTATATTTTAAATTTAGATTCTAGATTTAGATTTTAGATTTTAGATTTTGAATTTAGATTCTAGATTTAAATTTTAGATTCTAGGTTCTAGATTTCAGATTTTGGATTTAGATTTTAGATTTAGATTCTAGATTCTAGATTTTAGATTTTAGATTTTAGATTTACCTTCTAGATTTAGATTCTAGATTTAGACTCTAGTTTTTGGATTTACCTTCTAGATTTACTAGTTTAGTAAATGTCTCAATCTTAAGGTTTTAGCCTCAAAAGGCTAGTGCTCTTTCTCTTTAGGCTAGGGCGGATTTGAGTAAACTTCCCAATACAGCTTTTAGCTGCGTTACCGTCTAGCTCAGCAAACCCTTTCTTCAGAAATCTTCAATGTACTTAATAATGCCTTGTCGTAGCAGCCTAGCGAACATAGACTGGTGCCGACAATAATGTCACTTGCATAGGGGCTCATGAGTGTAAACAAGAGAGACTTCTGCAGATCAGCCATAAGAGCTATAGAATACTACGTACCTGAGCATACCACTTAATCGGGCATATACGACATTGAGAACAGCGAACGATACCCACATTGTGCTTGTGTCACAGCTCACTTTGCAGTAATATTCGTGCACTGTCTCAGATCACGGAGGTCGTCTAGAAGAGTCCAATCGTTAAAGCATTAAAGAGCCGCAGCGGGGGAGAGGCTAGCTATGTGAGCCAAAGATGGCGTCCGTTAAGGAGGGATTCATTTTCCATCGTAGTGTAATCGATCCCGGCATCCACGACTACGACACGTCTGCTAGAGCCTTGACCTCAAGAAACGGAGGACAAGACGATCTGAAAGGGCGGCCTATTCGAGCTGAAGCTGTCTTCCCTAACGATAAGCGATATATTTACATATCTCCAAATGTAGGGGTCTGTGACAAAGAGGCAGTCTTACTTCGAGTTAATCTTAGCTCTCTACACACACCTTTCGTAAGCGATCAGAGTGCTATAGCGTACCCACCCACCTCCCTTGTACATACTGCACGTATTCGCGTTGCTACGGGGGTCCGCTGCCCCGCCTAGATAGTGGCTCACCGCTATTACCTGTCTAGGCATCGGCAGCGAGCCTCTGTACCCTAATCTGTTATCTTAAAGCAGGCTCTTAACGGGCTCACAAACTAAATATATAGAGCATACTACGGAACCATCCAAGTCTATGGACCGCAACCCGAGGCTGTTATAGGCGACTCTTATTGCTCTCCTTTATTGTCAGACAAGACGTCTATCTACGCGGCACCGCCTGTCCCAGAATTCGTAACGAGGAGGAGGCCTAGAAGCCCGCTAGCACATCTTCAAAGGAATCGTGTAAGGTATAGGATCCGAATACCGCTCGAAGAAGCGAACATCGACCTGGCAGCTCGAATTGGCGCTGGCAGTCTCTGTTAGAAGGACGGACAATCGACTTTCCATTCGATCGGCGCCATCTACCCCGTCCTGTACCGCAAGCTGTTAACCAGCATCGACGAGATCTATGCACCCCTCGCAGCGTTCGCCCGCTATATCACCTGCAGGATGGGCACTGCAGGATAGGCATGTGTGCGACTTGGCTTTGTTTCATGCGGCCTACGTTCTTAAGGACCTTGCAGTTGATTTTGTTTTCTTTTAGTTGGTCTCTCTACTTAGGGCACCTCTTTCCAACGACAGATACTTATTACCTCCCCAGGACCGTGTTTTACAACGGCCGTGAGATCTGTGGAAGATGAGTCCTATTGAAGCCCACCTACTCCATTGCTGGAACCTTGCTTCCTCCTAGCGACGGCGCTCGGATAAACCCATGCGCAAGCTATCTCGAACTCAAATCGACCACCAACTCTGCTCGAATGCGTCCTGAACCAAGACCCAGCTCGTACCCATCTTACTACAAGACCGATCTCCTAGGTCTCCCTCTTGAACTCTTTCTCCCGAACTCTCGAACTCTGTCAAACACTCTCTCCCCCGAACTCTCTTTCTCTCGTTCTCCTTCTCCCCAACCCTCCAATCTCTCTTCAAAGCTCCCTTTCGAATTCTCTAACACTCAAGTTCTGTCTCGAAGCTCTCTTCGAAACCTAAAGGCTCATCTTTTTCCGCAAAAGCAGACCTCTAAAAGACAGCATTGCTCTCGAAATGTCAGCCGGAAAGGAAGGGAAGTCGTAGTCGTTCACAAGGAGGCAAGTACAGAATTATCTGAGCGCGGAGATACGACCAGGCTGTGGTATCTTGTGCGAGCGTCAGAAGCAGCGTTGAGGTGCCAGGTGCAATCCATGAGCTGCGATGAGTTTCAGACATTGTAGACAATTGTGTGACCAGATGAGCAAGACCGCAGGCTCGTAAGGGGCTTCCAACGGATATGACATGAGAATGAGCATCTGTTACGCGGATCGGATTTGCGACGAAGACTGCGGGCATACCAAAACGTTTCCGGATTCTCATCGGAAGCAATCGCCGGCAGAGAGGGGGAAGTATTGAACGAGAACAGAGTTGGCTTCCCAAGCTGCACTCATTGCCTGGCATGCTCCTCCAACAATGATCCAGTTCAGTCGTCTTTCGTACGCTCGAACCCTTTGAACCTCCTTGTCTCCTGCCATGAGGCTCAAATATCAGCGAAGCAAGCGGCTTGGCCTTGGCGGCAAATAGCTGCCAAGATCATTGAATCCCCGTTGACACTGTGCCTTTTACACTACATGTTTTCACAGCATCTAGCGAGCATGTCCGCACTCGTTAGGAATGTAGAGAACAACGCACTTCGCCACGTTCCAGTTTCGAAGAAGCACCGGCATCCAGGCAGACAGGTTCCGCTCATTGGAAGTCTGCCGTGATCATGCCTTTTCGAAAAAGCACCCGATCACCGCCTTGGGAGATCCACGGATCGAGTATTCAAGGATCCGTGCGGAAACGCTTTCTTTCTGCATTTCCGACAGCTTTGGACGTCCAGGGTTGAGTGCAGTGCATGCCTGCACGATATCTAGAGCGGTCGTGATTCCGTTGCAAGGGTCACGTTGGATGGGCTACGAAATGATCATAATGCTCTGGGAAAGAACAAACGTATGGTGAGATGTCACACAGCGCACTGGGTTGACGGGGTTTGTTGTCAATGATAAGATCGACAAGCTGAAGTCAAATGCCAAGCCGGTCACTATACCTTTTTAGGCTTACTCTGCCGGTTGTGCGGGGCAACGCGAAGCTCACATCGATTCACGCGGACACCAACACCTCAACGTCGACCGCATACTCCCTACAACCTAGCACCAAATTAGTATTCCACCCTCGACGCGTCCATGTTCTCGCCCCATGGAAATCGAGCTGTGGATACAGCAATGCGCCGTCCCCGCGTGCCTCCCCCTGTCGACTGAGGAGAAGACCACCAAGAAGCGTGCTCTCGCGGAAATGGACCCCAACGCCGTCCCCATCACCACACCCAAGCGCCTCAAGCCTGCGCGCGCTTCTCCTCCTCACGATCCAGACACCGACTGCGACCAAACCCCCAAGGCCGATCAGCCGGACCGAACCTCGACTCTCTTCGACTCCGCTGCGCCGCGATTCCCTGCCCCGTCTTCCTCGACCGCTTCCTCGACCACTTCCTCCAACAAACGTGGCCGAAGCGGCTATGAAGGCGACGGCAGTCCATCCGCTCGCCCTTCCAAGAGCAGCAGACGCTCACAAAGCCCTCAAAAAGCCTTGGCTGTGCGTCAGAATGCTATGAGCTATCCATTACGCCAGGGTCTGCTGGCTGATTGGGCAACAGTGCCGCAAGATGTGAAGAACCTCACCAAATACTTCAAACAGTTGAGGAATGATACGGCTGGTGTCTTGCCCTCGACGTGCAATACAGATGCCTTTCGGGCAGCGTTGACGCAAGGCGATGCGGAGGAGGACGAGGCCCTGTTCAAGGTCGTCTTTACGGGACCACCGCAAGAGCCGGTCCCTACCTTGGACTGGACACGCGATATAGTCGCCAAATCGCGCCAGAACAAGTCCCGTGTCGTCAGCGAGGCTCATTGGAACTCCAGCGTTCATCACAACGTCCTCGATGCCGCTCTGCAGGACTCACGATTTCGAGAAAAGCTGCTCTGCGACAACATCACAACCGCAAGCATCTCCTCCACGGTCGCCAACGACGACTTGATCCCGAACTGCAAGGTCGATTTCTGCATGTCCCTCCAGCTGGAACGCTCATTCGTGAAGCCGCTCGCGTCTGCCGACATTTGTCTCACCCACACCGACTACTTTCCCACCACATACAACCCCATTGCGGTCAGCATCGAGACGAAGAATGATCAAGCTGAGACCCCGAAAGCGCAGGTGCAACTCTCAACATGGGCTGCAGCACACATTTCCCATCTCCGAATGCTGCTCTACAAGGCCGGCAATCCCAACGCTCAAATACCCCCTCTACCTCTAGTGATGGTTGCTGGTGATGCATGGACCTTGTGGTGTTTCAGAGATGAGGGGGGTGGAGGACAGGGAGGTTCTTTCTTCTCAGATGGCTTCCATTTTGGCAACACGGCGACAATCCTGGGGTGCTATCAAGCGATTGCGGGTCTTCGCAACCTGGCTTCATGGGCTGAGACGATATGGAGGCCGTGGTTTACTGAGCAAATCCTGGACCCGTTACTTTCTCGAATCTCGACGCCACGGGAGGCTGGGTGATGACTTGTCGATGGGAGGGTTCATCACGAATCAATTCGCATCTTGGGGAAAGTGGCATCTCGAGATGGCCGCATGATAGCTGTCTGCGCCGCACGATCGTCACCACCTCGTCAGGTCCTCACGACATGCAAACCACCACTCGGCCAACGCGCAACAAGGCAGACTCTTCGCCGGCTTGGATGAACTTCGAGTTCTACAAAGGCCATCGCCAGAACGAAGGCCGAACTCCGTCTCTTCAACCAAAGACCACCCGCTCAAAAAGCACGTCTCCGTTTCGTGCTCTCCTGCCTGATCTCCGAGGTGGCAAGCTGTTCGATCACAAGTGATGAAGGATGAATCCACTCTGTTGGTTGTCATGGCGGCGTACGAGCAGGACCAAGAGATGGAAATGAGTGTTAAAGCCAGGATAAGACTGGGTTCGGAGCCTTTCTCTGGGTAAATAGTCTGTCATTCGTTACTGTACCGTATACATTGTTGTACGCTTTTGGTTACGTCGACAAAGCCTTGGCTATCTCTCTCTTCTTACCTCGTGTCGGTGGGCCAGCATTCGCGGCCACATACCCGCGGGCATCCCCAATACCTGCAGCCGAATACCTGCGAGCTGGATACCTGCAGGTTTCCCCAATACCTGCGAGTCAGATGCCTGCCATACCTGCGGGTATCGTACATACCTGCGAGCCAAAAACCTGCAGGTATCTGCTACATACCTGCGGGTATCCAGCCACATACCTGCGAGCTACATACCTGCGAGCTACATACATGCGGGTATTCGCTAGATACCTGCGGCCGAATACCTGCGATACCTGCGGCCATATACCTGCGATACCTACCAGCTAGATACCTGCAGGTTAACCGCCGACTCGACCACATATCCGCCTGATTTGGTGATTGGAGCGGAGAGATTGACAAGCCCGTTCATGCCATATCCAGACTCGTATGACTTCTGCTGCGATCATTGAGCGTCAGGACATGGTGTAGCAGGACGACCGCCTATTGGAGGTGACCAGATGTGAATTTGCGGGTGTTCAAGACGCTTGGCCTGCTGACGCACCGTCTTTCTGCGAGCTGGAGTCAAGCCGATTCAGGGGCGATGGGCATTGCTTCAACTGACTGAGACGGGCGAGAGCGCTCCTTGCCGTCCTTGCCTGGCGATATCTCGATGGTGTCAGATTGAAGGACGGCTTTGAAGAGTGTTTCGTGTACATTGCAGAGTGGCGGTGAATACTGCTTCCTGACAACCAAACCCCATGACTCATCGACGATCTGGTGCTCTCTTTGTGCTCATCTGAGGCGTACGATGGTCGGCCCTTGGTGAACTGGTATTTCTCAATGCCGATGTTTTGGCTGGGATGTCCGCCGTACCGGCTGAGGATCAAAGTGACGGCCTCTTGGAAGTATCCAAGAAGGTTGTCGCACACGGCCAAGCTTTCAAGGAGCTGACGATCGCTCGGAACAACGGCTGCCATTGTTTGTCTCGCGAGGAAGCCGATGTACAGATATGAGCACTCATGATCTGATGAACGGAGGTCTTCTCGGTGTGCCAGCGAGCAGGGGAGCGAATGGAAGAAGTCTCATCAACACTTGAATTAGCAGAGATCAAGAGCATGTCGCCGTGGGCTTGAAATTCCATCAAAGTTGAGGGGTTCTTCCAGTGCCGCACGATTCCAGAATGGCTTCGTCGCATCCGGAGCTGGAAAGCAGGCCAACCTCTAGCGTGGAAGTCTTCGCCAAAACAAATCCCATTGTACACCGAATATTGTGTCGCAGTGGCAGATGTGCATCGTTCTCAAGACCAGCGACAATCCGGAACGTCGTACCAGAGATGTCTGAAGCAGGCTTACAAATCGATTTAGAGAGACGATGTTCGAGGAGAGAAAACCTGTGTCGTATGGCTTGCTTGCGGATCCGATGGATGGCGTGCAGCATCTGGTGGAGCCGTTGGCTTGCCTAATAGCTTGATGTATGTGGCGCAATACCACGTCGAGGTCATGGACCTGCTTGCTGGCGCATCGTATGTAGGAATGGTGCGATACCTTTGGACTTTCAGAATGTTTTCAGCCGGCAAGCCCAGCGCCATGACGGGATCATTCGATGAAGGTTGGAGCGATGCGATTGAAGTTAGAGCAGTTACGAGCAGGGTTAGATCGCAGATTCTGTGGAGATCCATGCAAGGATTGTCGAGATCCTTGCACGAACTTGCTGTGTCCAAGGTAGATGTGTTGATAAGCTGCATCAAGTCTGTCAGCTCGTACTTCGATCTTACGCTTTATCTCTTGCAACTCGCGGCATCTGCATCCCTTTATCTTCTCACATCCAGCACTTGAACCGATATCTGAGGCCGAGCACTTTCAAGAGTGGAAGGCTGCTGCCTCCGGGAAGAAGGTCTGTTCTTGAGGAAGGACTGCACCAAAGACGCTGACCTTTCTGGAAAAGCTGTTGATCATTTGGTAACTCCAAGTTTGTGACATCTTCTTCCTCGCGTCCAGGTAGCAGGTAGCGAGAGGGTGAAAGCCTACAAGAGGTCAGCTGAGACAGATGGGCGGGAGATCTGGGGATCTTGAGGATTGGGTATGATGATAAGGAGACCAGACCATCTTGCTGGCTGCGGCGAACTGTTCCATGTTGGCAAGACGCACTGCTGAGTGATGTTGCCGGTTGGTGGACCGAATCAGAGTGCAACCAGAGGAAGATTGGCCTCAAAACACAGATGCTAACACGTACGACGCTGCCCATGGTAGCTGCGCTGTTTGTGTCCGCCGCGCCTTTGACTCCAGCCCGCAAAGCGTCGTCTGCTGCAGGATCGGATCGACAGTGGTGCTATTCGATGTGTTTCGGTGGTTTTGGCTTCGGTGGTTTTGGTCTGCGGATTGAATTTCTCGGTGAGCTTGAATATGATGTCAACTTACCCTTTCACATTCTTGAAGATCACCCATCACAAAGAGACGCCAGCAGCCAGGCGCTCCTCCGACATACATTCGAACCCTGCTCGGATCGTCCAGCGCCAGAGCTGGCTGGTCTTCGTGATCAGGCTGCATATCTCTGGACTTCAATCATGCTCCAGATGCTGTAGAAGCCGCGAGGCTCGGAGACCATGTCTGAAGCTCCACGGTGCTTGCCTTCACCTTTTGGCGACAGTATGACTTGATTCAGCAAGAGGGCAGCAAGGGGAACTCGACCAATCCCAGCTGGTGTAAGCAGCAAACACTTGTACGTTCTCCTCTACATTCATACGAATCTCTTGATCCTTCTCCCGACGTCCTTCCGTCAGCTCACACAAGAATCATGCGAAGAAAGACCTTTTTGCCTCGCTAGGCGCTCCACCCACACATCCCGCGGCAGCAATGCGTGGTAGGTGTCGTTTGATCTTTTTCAATTAATAAAACCAAGGCCAAAGGTGGATCGGACTCGAGGGGATTTGTATCGTGGGCCAAATCAAACAAGCCTTTCTCGTCTCGTGTTCTCGCTCTTTTTCTCCGGAGTGGAACTCGTATCATTCGGAAATGTCCTCCAGTTGAGTTCGTTGCTTTTGCTGCCGGACTTGCCACCGATCTCGCATCTACATTGACCCTGAAGTTGGCTCGGCTCAGCGGCATCTTCATGGCAAGAGCGAGCGTGGGCTGCGTATCACCTCTAATGACCTTGTCAACATCGAGTGCTTGTCGAAGTTGCAATGCTTTTGCGATTGGCAAAAAAGACAGGCTATATGCTGTAGCGAGGTCGAATGATTATCCACCTCTTTTAGCACTTGTAACGCAAGTGTGCTCAAGCAAGAAGGTCTCGAAGCGTTCTTCCTTCCCGACAAATGATGGTCGAGTTGGAAGTGGACACCGTTGGCGGTCATCGATGCCACAGTCGGCAGCGAGTATGGCAAGCACATTAGGACGAAATCATACTTGCTCAACGGTTAAATCGGCAGCTCTCTCTTCCCCGCGACTGTTCTTGTGGTTGAAGATGAAGCGCAACGATTCAGCATCGGCACCCCGAGCATCCTCGAAAGGTCACAGGGGCATTTGTGGAATGAATTTCTGGCAGCCAAAAAGCAAACACTTGGTGGCATGTTGGTAATGTCAGCGAACGATACATGTTCGCTCTATCTTCTCAACTAGCCACACATCACAGCCTGGGCCGTGATGTGTGTGGGAGGACTGCTGTGGTTTTCGAGACCGGCGAAATCCGGAGGAGCTGCTGACATGTATCAATGGGGAGAGCAGCAACCAGACGGCGCCGACGAAGAAGTCTTCGACTCCCAACAAAAGGACGGCATAGAAGAAGGAGCTTCCAACGTTTGTGACGGTCTTAGAGACCGCAGGCGGTTAGCACGATAGGTATCGTATATGTTAGAATCTTCTGGGGCGTCTCGCTTCACGAACCTCACGCAGCCTCGTACTTGCCTTGGAATTCGGAACTACGCATTCTTCCTGTACTCCAAATCATATCATACATCTTAATCTTACATCACTCCGAAACCCCAGAATCCTCTCTCGAAATGGAATCGTATCGTCCCAAGCCGTGCACTCTGTTGATCTCAGCCTCTACCTTTTCTTTGCATTCGTATTCTCTGCTATTGCGGATGTGTATGAAGTCCTTACGTCTTTGAAACCATGGACGTCGGATTCTACACCTGTCCGTTCTCCAACGACACTGAATGTCGACAGCCTGCGGTGCATGAGGTGCCGGTCCTGCAGTTTGAAAGTATCCACAATCGTTCCAAGAGAACGAAGTTGCAGAGTTAGCAGGGGTACTCTATCCGTCGAATGAGTCCGTCCAGGTTCGGAGGAGGCGCTTTCAAAGAGATGATTGTAAGATCACAAACTCTTGGTACATCTCGAGCTGCAAAGGGTCTGTAAGAGGTTTCAGGGCTTGAAGAGCTTGTTGAGATCTGTGGTCGAATTCGCTTCGTTGATGTGACTGAAGCTCGTCTCTAACTTGACAATCTCGAGCTCGCAGTGACTGGCTGGAAGAAGAGTTGGGTATATCGATTTGGGATCATAGGGGCCTTGTTCGTGTTTATCGACCGCCGTTCGGGTCTGAGCTGAATTCTCCTTCGCCGTTTGATACTACACGAGTTCGGGCCTGCCATTGCGTGATTCGAACAACTCAATCCTCGGATTCCAGAATACACCTGCAGATCCCTGCCCGGGCTTCTGTCCATGTTGTGGACCTGATCAGCAAAGGTACATACGAGATGTCCATGCTACCACTTATAACCATGCCAGCGGTAAGAGGTTTTCCTGCGGAACTCTCGCAATGCCACTCAATCGGTCGATGGTAGCCCGAAAAGGTGCAAAGCCGACATGAAGATCCCCACGTATTCTTCCAGGACGCGGAACGACTCCTGTGGAGATGTATGGGAGTATGTTGAGAAGACCTGTGCTCAGAGTCCAGGATGTGCTATTGACAATCGTAGAATGATTGAAAGAGATGAAGTTGTGGTACTTTGCCAGTTGTATGGAGATGATGCAGTCGACTTCTTGTGGTGTGACAGCTGGTTGATCTCCAGACTCCGACATCGAGCGATCACCTCATACTGGTCGTACGCGGATACCACGACCGGATCACCAAGGTCCCGGGGATGGGTCCATGATCTCAGCTTCATCCACGACCGGGGAATGCTCGTCGAGAAGTCACTGCCATGAGGGCATCTCGTATCGTCCAGTACTCACGACTAAATGCTCAACACGCACCCTGCCGCCGAGTTCCTGCACTCTGCACCCTTCAGCCTCGAAGTCCGGGCAGCATGCGTATACAGGATGATTGCGGAAGAGGTTTCTCATATCGTCCAGCCTTGCCCTGGACGATCTGTGAAGCCTTGATAGGAGTAGATCTTCCAGTCAAGTGAAGTGTTGCCGTGGAGTCGAAAGCATGCCCGTCAGCAGGCGTGCGGTGTTTACCCATGTATAATCTTAGCCAACTGGACATGGATTGTACCAAGACGGTGAGGCTGAACACTTCATCGCCGAAGAGTCCATGGTCTTTCAATTGCGTATCTGTGGGCATGGCGGATGTGGATGAACACAGTCCAAACGAGCTCTCAACAGCTCTTTTCTCAGGCCAGGAAGGACATCCAGACCTCAATATGAGGATGATTACGACCAAGAGAAGGAATCGTGAGAGCCTTCCGCTTAGAAACGATCAGATTCGAAAACCGTTTAACGTCTTTCGCTTAGTGATGTCCAACGCCCTGCATGGGATGAAGCTGTCTGACCAGCCCAGGCATCATCGGCATGAACGTCTTCCTTCGCGCACGGCTGTGGCTCTCGCTTGTCTTCGTCAGGTGTTGTAGACAGGTTGTGCTGTTCTCCAGACATCCAGTACTCGCAGACTTGACACGGCCTTGTGTAGCCGTCTTCAATGCATACTCTCGTTGGGCCAGGTCGACTGGAATCGTGAGCTCACGGGGTTTGACATAATCGTTGCGGCGATCAGTTGTGGAGGATCGATGGTTTACACATCGCCAAATGTGCTGAAGTTGACAGGAATTCCGCCGAGTCGTTGTGGGTGGATAGATCGTTGCTGAAGGGCATAGCTAGGGAATGAAAGGGGTGGTCACGAAAATTTGCGCAGCCATGAGGGATTCATGCAGTACTTCTCTCAGCTTCAGACAACGAACGGTAGAGCTGGGTAGACCTGCTGTGGAACATGCCCTGAGAGTTGGACAGACGACATGAACCCCAGGATCTGATACAGACATTGCAGAGAATATGTGTGTGGAGGTGGTGGTCAAAGCATGGAGAGGTCCAAGGCTGCGAGGACGTGCAATCGCTTCGCGAGAACATCATGCGTCATGGGAAGTGTTGCAGAAAGGAAGCACAGAAACAAGAGTGCTGCGAGCTATGCGTTTGAAATGGAGTGATACATACCATCGGGTACATTTACGATGAATCACTGTCCCCAAAGCATGCACATTGTGCGGTGATGAGACTGCCAAAGTGCTGGCGATCAAGAGAAGCTGCAATCTTCCGAGCGTCCGATGTTCGTGAAGTCCACTCCTGAAACGAGATGGCTCAGACCGAGCCCACAAGCTGGTATGATGTGCGATGGTGGAAGCCTCTTCAAATACTGGCAATCCTTGGATATGATGGATCTATACACTGGGTGGTGCAGCATTTCAGATCCAAGGCCCGCGGCCTCGTACGATCCATGCACCCAATGGTATCTCACAGTTCTTCCAGGGCTTCAAGCACCATTCATCTTGCCAGTCGATCCTCGTCTCATCCGATTCGGCTCCATACGACGGATGGTTGTGGAACTGGTATGGTGTTCGCTTCGGCGGAGCACTGGCTCTCTGCGGCTCGTGGAAAACCAGAACCTGGCAACATCCCCCGCGCGATGTAAGACTTGCTGCTCTGAGATCGGAACTCGTGAAGTCAAAGAGCAGAGAGCATGTCAGCCATTTGTGGCGATCAACACGCATGCGCTTTGGCTCAATCTTGTGTATCGCGAGCTCCAGGCTAGAAGCCCATTGAAGTATCAATCGCAAGGTCCCAACAGCCACATTTCGACCAGAACGCTTCCTGCTCGTTCGCACACAGTCTTCGAGTGCAGCACTGAGATAGACATCCCTTGACAAGAGCTCATTCGCCATCTTGGACCGTCGTATAGTGCTCTCAATGTCAAGCATCAGGCTTCGAGTATGTTCTGAATCTTCACGCTGGCAACCTGGGGTTACTCGGGGGTCGCAGCGTCGGCGGTATGTACGACATAGTGGAGGATGAGGTAAATATCCCTCTCGAAGAGGGGCTGCGACGACTGAAAGAGGTCCAGAACATTGTTGAGTGCTCGTGCGAAGCACATCGCGCAGTCTATCGGTTGGAAGAGCACCGTTGATGAGCATGCCTTCGAGCGCTTCTTGCTGGGACAAGGAATCTGGCTAAGCTGTTGTGAGCGGAATGCGCAGGCCATGCAGGATGTCGATGGAGGAATGATATGGTTAGAGATGTCGACGTACGATGAGCATCGTGCTGCCAGTGTTGCTGGCGTTGGATGTGTCAACTCAAAAGCAGGCTGAGTCCAGCAACCACGCACCCCACCAGAATGACAAGGAAGCAGTCGAGACTGTGACTGCATTTGATTGCAACATGCGGCGAGCAATATCCAGCTCGCGAAGAGCGGCTCACACCACCTTGGAGAGAAATATTTATCGGAGTTATCCGCGGCCTGAACACAGGTGAGCCTTGAAACACCCCCAGAAGCTCTCCCCAGCAAGTTCGATTATATCCGCTGCAGCTGCTCCCCGAATACCGATGTTTGGTTTCAGCACAGTCACATTCCTCGGTGACCCCTTTTCACTTCAACGACTCGGTACTTGCGCTTGGGGATGTCCTTCCATCCGCAATGGTTTGGCAGAGTTCGCTTTGAGGATGCTGAGGTGCTTGAGACCTATATCGCGCGAAGAGCGATGGAACTTGGAAGTGGATCTAGGGGCGATGATGTGCTTCGATCAGTCAAGTGGATTCCCCGTTGTTGTTCACCAGAACAGTCTTGTGATCATGCGTGTACTCAGCAGGTTGCTCAATTCTTGGGCATCGGAGATCCATCTGGGTCGAACGCCTGGCAAATGTATCTCTTCTTTGGCGACTGGATCGGAGATGCAGACTACTTGCCAGGCGGACCATCGATGCGAGCTGGAAGTCCGGCGAACGACTTGTGCTGGTTTTGGTAGATCCAACAGTAAGGTTGCATTGTGTGGGGCGTGGAAGCGAGGTTCAGTCTGACTCGCACGCTTTTTGGGCAATGTTGTACATACTGGCACCTTTGTTGTGGAAGAAGTGACGTTGAAGATGCAGTTCGGCAAGCCGAAGCGTCGATGCTTCGCGAGCAACTTGCCGCCATTCAAATTCTGGAGATGTATGGAAATGGCATGAGAAGGGACGATTCATCGGAATAGCCGGCATGTTCGATTGATGGAAAAGATTGTTGATCCGTGCTGTGGACGAAATTTCGAAATTTGGCAAGATGAGACCGTAACTCGGCACCGCAGGAGTCATTGCTGCCACTCCTGCAACCATCGCATACACAGTTTGCTCCCAGTGCGATGGCAATGCGCTTCGACAGGCTTCCAGCGCTGTAGTTCTCCTGTCCTCCCATCGGAAAACCATAAATGCAGCCTTTAACGAGCCATGATTCGTTCATTAACTTGATGTCGTGAAATGGTGAGTCAGTCCTCGTGCCTGAACGCTGGGCATGCTGGACTTGGAAACAGGCATGGATTTACCGAACAGTATCAGTCGGTCGGGTGGAGGATCAGAGATAGCGCGCGGCCACGCAGATCGTTTCACTTGCAAGCCGGGGAGCCTTCGATGACGGACTGCGTCGGACGGAGCAGATATATCAATTCGACGCTGGACTGATGGCTGCGGACGCTGAAGTGGACCGGCACAAGCGTAGAACATGCCGTTGTCTCCAATTTCAAACGTCTGCATGTAGCCATTCAGAGGCGGGATGAATCCTTGGCGTAGAGGGAGGGTTGGCGGTGGAGGGTTGGAGTGAGAAGGAGCAACAAATGCTGGGTTCTGCACTTGTGGGTGCAATGGCTGCTGAGGATGAGGAGGATGGATAGAGCAGCTCCACAGCCGTGAATCTTGGGACGGGTGTGGATTGGGTGTCTGCAAAGCCAAGCCGGACGTGACAGGCGAAGACATGGCCTGGCTTTCGCACAGTGATGAGGATAGGATTGGCATGGCTGTATCGACAAGACGCGGCGTCAGGACCGTGGACTGCGATGCCGAGCATGCAGTGGCAATCTGGTTGGTTGTGTAGCACAGCGGCCGTGAAGCGACGAACTCTACTGAAGCCTCGCGAGAACAGGGCGGATCAGGCTCTCGTTGACTTTCGCGCGAGCTGGAGCGCTCTCCATGTTCATGGCCCCATAGTTGTCTCACCTGGCAACGCCTTGCTTCGGCTTCGGGGTCATCGGGCTGCTCTTGCGCTTGGGGTGAGGTAGGATCCTCATCATCAGCCTGCGCCTCACTCACGACTCTGGTCGCGGGTGCCGGGGTGTTGGCGGTGGTTGCAGCCATCTCGACCTTGTTATCCTCCTGCTCCGTATCCCTCTGCTTCTTCTTCGGCCGCTGCGCCGCTCTCTGCTGCATCCTCTGCTCACGCTCGTCCCTCTTCCTGATGCGTTCGTCGGCGAGCTTGGAGGCCAGGCGGGCTTGCTGGAGCCAGTCCTCGCAGTCCATCTCATACTGGTCGCGGTCGAAGGGGGGCGGCTGGCGCTTGGATGGTCGTGGTCGTGGCGGTTGAGCTGGCGGTGGAGCGGGCTTGCGCGAGGCGCGTCTCGGGCGGAGGGCGGCGGGCATGGTGGACAGCCAGGTGGTCACGGTACTGATCCCGTATGGACAATGGGTAGTGTGACCATGCTGCTGCTGTCCGACGACGTGGTGGTGGAGGCCCCTCACTTATGAGCAGGCGGTCAAGGGCGAGGTGGGTGCATGATTCGCGAAGATTGGCGGCGTGGCCAGGGCTTCCTTGCGTACGCAACCAGGGCGGAACGGAGAGACGGGGGGATACTGTCCATCGACAAGGAGGGAGGCGGCGGTGATCAAAGCAGATGGGGTGGTGTATCAGGTTGTGCCAGTCCTGGGTCGGGCGTGAGGATCCGTCGGCGATGAGGTGAGGTCCAAAATCCCAGGATCCTACAATTTGATGGAACGGCCATCAATTTGAATCAATAATTGACCTCGTCAATCAATCAATCCGTCTGCACAATCCTGATCCTCTAACAACCACCCCCCACGCTTCTTCCTTCACTCGAACTCCAGTGATCGAACCACTCCTATACCAGAGATATCGGCAACGTCCGACAGGCCTCTTGACGACTCGATCTCCTCCATCGCCACGATTGGCCTTCAAGCACAGCAAGAAGCACTGCTCCGGTGGCGTCTGGGCATGAATCTGGTTCACCAGTCCGTCCATGGGTGGGGGAAGAGCAGATACTCCGAGACGACGAGGTTGCAGTGGAAATGATGGCAAGCGTGAAGAGAAGGTTCCTGTGCCCGCAAAGGCTGCGTTACAAGCCGGCAGCATGTTGTGTCTCGAAAGGCAGATATCTTTCGACAGCACGCAAGAATGATCACTATGTATCACCGTTTCGAGGCGTGCTTTGGCGGCGCGCAATCAACGAGTCATGCTGGTCACGGTGGAAGAAAGCAGAGAAGAAGAATCCACAAGCCAAAGAGGTTGGGCTGGTTTGAGGGAATGGGGTGGCAGCGAAAAGTACCGCGTGTCTGACAACAGAGCCTGGTGCGTCTCTGTTGACGGCACCTCCGAGGACTACCACCACGACAAGCATGTTCGAGAAGTACATGGACAAAGTCATGCTGGACGAGATCAGGACAACGGGCTTGGTCCGGACACCCTCCACCGGCATACTCTTCGCAAGGCCGCAGATGTCGAGCAGTGACATACTGGGGAATCAGCAAAGATGCGGTCCTGCATGGCATTGTGGACGGCTGCCGGTTTCAGGCCACGGGGTACAGTGGTGGCGATGTCATATTACGGCAACTGATACTCTCGTGAAGGTCTTGAAAGACGCGGTGGATATGGACATACCTCTCGCCGAAGAAGAGTGCGTCCAATCGCCGTGGTCTGGGCAGTGCCGGCTACTTGATCTGCCTCGACTTCCTCTTCAATCTCCTCTTTCGACCTACTCCACAGGTACAGTTCCGTGGACTGGACATTTGGTCCCTCTTGTATCGATCAATCAACAACGGCCGAGCGAGATTGCGTATCCCGCGGACTGAGACTCCCAACGACTACCTAAGCCAACTTGAGCGACCGACTTCAGTCCTCACGCAGCACTCCACGACGACCTCTCTTCCACAAACGCCATCGATTCAAGAGCAAACCCAGTACTACAGAGCTAATCCTTCGCTACTGCCAGCACCTGCCTCGATATCGCAACTGAATGCACTTCACACTGCCTACCGGTGATATGATGATCGAAAGTAGTGCTGTACATCAGCTCACATACGACAATCTGGCTGTTCAAAAGGCAATGCAGGGGTCTACGGGTATCAATCGACGGTTGACCACGGCATGTCATGCACGAGTTCTCTGACAGTGTGTTCTTGGTCATCTAGTCCACAGGAGTCGCTCCAGCAGAGACTCTTCGCAGCGCAAGGTGAGGATTGTCAGGGCGATCATGTCAAAGATCAATGACGAGCGACTTACTAGAAGCCGACAGCCCGGAGGAGATCACGGCGAATGCTATGAGAAGTCCACATCAACTTGTTCTGGCCATGCCAGACGGCTCGTCACACTTGTGCTCGCAGCGTCGAAGAAACGGGAGCGAAGAGAATAGCCATCTCTGCTCATTGCCTGTGAAAGAGCAATTGAGACCGGCGTCAAAACCCGCGTTGATGAGCCGGACTATTCAACCTGTTTTGAGCTTCATGCCACCTTCCCAGAACACGGTCAGCGAAACCCCTCAACGTCCCCGGGCTGGACTGTCATGAGTTTCAAATCCATGTTGACTTAGTCAATTGGCGGCTGACAGCGATCAAGACGATACCGAGCTCGATTTCCACTTCGAATGACACCTCGTGGTGAACACGCCTCTCCCCTCGGCCAAAACTCCCCAAAATCAGCTGCACTCATACACCGTCCTCGAGCCACCAACAACACCGCCATCCAGCAGCAATCTCTAGCTAGATATCCAACTACCACATTAGCGGATATGACCCACTCTCATTTGTCAAGTTGGTCGAGTGACTTCCAAACGAACTGTGGCTCAACGCAGTAGTTCTACTTCAAGTGTTGGAATCCAATTCTCCAACTGTTCTGGCGTTGCAGCTGGCGACCGCTGGGCACGACGGCTGCTCTTCATTGCTCCCTCGCGGTACATAAACATCAAGACTACCCCAAAGGCATCGTCACGAGAGGAGCATTCTCCTCACGTCGCCGTTGTCTTTCCTCGAAATCGCAAACGTCAGGCCCAGACGTACGACGGCACTAACAACGCACATCACCATTGCCATTCCTTTCGTATGGACACTGGCGTTGATATCAATTCCGCGAATGGATCCATAGGAGCTCACAGTGCTGCGAACGCGGTCCCCTCAGCTTTCAAAAACTGGTGTGTTTCGCATTCAGCTCGCCGCTCGATTTGGCCCTCCTTCAATGAGGCGAGTGACGTCCGTTTGTATATGTACATCTCTCATCTAATTGCTACTAAGTCAGCCGGTAGCTGGAATACATGTCTTTCGCTGATCTCTGGCTGCACCCGCTTGCTTTCCTGTTCAAAGCCAGAGAAGCGTCGTACGAGGACTGCTTTGGCCAACATTCTTACTATGCGCGATTCGAAGCTGACGACGGCAAAGATCCGAGCAGCACTTGCTGGTGTCTAGCGCTTGCATAAAAACCTTCATCCAAAGCAAACAACCTCGATCTGGTCCTTGCTCGACATCTCCAGCGTCGCATACGCTCTACACCGCCATCACCGCGGGAAGCGAGTACTTCGGCTTTGCCTCAGCTCACCACTAGCATATTTGGAGTTCTCAGCGAAGCATGGCGTTCGCGGCATTGGCAGTACGCACATGGGCGACGCCGTATCGAAGAACGCAGCGGTTACTGCAGCCGCGAGAGATGAGAGTCTTCGGTTTATAGAACGATGCTATAGATTCATTTCGTCGGTATGGATGACGTTGGAAGCGCAAACCCTTGTTATCATTTCACGCTGCTTGTAAGGGTTTGTAGATTCTTGTGTCGATACGGCCGCTCCTAGATACAGATTCTTTCTTTCCCCTCCTCGTGAGAGATGGTCCTATATGCTTGGACCTTCATCTCACAGCATCCACGGCATCGCAAACGTGGCGAATCTCAAGCTCCAGCAACATCGAGATCATCCTCATCATCTAGCTTGACGGAGCGCCTGCCCCGACACCTGCCACAGTCTTCGAGAAACCTGCTGTGTAGAGTCTAGATGCAGCGTTCGTGAGGTGGAGACATAGTGGCATTGACGAAACAACATTGATTAAGAAGAGCCTAAAGAGGATGGAGACTAGGCCATAAGAGGTTGGAGAGGAGCATCTCTTGATGGACTGCTTAGAGATATCCTAGGCGACACTCCCTCGCTCTCTTCGCAGAGCTCCAAGCGATACGTATGAGGGTCATCATGCTCTGTGAGCTCAGCCGAGATGGCTGATGTTCGACAACCATCAGCCGATCTCTGGTATCTGCCTCGAGAAACCGATCGAGACCGGCTTTCAATGCAAACAGCGCTGCGAGATGTGCTGAAGCGCCTGGATCGTTATTCTCAACGCATGTGGGATTCCATATCTTCGCGAGACAAGCTGAGAGCGTCATCAACCTTGTCCACAACTCTTTTTACGACTTTCACAATTTTTTCGATCAACGAGATCTGCGACATTTGCAGAAGCACAATCAGTCAGGAGAAGCAAAGAAATACCGCTCACGTTGGCCTTTCGATACGTGATCTGAAGGAAGACTATTCACCGCAGCTGGTCCAACGTCCACGAGCTTTCCACTGTTGCGAGCCAAAATGCAACGGGCTGTGCCCTCAAAACCATCTACCCCCACGACACCTTGTTGAGAACGCACGGTTCGACGAATAGCTCGCTGCAGCGGCCAGGCTTGTTGCAACCTGCGCCGAAGCCAAAAATTCCTTCCTACTTCCCAACATCACAACCTCACTGCTTGGAGAAACGAGGAAATTGGCGTGGTTCCGCAAGCTGTTCCAATCCTCGACATCGCCTCGATTCTGATGTCTTGCATGTTGGATCTGAGCGGCCGTCTCTTCGATTACACTAACCATGGCTCTCTCTGTCAGATACTGCCGATCATCAGAATAAACATAGCACCGTTCATGTCAAGGGAACAGAGATCGGTGAGTCGTTCCTCCTTGGAAACGAATGATCAGGCCGCAAACGAAGTTCTGGCTCGGATATGAGATCTCACGATTGACAGATAGCGAGTGTTTCTACGCACGCCCTGGAAGAACAAAAAAGACCAAGATCAAGATCAAGATCAAACCACCCCGCAATCACACACAGAAACAAAAACAAGCTCACATCCCTTCGACCCAACAAGCCTTCCACCTCCTCTACCAAACCCTCTCAACCCCCTACATCCCCGGCCCAGGCAGCCCCTCCACAACCACCCATCCACTCTCACAACCACCACCTTTGATCCGCAAAGTCACTCCACCTTCCGAAATAGCCATCGCGAAGGAAACGCTGGCTCAAATCGAGCTTTACGAACAACATGCGAAGCCGACGAGAGAGTATTACGAACGGGCTTTGAGGAGGTTGAAGGAGCGGAGGAGAGAGTCCGTCGCTTTTCGTCTCGGCAACAAGGATCCGCCGACCTTGTCTTCGCGGAGAAGCCAGCAGTCTCACAGGACAATCCTCTCGCAACATCGCATAGTGCACTGCGACTCGTCCAAGGACCAGCTCCCGCCATCACCCCACGCACTTTGATCACGGATCCAAACGACTATTAGTACTTGTTAGCTGTACCAGATCGTCTCTCTGGAGGCGAGCGTCTGTGGAGGAGTAGTCGGCAGGGCGGCGGCGCCCACAAGTTGTGCCGGTTCTGGGTGAATGGTCTTGCTCGCCTTAGGGTGGGAGAAGGAGTGGAGCGAGTTCTCGAGGGCGGGCGTGCCGGTGGTACTGGTAGTGTCCAACTTCATCTTGCGAGTCGTCGGTGGAGGGTGGTGACGGAGTTGCAGTGCGCGAGCTGCTTGGAAAGCGAGGGGTGGAAGAGAAGGGGGAAGGTGGCGGTCGGTTCTGGCAAATCAGCAAACGACAAGAGTCACAGTTGAAGTGTGTGGCGGCGGCTCGCAACCCCTCAACAGGGGTAGCATGCTTTTTCAGCCATCGCTATCCTCGATCACTGCTTCCCACTGGTGTAAGTGGACACCGGCGATTCAACTGGCGTTGGAGTTCACTCCGTTTTACGGACATTCGCAGGGAGTCTTTTGCCCCTGGTTCCGGCCAGACGGCAATGTTCATTCCTGGTTGATCACGAATCTGATGGGAAATACTGGAAGATTTCGCAATCTCGAACACCGCATGGAACCTTTAATATTGCCGGATGATCCATCCGATCGAGGTGTGAGAAAACGCACTTCGGTGCTCGAAATGCTCGAAAGCAGCCGTTGAGATCCAGCAGGTGCCCAAATCTGCGCTGTCTGTATACGAGAGATGTTCACAGGAAGCTGAGGGTCATGGCGGTGTTGTCAAGAGAAATGCGTTCCAGCAAGGAATTGTGTTACATTGGCATCCTCTAGGCTCTCGCACGAAACTCTGTCGTTGCTCTACGACTTTGCTGAGTAGATAAGTTTGCTGAGTGATGCTTTGTGCCGACAATTCTGCTCAAAGTAGAGCACGGAGAATTGTTTTGATGTCCATGAAAATGTTCAGCAGAAGAACGTAATGCAAAAAGAACACGTACTGCCCCTTTTCGACTTGCGAGAGTTGCGAGAGTTGCGAGGCAAAGACAGATTCGGCGATGAACAGATCTGGATACCGATGCTGCAATCTGCGGAACGACTTGAGACAAGACTATTTCCTGACTGGCTCGAAGATCACGGAGTGTGGTGAGTACATCAGGCAAGACACAAGTCGAGAACATAACTCTGAAGATCAATGCTGGATAGCAGAGCTCTTGCGACGGTACGAGGCTGTTCAGAAACATCGTCAAAAGGAAAAGAAACTCCAAGATTGAAGGAATGATCAAAACGGTCAGCATTCGCTCATGATGCTGGCTCTCCAGAACCAGCGCTTTCAAAGATAAAATGCTCTTTAATTCATACCCGCCGGATCAAAACGATACACCCCAGAAGCCTGCTGCTCGCGCCAATCTCTCGGCGCCTCTTCCATCATGTGCTGCAGACGCAGCGCAAACGTCTTGCTCTCCTGCCAGCTCGCCAGAGCTCGAGCCTCCTCTTCACTGCCCGAAGGCGCATTCGTGTATATCGACCAGAGATGGTCGAGGTGGGCTTGGTCCTGCATCTGGATGTTGTGGGCGACGCTGCCCCATTGAGAGCCCACCATGATGGGGGCTTGCTGTTGCTGCTGCGGCTGCGGTGCCCTGGTCAAGGGACTTTCGGCGGCTCGCTTCTTGCCACGCTCTTGTGGCGCTGGTGTTGTTGGTGGTGGTGGTGGTGCTGCATCATGCTCAGGCTCTTGAGGCTCTGGCTCTGGCTCTGGCCCTGGCATTTCGAATGCCGATTGTGGCATTGCTGGGCTTTGGGCTTCGAAGCCTCCTAAGCCATCAGAGACGGGGGAGGGGGAGCGGACTACAAGAAGTTGTGGTGGTGGAGGCGGCGGCGGCGAAGAGTTCATGGGAGGAGGAGCAGGCGACGAATGGCGAGGCGGCGGCGTGGCGAGCGGATTGGTGTCGAATGGTGAAGATTGGCCCATTTCGGGCTCTGGAGCTGCACTTCTCGGCAGCTCGATTTCTCGGCTGCGAGAGCGTCGTGGTGGTGGTGCTGTTGTTGTTGCTGCTGCTGTTCTTGCCTGCCTCTCTTTGAGGGCTTTCATGGCATTCTGAACATCTATGGCCATCAACTCCACATTCTTCGGAGCTCTTCGATGGCGATCATTGCGACGGCTCTCGTTCTGAACCGCGCACGCAGCCAGGGCTATCCGGTAATCCCCCTCGCAAATAGATAACGATACTAAGTTCTTCAGCAGGTCCAAAGAGTAGAACAGCGGCGTGATGTCGCCGTTGCTGCTGCGAACAGTCCAGTCCCATCCACGCCAGCGGCCTATAATTGACTCTTTACGCTGGATCGCTCGATTGTGCCTATCCTGCTCGACACGAAGAACGCCATCCAGCTCCAGCTTCCATCTACTTTGCGCCAGCCACGACTCTGCTTCGCCGGCGGCCTCGTTCCTATAAACGCCCCAATAGGCGTATATCCGGTGCTGGAGTTTCCTCCAGCGAGGCACATTCTCTTCCAGCCAGATTCTACATTGCAAGGCTCGCCCGCCAGCTACGGTCGGGTGGCTCTCCTGCATGGCTTGCGCAAAATCATGCTCGTACTCGGTGAGGCCGGCGGGAGGCTCCATCTTCACGGACTAGACGCTGGAAGGGCAGATTGCGGATGAGAAGCTCGGTGCTCGTCTGATAGCGACGTATCTCACGGAGAGCGACGGTGATGGCTGAGCTCTGGAAGTGCAGGTTGGACTTGAAGTCTTGGTCGATCTCACGAACCAGATGCTGGAAGGGCAGGCTTGCGGATGAGAAGTTCGGTGCTTTTCTGGTAGCGACTGATCTCACGGCGAGCGGCGATATGGCAGAATCTCTGGAAGTGCAGCTTGCGAATGAGAATTTCGGTGCTCTGCTGGTAGCGACTGGTCTCACGGAGGGCGACGGTATGGCAGTGTTCTGGAAGCGCAGTTCGATCTTCAAGCCTTGCACAATCGGGCAGCAAATCGCAAAGCAACAAGACAGCATTCATCAGGCTCCACAGCAACGGCTCTTTCTCCTTCCTCGTCTAAACATTTCGCTATAACAGACTATACCTTCCAGCTCACTACATTTCACCACGCTTCCAAGACGCCTACCTCGCCTCTCACGTTTACCAAACCCCTTTCCGCGTTGTCCAGACCCGCGCCGTACCCAAGACGATCCGCCTTCCTCATTTCGAGACTTTACCAAACGGCACTATACCTTCCTCTGCTCGACCCTTCGCCAAACCCTCAGTTAGCCAAGGGTTGCCGTAGCAGGTACTGTGGCGGAGGCTCGTTGCACGGCAGCGACGTAGGAGATTTGCTCAAAGACGAATCTATAGAGGATTTGAATGCACGAAGCATGCTGGCAGGGCATCGTTATCTATTTTATTACAACATACATTAGGTCGAATGCTAGATTCTGATGAGTGTGCGAGATCGCCATCGCAGTAGCATCCAAAGCGCCCGGTCCGACCACGAACGATTAATTTGAGCCGTTGAACAGTCATAGCTCAGCCATCGTGAAGATCGAGAGCTTAGAAGCAACAGCCCGACGATGGTGTTGAGAAGTCACAGTTCAGCCATGGTGAAAAGTCCTCGGCCAGCAAGAACAGCTCGATCATGGCGGATGGAAGATATGGTGCAGTCACCGCTGAAGCATGGCAAAGTCTTGAGAATCGGCAAGAGAAAGTCTGCGAAATGCGAAGTTGGCAGATCGAGAAACCACTATTTGAGCATGGCGGACACTCAGAATTCAGAAGTCGCGGCATATTCGTGGCGAGTATTAAATTAGCAAGTCACACAACAAGCATGGCGAAGTCCACACATTCAGGAGGTACGTTCGAACAAGTCCAGGATGAGCGTTGGACACGATTGACCGTACTGCGGAGCAGCTTTTCCAACCGACGTTCAATCCACCTTCAAATGTACTGGATCAGAGACCCACAGACCATGCAATTTGTTGCGATTCACTTGATGACCGAGACATGACAACTCGTGGGAACCCCAAGCATGTCATCCACATTTTTTGCCTCTAGTACGATCAAATGACACTTTCTTGTACGAGACTCAAGTACAACTTCTGGACCAACCCCATTCATCAAACCTCCGTCCGAAACGGACGAAAACCTGGTCGTCCACTTGTCTGAGGCCTTTCAATCCTTGAATTTGTTGACGTCCTTCTGTCGACCAGAAACGACTGTCGGCAGAGCAGTAGCGTTCGATGCCAAATGAAGATCGACCTCCGCCAACTTGGCATGGGCTTCGGATAGGGTTCCCCAACGAATGGTTCGCAGATCGAGAGGATACGAAAGATGCTTGCTGTCTAAAGCTTCGAGTCTTCAGGGCGAGGAGGAGCCATACTCGGACGTCGAACTCGGTTTGAGGGACATCATCAGGCCACATATCCGTCTCCGTAGAGGCAGGCTCCGTTCTTGCGCTACTCCAGAGCAGCTCAACCATCTCGCTGTTCTGCATTGAAGGGACGATATGATGCAATCCAACGTTCCGCCTGGAAAACAGCATCCTGTCCGAGACACACTCGGGCATACGGAACACCTGGGCTGATTCCTACGGACCCAAACTTCAGGCTGCCTCGTCCAACCCAGCGTATGAACATCTTCACCAAGATCACAAGATCACACTCAATCCAATCTGCAGTTGCCCGTTCGCCGCGGCATGGGTTTCGAAACATTCACATACCATGCAAGCATGTGGGAAGCCGTATCTACACGCAGCACTTGCGTTTCGCAGCTTGCTGCTGGCCGAGAAAACTTGATGCAGGCAGCTTTTGGATCTCAGCTGGCGAAGAGACATCTCCTGGAGTCTTGTCGAGAGGCTGTGGGCATGTACGCAGAATCCAAGCCGAAACTCACGGGCGATACAGAGCAATGTACAGAGGCTGCTTCGTCGACCACTGAGGTGGCCAAGTGAGCGATCTTGGGTCAATCACTTTGTTCTTACCCAGAGGCGTTCACCAAGTACAAGGGAACGTTCTATTGTAGCATCGCCTACCCAATACGAAGACAGTTTTATTGTCTTGCAGTCAATCTTAGTTCGTCAGACATGCAGTAATCGAACATGGAATCTGTCCCAAACCATCGTGAGATCTGCTTCCCTCCAAACGATATCAACGCACGAAGCAGTACAATGGCCATATTACAGACTTCGACTACCGCATTATCGAGTTCGACGACGGCAGCGTGGACTTCAGAGATGGCACTGCAGACTTCAACGACGGTAGCGTAGACCTCTACAATACCACCGTACGCTTCAGCGTCGATAGCGTAGACTTCTACGTCGATAGCGTATACTTCCACGCTAACGTAGTAGGACCTAACTACACAATTGTAGATACTATGCCACACCTCAAAGACTTCAATTTGAACAATCAAGACGTCCCGCAAGTACTACAGTACCTGGAGACCTATTGTAGACGACGAGCGACTCACCGGCGATGGCTGAGCTTTCCATACGGGCAATGAGGCGATCAAAATGATGATCTTTGACAACAATATCTTGAGGATTGGGAGAGCTCGCCACCCCTAACAGAGTTTTCTCTTTACTCATCCGACGCTGGGCCGTATTCACCGCAATCCTCGGCGGATTCGTACCTCCTAGATTGAGATCATCCACAGGATCAACTTAAAGCCATGAAGGCTGGGGAAACTATTTACGGGGTTTCAAGTGGAAGGGTTGCCAGATCCAACGTATGTGGGAACTTGGATTGACGGCTGTGGTGGGAGAGGTAAAGAGTGAGAAACGGTGTCAGGAGAGACGACTGTGTTGACGATGACGGGGATGCTTTAGGCAAGGATGAAATCGCCCCTTCGATGGTGTACATGACGGTTCGAGAGATAGACCCAGTGTTGCTGGAGTGGGAATCTTGTTGTGTGAGTTGGCGAGCGATGTCCATTCCACCGTCGTCACTACTTTTTTCATGCTGCTTTCGCTTCGAACTTTGCCAGGCATATCAGGCTAGTAAGATCGTGCGGTCCCTCCAAGATTTCAGCCCGAATAGACGCAAAGACTTCGAAGGGACGATCCTCATAGTAGAATGAGCATCGCTGGAAGATTCGACAGTGTACTAAGTCGACGGCATCCACAACATCGTCTTCCTCTACGAGACTTCACAGCTTAGCTTAGGGGACGGCGTCGACCAGCTCATCAGCGGAGGCAACAACATAAGCCTCCTCACATTCCAGACTCTAATCTCGAGGTGACTCATGGCCGGCCTGATTTCACAATGCTCGACCCTCAAAACCTCTCAATTACGGAGGCTCCTTGATTTCCAAACTTGGGGACGATCCAAGAATGCCCAGTCGCAACCCCCTATTCGTAATTTTCCAGCTAGACTCAGATGCAGAAGTCTCTTATGCACACTCCCTAAGACTCTTCGTACGACAATACTCACATTCTACGACACTCCTGAACCTCAAGACCTAACAAACGTTCCCAATCCTCATCCCCAAAGCCAATCTACACAGACTGAACTCCAAACCCTTCACCTTCAACTCCTTGATCTCGAGCCCTCGAGCCCTCGAACCCTCGAGCCCTTAAGCCCTCCAAATCCCGGCCCAGAGATCCTCAGAATCTTCAACCTTCAAGCCCACCATACCAAACGCCTTTGATCCCCACCTCCTCGATCCCTAACTCCTCCATCCTCAACTCTTCCATCCGTAACTCCGCCACCTCCAACTCCTCCATCTCTAACTCCTCTTTCTCCAGCTCCTATATCCTTAACTCCTCCACCCTTAACTCCTCTATCCCCAACTCCTCCCTCCTTAACTCCTCGATCCCTCGCCCCTCGATCTCAAACTTCTTAACTCTCCACCCGAATCGGACTCAATCCTCACGTACATCATTCGCAGCCTTTCTCCGCAAAACCAGATAACCAACAATGGTCAAGCAACAACAATATTCAATCCCCGGCAATTACTCTCAATCTCCAACAAGCCTCCTCCGTCACCAACTACGCTTAATCCTCAACAATATTCCTCATCCCCAAAAACCGTCATTCCTCCTATATCCTCAATGCTTAAGAAACCTCAAACCCCCAAACGCAACCCGGAAGACTCTCCAGACCCAATCCCTACGTATATCATTTGTAGTCTTACCTTCAAACTCCTAACAATCCTCAACCCCCCACCAATCCCCAAATATCCTCGTCAGTCCATAGCCTTCCTCAGGCCCCCTCAATACACAGCCCTCCTCAATGCCCAAACCCATTCGATTCCCAACACTTTTCAATCCCCAGCGGGCCTCAATCCTCAAAACCCCCTCACCACCCTCTCACCACCCCTAACAACCCTTCAACCCCCAATCCCCTATAATCTTCAAAACCAACCACAAAACCAACTCCAAACCCCAACACCAAACCCCAACGCCTACCACCCGCACTCCTCACTCCAGACTAACACATCCTCCCATCAACCCCTCCTACTAATGATCCTAAAGAAGCATCCACACCATCCGCACGACTCACGTCTCTGCCTATTCATATCTGGTTCACGTCCTTCCAATCCTCCTCCCTCCACCGCCCTCCACCCTTGCCCCCCAATCCTCATCTACGATATCTTCAACTCCTCGCCAACACCAACAGGCGAGGATGCCAGGGGATGGACTCTTTGTTTGGACTCGCGTGGTTGAGAAGGTGGGTTTGCGGGCCGCGAAGGAGGGAGAGATTGTAGACAGGTTGTGGTAGGTGTAGGGACGTTCAAGTTGGTTGAGGGGTTGCGAGAGGTGAGGGATTTTGGTTGTGGGGCAAGATGGAGAAGGCTGCGGCTGGGATCTGGGTGAGCAATGGGTGAGAGGCTTGTGGGCGGTAGGAGAGGTTTCTGCTCCGGGGTTGGGGAGATGGGGAGTTTGGTATCCTGTTGGGATCGGCGCGAAGGTGGTGGTGGACGGACTTTGAGTGAGTCGTGGGTAGCCAAGGAAGTTGAGGTTCCTGGCCAGGGGTGGGGGTCGGAGAAGAGTTGAGTGACTGTGGATGGATGGTTGTGGTGGTTTGGGTGAGGCTGAGTGGATGGACGTTTGGGGTTTGGGGGACACGGCGAGGAGTTGCGTTGTAACAAAGCTCGTCCTCTATCAGTTGGAGCTGTGGGATGGGAACCCACGGAGCATTGTATGTGAGAGACTGGTGGTACGAAGAGCTGAATGATAGTGAAGCAAGTCTTGCTCGGCCGCACAGAAATGTTCCCAAGCCATCACCCAGCCACGAGGTTTGAGTATGCGCCCAACTTCATCCTGCAGGTTTGGCACTGGAACTATCGTGTTCTCCAATACGATGCGACCATGGTATTCTCGTCATCTGAGGTCCTCCCCTAGTTCCAATCCATGTCGAACCGCTTCTTCATCCTTCGTGTGACCTGGAGACGGACACACACGCCCACGGGTATGACATAGTTGGGGAAGCTGTGGTTGGCGGTGATGTTTGTTCATTGTTCGAAGAAAGGAAAGAAGCAGCCAGTGGGTAGAGTGAGTTGTGCTGGACCGGAAAAGGCAGTTCTCTCTCTGCGTCCCTTTGCGGCGACTCCCTGTTCTCTCTCTGCGGTACCAAATCCTCTCCACCAAAAACGTCAATTGAGGACACAGTTCCCGAGGGTCTTGATTCCACCTCGTTTTGTAAGAAATTCGTTGCGTACACTCATTGGCGCTCCAAATCTAGGACAGCAATTGCTGTTCTGCGCTGCTTCTGGACACTGTATCTCTTTCAGATGTCTGATACACGCTCAAATATCACCTATCATCCAATTCAAACGGCTCTTGCCAGCTTATTGGAAGTGCTGTCGTCATGACGGCTCTAGCCAATCTGTACGCCGTGAGCTCGTGTACGGTCGCCGGCATGGATGAGACGCCTTGCACAAGTGAGGGTTTTGTGAGACAGGAATCAGGAATGGTACCTGGGCTGATCCTACTGCGCTGACGAGATCGGGGAAGCCGCTCGAATCGCCAGCTATGACAAAGAAAGAGTTCAGTGAGATCAGGCCTGGCGGTTTGTGAAACGTGCTGAGCAATTTGCGATGTTGCCAGTAAGACTACATAAATGTAATCCTGGAGGGCTGTGGTGTGCCAGATGAACATGAGATGACATCGAGGCTGATATCCTCCTCGTCCAGCATCCTGCCTGACTCTTTCGACCTTTACCATCTGCCAATCGTATTGTGACCAAAGCTTGAGCAAGCCAAAAGAAACCAATCGTGAACCCGTACCGTCTACAATCACGATCTTGCGCCCATGAACATCAGTCGAGGTCGACCATTCCCCGCATCCCATTCGCTTCCTGCTCAAGCAAGGAAGCACGATCTCGCATGGCCTTGGCAGTGCTTTCGTACTGGTCTGCTTTCGCTTGAAACAAAGACTTAGCCGTCTCGCGTATGCGTTGCTTCTTCTCCGAACAGACCACCAAGTCACTCTTCATTTGCCCGGCGAGTTTCTCCAAAATAGCAGTCTTCCTCTCGGTAAGCTCCAGATCTCGAAGCCGCGACTCGAAGGTTATGACCAGATCTGGCGTTGGCTGAGAAGGATCGTGGTTCTGCACGTCGCGGATGCTGGAAATGGCAGCCTTGAGCCGAGTCACGTACGTCGACTGATCTGAGATCCGACTCCGAACAGTGACAAGGAAACTGCGAATATGCTGCAATTGATCAGCGACCTGGGTGATATGTGCGATTTGGCCTCTGACGAGCTCTTTGTGTCGTTGGAGATCGGCCTGGAGGACTTCGAAAGTGGAGTTGGCCAAGTCTTGTGGTTCCACCTGCGGGGGATCTTCAAAGTCTTGATCATCGAACAGCGAGGTGATGTCTTCTTCGGTCTCAAGCTCGAGGTTTTCGCTGGCGCAAAGATCCACACAGATTCGAATGCAGTACTCCCATGCGCCCACGAATGGGGTCGACGTAGGCTGACAGCCATTCATAGCCAATCCCATCATGACTGCAATGAAGAGGTGCGACTGGTCTGTGGTGTTGGGTGCGGGAAAAGTGCAACGTGAGGTGGTGTGCGTGTTCTTGTCCTGAAAGAGCTCTTGTATGCCTGGCCGCTGGATCAACGCCTGCATCGTTTGTTCAGCCACATCGCAGTCGGCATCAGCAAGTCCAAAGACTGTAATCGCCATGTTGCTGATCTGCAGGCTAGCAAATCCGCGCATCTTGCATTTGGTAGGGTTCTTCGTTTCGTCGGGCGAGTGTTCTGGGCCAGAGAATGTGCCAACGGAGATGAAGTTGCCCAACTTGACCAGCTTGGCAGTCTCACCTGGTGGCGTAACGGGGGCAATCGAGGAGTCTGTCCACCAGTACCCATCTTGAAGAGCGTGACAAGTTATGCCGGTGGCGAGGGATGAAGGTTGCAGCACATCAAGCCATGAGTTCTCAAGGGTCGCAGCGATGGAAGATGGCCGGCGCTGCCGTTTGCTCGGCGTTCCCTTTGACGAGACGGACTTGCGCTTGTCCCTCATGCTGCCGACTATCTGAGCATCCGGGTGCGGCTGTTGCGCGGGTGAGCTTTTGGTGTGGCGAGCCCGCCTGACGTTGGTCTCGAGCCGGCTGGGTGGCGGCGTGTTGTTGCGGAAAAAGGACAGGAGGTGGCTGGGATCGGGAATCTGCTGATCGGTGTCGTTGTCGCCGTCGCTTTCTTCCGTGTTGCCGGTGCTGTCGCTGCTGCTGTCATCCGAGTGCAGAGGTGGCAGGGTGCCCGCACGTTGTTCGTCGCCGGTGTTGTTAGTGTCAGGAAGTCTGTTGTTGCTAGCGGGGAGGTGCAGGTTTTGCGGGGTAAAGTTGTTTGCTGCCGGCGGATCGGGTGAGGTGAGGCAGGAGCGATTTGGGTTTGGGTGAAGTGAAGTCGCCGGGTGAAGTGAAGCCGCCGCATGAAGTGACGATTTCGATGGAGGGGAGGATGTCGAGTGAAGCGATGCGGCTGGGTGCGAGTTCTGGGGCGGGTCGTTGACAGGGGTTGCCTGCGCCTGGCTCTCTCCGCTGTCACGTGCAAGCTGCTGGTTTGAAGCAACCCCGTCCTGCGGCAGTGATGGACCCGTCGCTGACGACACACCTGCTTGTTGAGTACTCGACATGGATGGTCGACTGGAAACATCGTCTTTCCGCTTGTTCTTAGCCGGCCTTCCTCGACGCTGAGGCAGCTTGTACCCCATCTTCTTCGCCGCTTGAGTAATGTCTGAAAGCACCCACTCGGCCTTCCGATCCACACCAGGTAGCTTCGTCTTCCCCGCCTGCCGCTCTCTCTTTTGATCGTGGAATGTTGTAAAGGCGATGGCGAAATCTGGTTGGTAGGGGATGTAGTCGCGCAGTGCTTGAAGAAACCATTTGCTCTTGACCCCGTCGTGGCCGAATAGGGCAAACAATCGGAAGATGCTGAGGTTGTAAGGCGATGTAGCGAGTTGTTTGGCATGGTTGAGACAGTGTGAGCCCATTCCGGTCTTGATATGTGACGAGAGAGCGTCAAGCGTTCCTGGATCAGTGCTGCTGGCGAGCTCCTCATCAAGGGAAGACTGAGTTCCGCCATCACCCTCTAACACGTTCCTGTGCCAGAGCGCTCGCAAGTCCTGGAGCGCTTGCATGCGGTGATCGGCAGCGTTCTTGATAACATTAGGTAGGCTCGCCGATCCGACTTGGATGCAATCTTCCTCTTCAACATGTGACACATCGCTCTGTTCACTCAGTGGCTCACTATGTCGCTGGCTGCTTCTCACTACACCGTCCATCGACCCGTCCAGTACGGAGCGAGAGCGCGTGCCGTACGGTGAGGTGGTCTGCGAAATGGTCATGGTGTTGTGAAGGATTCGTCATGAGTCGCGCCGATGGTTGTTAGTGCAATCACGCGGTGGTGTCTCCAATCCAAGAAAGCATGTAGAGCATATTTGGGGTAGGGGGTGGTGGAGTTGTGGGGTGTTCTTTGGAGTGGATAGTGAAGAGTTGGGGAGAAGGGTGAAGGCAGCTGAGGAACCGGGGAGGGGTCAGAGCGTCCCCCGGAAGCTCGGCTCCTGGACGCGCTTGTGAACGGTCCGCTCACCAATCAAAACACCGTAAAGCCGGGATAAAAATAGTTACCTGTACACCCCACCTTCACTTCGCTTTTCACTATCCCCGTGTACCGCAGAACCATATTAATGACAGAGCACAAGCTAATCAAAGACCGCTATGTACCTCAGTCCGAACGTTTCACGGTTTGGCATAGCAGAAGTTCTAACAAGCTAAAAGCAGACAAACTATACTACATCTCGAATCCATGTGATAGACATCACGATAAATATGGACCGCACAGAAAGCTCTCTCGGCCAGGATGGGGAGATAACCAGTATGATGTGTTCTCTTGTCGAGAGATCGCTAACATCTGTGAAAGGGCTCCCCCAAAGCACGCCGAACTAGCGACGAAGACCAGTACCACCTCGCGCAGCCGATCACATGCGTTTGCAAGGAAACGAACCACTTCATTCGACTGTCTCGCTCGCAAACGAGGGAAAGCAGCATCACATACCTCGCTCAACACCTGAAAGGGGACTCCAGCTACCCTTCAAAGGCAGGAAGAAGGGAAAGATTTTTTGAGACGACATCAGGAGCGCCCTTCTTGTGCTCGCCGGAAACCTGGGGGAGAGTGACAATGTCAGGTGAGCGATGTGCTACGAAAAAACACATCCCTCATCCCAAGAGAGCACGGGGGATGTCAAACCCGCAGGAGGGCGAGCAGACTAAAGACATGCTCTCTCCTTGTAATGGATGGTGGGACCCAAAGGCCTTGCAATAGGATGGCCACTGTTGTCTGGAGAAAGGTTCAGCCGCCTTTACAGCAGCATGGTCCTCAAGCACAAAAAGCCTTAAGACATCGACCATATCCTCCAGGAGTTTGAGCCTGGAGTGCAGGATGATGTAAAGGTCGTCACGAACTTCCCGGAGGAGGCTCCTTTGGAATTGATCACACGCGAGAGGGTAAGTAGGGCAAGGCAAGCTCCTAAAGATTGACACCGGCAAGAGTACATCGAAGCGAATCAGCATCGCTGAGATGTTAAGAAAAATGCGCTTGCGCTCAAGCTGTGAAATGAAGGGGTGCGGTGGGAAGCTTGGTGGAAGGACAAGCCGAGAAGTATGTACGCTGTAGCCAAATTACCTGATTCACTCTATGAACCACTTCTGTCTTTAGACGGCGTGAAGCACCTCCATCTGGCAAGATATCCGCCGTCGTAGAGGGTTGAGAGGTATCTTCGCATCCGCCGTAACATATGATCCGCAGGAGGAGAATATTCACTTCATTCTTCTACAATGTGATCAACATCTGATAACCCAATGATCTGGAGACTCCCCGGGAGGAGGATATGTCCCACAGCGATCCTTGAAATGACCATTCAAGCACACAGTCCTCGCTCATCCATGGTATCAAAGCTTGAACGAAGAATTGAAAGATAGATACAGATCCCAACGAACATGTACGATGGTGGTATGTAGAATTTTACACTCCAGCTCATGTCGAGGGGTTGGGGAGGTCGAGATTACGGCTGTAGTCAAAGAAAATGCATGGATGATGCAGATACTCGAACGACAGCGAGAATTGTGTTCTGAATATGCTGCAAACTTTATCGTCGTGGCGAGTTTAGAGATCTTTGGCAGTCGAGAGGTGAAGTGAATCGTACCCGCCGAACTATCAGCATCTTTCTCATGTTCTCCGCATATTAACGGAGCCCAGACTTTGCTGCTATCTTCTCTCTAAGCCCCTCGAATGGTCAACACCGTCTTATCCTACAGCTTGACTGCTAACAATCTACCTCTCTGAAGTTGTGTCAGAAGTCCGTGGCATGGGAGAACGTTTAGGGACGGAAAGCGAGTGTTTATTTCTTGGGTTGTTGAGACGGCGCTGATGCCCTCCAAATTATCAATGGACGAGGATCCCTTGGGAGAGGAAGAGTAAATCCATACCCCAAAGGCCGCTCTCCGACGTTGATATGTGGTCATTGGATGGCTTCGAGCTCGTCTGTCCATGTGAAATGTGTGGTGATCGAACACATGACGAGGGTTTGCGTGGTGTGGAGGTGAGGCGCATTTCGTGCATCAAAAGTACCACGCCCAAGTTTTGCAAGTATGATGTACGAGGCTGGCGAAGACGATGTCCCATGCTTCCAGGATGCAATGCAGATGATCGTTGCTGGCAATGAAGACAGCAAATCGCATCCCCAAACAGCATCGCCAGCGTGCCAGCCGTGAAGCAGCGAACGACCTCCGAGGATACCCCACCTCAAAGCCAATCCACATACGTCGACTTTCACACCCCGCCTCCAACATCCACCAAAGCCCCCTTGGCCGAGTGGTAAGGCACTCCCGATCACAAAAAACCACAACACCACAACGTGACGAGATCAGATTCCGTTTCGTCGGGGATCGCGCAGAACTTGATCCAAGGAATCTTCTCGTTCCGGTGGGGCGCTGGAGATGCTTGGATCGACTAGTCATGTTGAAGATCGGGAGGTCCGGGGTTCGAATCCTCGAGGGGGCAGAATTTCTTTTTTGCATTTCTTTTGGTAGGTGGTATAATCTTGCTGAGTTGTTTTCGGGTCGCGATATGAGGATGTGTGTTGCGATTGGTTTTGAGCCATCATGGAACTTTGTTTTTGTCTGGCGTCTGGACATCAGTTTTGGGTATGATTTAAAACTGGATGTATCTTCCAATTCAACGATCGGGCGTCCTTGGGAAAGGGCCAGCAGAGTGCTTTGCATTATTATCGACGACGATCGCTTGGAACCTACCACGTTCGGCGAGTGAGAATAGATCAAGGAACGGGAGCTCAGGCACTGATCCACAAGATCGCCTGCGATGGCTGAGGGTCTGGGTGAAGGTGAGGCAGGGGCATGTTTGGAGAAAGTTAACACCTTCCATTTTTCCGCTTTTCGAAAATCACAAACTCAAACTGTTGTTTCGTGTTATGAGAGCCATCATGCGAAAACCTCAACTAAGCTCACAAAGAAGCCAGCAATCAATCCCATTCAGCCTTCACCACTTCTCGCTTGACCGACCGACCAATCTCCCTGTTGTCTGGCACATTGCTCACGATATGCCTCTCATCCCAGCCAAACGACCGCCTTCTTGACCACACGCTGCTTCTGGTACTCCTTGCCATCCGCATTGCCGGACAAAACCACGACAGGGCTGCAGATGAGCAAGACTTCATGATCATCGAGCGCTTGAGGATCCTCGTCAATCTCCCTGCCATGCATCGCATGCAGCTCAAGCTTTCCAGAGCTGGAAGAATAGACTGGACACTCTCCATGCGGGGTTTCGCTCGCCAACTGCGACCAGGACAAGACGTCGAGCCGAGCCTTGCGAGTCCACACTTGCCAAGCGAGGTCGATGGTTTGCTTGACAATGGGTGCGAGGCCGTCGTACATGTCGAACCTCATCTTAGTATCGGTGATGAAAGCAGCGGCGTAGGTCTGGATGAAGGTGTTGGTGATCTGGCGGATGAGGGCGTCTGCCGCAGACTTGGTCTGCTGTGCGGACGTGTTGATGGAGCGAGCGAGTTTGCATCTGAAGGCTTCGGCGTCCTCCTTGTTGCCTGATCTTCCATTAGCATCATGAATCGTTGCCACATTTCGAAACCTTACCATGCGAGATGTAGCGTTGCACACCGTTCAGGACCGGTCTGACCTGGTCCGGCTGAGTGCCAGTGAGCAGTGGGCCCTGGAAGAAGAAGAATGGATCGGCCAGCACTTGGCGAAGCAGATATGTCGAAGTGAGTGTGGACAGCAGGAAGGCGGATGCCTTGCCGGGCTTTTTTAGGGAGTTGTTGACCGACAGTGTGGTGAGTAGCTCTTCTTCACTTAAGCCAGCGGGCAGACAGCCGAGCCAAAACAGATTCAAGTGGATGTTCCGGGTTCTCTTCCCATTGAGCGTGATGTCTTCGTCCGGAGTGCTGGCTTGACTCCACTGGCGAATGGCAGAGATGATGGAGCTGATCTCGTGCTGGACGAATGAGTTAGACAGCGGTGCCCATTGAGCCGACTCGACCGACTGCAGCTTCTGCGACTGAAGACTGCGGATGTCTCGCTCACGAGCCTCGAGCTGTGCCTCGAGCTCGCTGCATTGGTCTTGAGCCTCGCGCTGGGACTTGGAGAAGGTCCGGACCTGATCCTTCAGCTCCTCGATCTCATGGGTCATGTTGGCCAGCTGCTTGTTGAACTTCTTGGTGATTCGGTACTTGTGCTGGGCCAGGGCAGATCTCGAGAATGTCGGCGAGTGGAGATGCTCTCTGGAGTGGGGAGCGAGGGGTTTGGACTCGGAAGCTTCAGGCCGCTCGGAGCGCTCAGCACGCCTCTCTTCAAGACGTCCGCGAGCACCATCAACCTGGCGCGGCATCTCAACGCTGGGGCCGGGCGTGTCTTCATCAGTTGGCGTTGCGGGCGACGAAGATCCGGCGGGCGCATCTGGAGAGTCTGCTGACGTGGTGCCCATGACGACTGCCTTGGCGTAGTTGAGGATTGAAAATGTCATCTGGATTCTGATCTTCGTGGGTGCGAGTGTCGGATCGGTGAGTGACAGATGAGGTGAAGTGAAGAAGAGGTGGAAGGAAGTGCAGCGCTGACCAGCAAACGGAGTCACAGAAAGCTTGGCGGCTTGGCGTCGTCTCGTGAATGCCAGGCTACCTCCTCCTGCTCTCCAGACAAGTGCCAAAACAAACACCACAACACCACCACGCGCTATCTCCACCGCCGGCACGAGAGATGGTCGCTCGCACCAGCAACACCACCCACTTCAGTCCTCCCCCACCGTACACCGCCATGCCTCCACCCGCTCCGTCGACTGGCACGCACAAGATTGTCGTCGCCGTCGACTTCGGCACCACCTTCACGGGCATCAGCTGGGTGTCGACCGACGGTGCCCACGTCAAGGTCCTCGACGATGTGCACTGCATCAACGACTGGTGAGTACATAGCCCCAGCTCCTCTTCGTCTCATCTTGCTGACTCTCGCCCTTTACAGGCCAGGTCCTGGTCGTGACGGCGACTACTCCTGGAAGACACCCACCCGCATCGCCTACGCCGACGACGGCAACCCCACTCTCTCCACCAACGCATGGGGCTATGAGGTCCTCCCTCGCATGAAGTCCTACGCTTGGATGAAGCTCCTCCTTGACCCTGCCGTCGCCACCAAGTACGACGACCCGAGTCTCGAACTCACCCAAGGCGAAGGCGTCCTCTCCAAGCCCTTCAACAAGACTCCTGTCGACATCTGCGCCGACTTCCTCACCGAAGTCGCCCGTTTCGCCTACGAGTCTCTAGCCAAGCGCATCTCCCCTGAGCTCCTCAAGGCATCGCCCTTGGACTTTTGGTTCACGGTCCCCGCCGTTTGGAGCGACAAAGCCAAACACGACACCTTGAGAGCAGCTCAAAAGGCGGCCAAGCAGGCGAAGCTTAGCGCGCATCCAGACTCCCACGTCTTTCTGATCCAAGAGCCTGAGGCTGCCGCCGTCGCTGCACTCTCCGCTCTCACTCAAGGCGGGTCCTCTCAGCATGTCGATGTCGGTGACAGCGTCCTCGTATGCGATGGCGGCGGAGGCACTGTTGATCTCACCAGCTACGAGATCACCGCCATCACTCCTAAGCTTGCCTTCAGAGAGTTGATTGTGGGAAACGGCGGCAAGTGTGGCTCTACCTACATCGATCGAGAATTCATCAAGTGGATGGAGGCTAGGTTCGGAAAGGCGTACACGATGCTTTCCTGGGACAAGCGTGGACCGGCCAGCCGTCTGATGAAGGATTTCGAGGGACACAAGCGAGACTTTGGCAAGTCTCAAGACGTTCGCCGTGTGTTCGAGCTGCAGCTATTCATGAAGAACGCTTCCGACTCGCAATTATATGACGAAGACGAGGGAATTGTTCGGCTGCAGTATGTGGAGCTGAAGCGCATGTTCGACACGGTGGTTAGTAGCAATGTGACATGGGCAACTCTTTGCACAAGGCTAACATCATTCCAGGTTGACAAGATCAAGGCTCTGTTGCAGTCACAGCTTGACTCCGAGCGTCGCCAGACGGGCAAAGTCACCATCAAGACCATCTTGCTGGTTGGTGGTTTCGGCGACTCCACCTACCTCAACTCTGTCCTCCGTGAGTGGTGTGAGCGTAGAGGACTCCGCCTCATCTGCCCCGAACACCCCCAGTCTGCCATTGTTCGGGGCGCGGCGTTCAGCGGGTTGCACAGCATACAGCCTGCCTCTCGTCGCGCACGCTTCCATTATGGCTTCACCCACCACGAGGCCTTCGATCCTATGCGCCACAAGAAGAAGGACCGGTTCATCTGGGACTGGGATGGAACTGCGCGAGGCGCAGGCAACATGGGCTGGCCACTGGGCAAGGGCGATGTTGTGAACGAGTCCACCGAGATTGAGACGTCTTATTATCGGACTGTCTATGAAGACTCGAGCAGCGAGCCATGCCTCTCCGACATCTACATCAGCGACCTTGATGATGCCCCCTACAATGTCCGTCATGCAGGAGTCCGCAAGCTTGCCACTATCAGCATAGACATGAGCAATGTGGATCTGAGCGGATATCAGAGTAGAGTGGTCAACGGCCGGATCTTGCGCCAAGTGGAGCTCAAGTACAAGGTGCAATTCGGCCATCGTCGCGGGGTCTTGCTCTTCCTCGTTTCGGCCGATGGCAAAGACATCGGCAACGCCACCGTCACCTTCGACGGCCAGAGCGCTGCCCCTGCCATGTCTGGTCCTGGCGGAAATGGAGGATCGTCGCCTCTCTGCGCTATGCAGTGATTGCTGCACATCGATCCATCGCAAGTCTGCTAGGATCGGGAGATCTCCACAGCACACCTCAACAAGCCCTTCGCGGAAGGCGTCGCTACAGTACGTCCTTCAACATCAAGGATACCTCATCGCACAACGTTCATCGCAAGAGAACCTCGAGTTGTTCTCAATTTGAATTGAAGTCATTCTCAGAACCCATCTCATTCCTCTCACTTGATACTTTTGCATGCCGTCGAGACGTTTCCAAGACTGACAGACCGAAAGACGTATATCTTGATTGTTCATTCGTCAAGCGCTTCATCCTTGAGCCCTTCGATATCCCTTGCTTGCACTGCCAGTCATCCTCCCTCTCAACCCTTTCCAGCATTTGGTGAACATTTCCTTACCAGTGCTCTCTCGCCGCAAACTTCACCTCCCAGCTGCTGCGAGTGACTCCTCAAAGCGCTCTCCCTTTTCCGCCCCGAACTCCCTCCCCTCCACCTCCAGGGATATCACCTCCACCCAAGAGCCGAAACACATCACCAACCCTCTTCTGCACCTCTTTGATATTAGAGATTGCCTCAGATTCCACTTCTGAATGTCCCCTACTTACTCCCGGCATAATGTGCGTTACTTCTATCTTGTGATGTCGTCTATACGGCTCCCACAGTCCCCGGGATGTTTTGCTCCCCGGGAACGGACCAGAGTGGCTCATTCTGCAGCCTCCTTGCAAGGATACGGACTCTTTGAACAGCACGGCGTACAATGCCGACGAGGAGCTCACCCTGAACAACGTATACATATCTCTTAGACCTCTGTGCGACGAACCTCTGCATACCTCGAGGTGGAATATACCGCCCAGTCATCTCACGCTTCTGTCTGGTCTCAATTCAGTTCAATGAATTAGAGGGCCTTCGTCGGCCAAGGAAATGTTGCCCAGGCAAGAATCTCTCGACGGTGTGCGATACAGCACCCTCAACCCCTTATCTTCCCCAATACGATACAGCCTCCTAAGCATCAGCCTCTCAAGCATAAACTTCTGAGGCTTCCCTCTCTCTGCGCCAGCGCATGATCCTCACGGACAGCGTGGTAACAGGTGATTCGGCTTGTTACATAGGTCTATGGCCGGGCTGAATTGCGGTGTGAAGGCCTCGGCTGTGGACATGGGTGCGAGTGGCGTTGGCGGGGGAATCGGTGTTGTTCATGCTGCTACCTTTTGCTTCTTCAGGAGTAAAGCAGGGCGAGAGGCGGTGGTGTCTTCGAAAGTTAGTGAGGATACTGGGCGTTTGAGATCTCCTCGGTGGTGAGAGGTAGTTAAAGAGAGGCAGTTGGGAACTTGATGTTTGTTGTCGGTAGAGGTTGGGTTGGATGAGGGAAGGGAGGATATCTCTTCCTCCTGGGTGCAGGTCTCATCGACGAGAAGCGACAAGTCGAGGCCGCTGAGGATGAAGTCTCCACTCCAGCTGGACGAAGGAGCTATAGCGGTGGAGGACTGGAAGACTCCTGTACGATACAAGTGTCCAAGGTCCTGACGGGCGACTGTCTCGGCTACAATGGCGGCTGGTTCTCTTGATGGACACTGATCAAGACTCATCTCTGTCGTAGTGGTACGGATTATAGGGGACAGTGCGGATGATCTTAGCTGCTGCTTTGTGTTGTAACAAGCGAGACCACCAGGAAAATGTGGTTGGCTGGAAAAGTCTTGCTGTCAGGGTTTGGGGTAGACATGGCGATGTCGTGGGTTGGAGGTGGTGTTTGTTGCCGATAGCTATCGTGAAATGTGCGAAAAGTTAGATTGACGATGTATCTAGCATGGGTTCCTCTGCCTTTGATCGGGGAGGAAGGCATATATCTCGTGGCTTTTGATGGCTTGCTGAGAAAAATTGCCTCTGCTTGTTGGTTCACCATCCATCTCCCATGTTTCGGAAGAGGAAGGCAGCTACGAGCACCACAAGTCATTCGAGAACTTCCCAAGACCTACAAGTCGGCCGTGATACTGGTTTTGATTGATTTGACTCTGACATCCTTACCATTCCAAAGCCGACCATTTCTCTCCCATGAAGCGTCCGCTTGTTCCGTGCTATCGTCCATCAGAGGCCAACGTTGAGTAGGGCGAGAAGGTAGTATGATTCTCAACACTCCAGATAAAGAAGCCCTGCTTGGGAACCTTGAAGAGCTCGAAGGCCAAAACGGTTTGCCGGAAACGGACCCTCAAGGCTTGAAGTCCTCCTCAACCGATTGCAGCTCGATGTTGATCTCCAAGAGTCTGCGGAAAATTTCGTCGCTCGCCCTGCTGCTCACAGCCGGGCAAGTGCCTCCACGATTCTAAAGTCCACCAGTCGTCATCGTACAGTTAGTCGAATGGTTCGAGGTCACGGCGTCCGATGTGGGAGCATTTCAGCGCACAGAATGTTGCCGAAACAGGCAGGCTGGAGGGTGGAGAAGTTGTTTGCACAGCCAGTGTCGGGTGCACCCATTTCGGATGTGTCGCTGAAGCCTGAAACCAGGTAGATACCTTGAGCGTGATAATGTCCTTCCCATGGTGGAGGGAGGAGACGGAGTGATGTTAAAAACAAGGTTCGGCGACCGGTTCGGATCGGACGCCGCCGGTCCGCCAAGCGTCACCGCACTTCAACCTCACCACGACGACCATGACGCTCTCATACATACAAAGGACCAACACCCCACCTGTTGTCTGCGGCAATGTGGCCACGCCGAGCACACACGATGGCCCGAGAGATCTTTGTCCATGCGCAGGCCATTCTCCCACCGCCTCTGCGATGCATGTCCATGCAGAAGGCCGACTGCACCTCCCTGCACCACACGAAAGACAAGCAAACGACACCAACCCTTTGATCGCTTCGCCTTCAAATGCGATGCAACCCCTCCTCCGCCGACGTTCTCCTCCCTCCCTCCGCGAAGCCAGACCAAGGAGCGCATCATGGTGAAGGAGCACGCCCTGACGTCGACGCGCGTGCATCCCTGCGTGCCCACGTCCATCGTGCCCGACCACTGGATCCCATCCTCCTGCCACCAACAACAATGCACCGGCTGCCATTGCTTCAAGCGTGGCTCGGCCTTTGTGCACCTCCGCAAGTCTGACGTGACCACTCAGAAGTGCTACTCTTGTCGCAAGAAGGGTAAGACGAAGGTTCCAGCAACCAGCCATGCGTGACCTCAACTGATCCCCTGTTCTCTTCACAGTCGATACCCCGATTCATGACCTGCTCGACGATCCACCCGTCTGGCTGCAAGGCGCCATTGGCGCCTTGATCATCGCCGCGGTCCTAACTCTGCTCTGGTGCATCGTATCCATGGCTTTGCGCACTCCAACAGCGCCTTCGTCGACAAGCAAGGACCTTGTCATGCACGACGCAGCCGAGACGACGCGCGCCACAAAGACGCTGATCACCACGTTGGTGCGCACAGAACCCATCACGAGAGCTGGAGAGGTGGTGTTGGAGCAGAAGGTGATGACGACTACGCGGGTGGTCATCACGCCGTAGGATGTCGGGGGATGTCTCGATGGTGAGACGGGAAAAGGCAGAAGAGCAGTGAGATTGATTTGGCAGGGTGAATGGTATGGGAAGACGGTGGGATGGACATGGCGGGGGAGATGGATACATGCGAGAGATGGATACATGGCGACTATATGGATATGGATGAAGATTGCGGGAGAGATGGTCATAGGGGGACGACATGAGGCGATGAACAACACGAGATGGATACACATGCGGTCACATTGAAAGATGTTTCTGAGAAAAGCAATACAGTCGTAGCGAAGATCAGCAATGACGACGGCTTGACAGTCACCGCGCCTCGCTCTCGCTCTCGCTTTCTCCCACCCACACTCCCCCTTTGGTTTTCCTCTCTCTGATAAGCTTCGTACATACGATTCTTCTCCCTCCCCCCTTCCCCACCGTCTCTCTCAGTGCTCCTGCTCTACACAGACCACGACCAAACCCGTCAGATCAACGGAGATCCCCCAAAAGTCCCAAGAGATGCCAATCAAAGAAACCCAGACTCGTCAGTCTGGGTTTCCTTGGATGAAGCCCCGAGAACATGTCTCCTTCCCACGCTCCACTCTCTCCCTCCCTCAGACAGTTCCTCTCCGTGCTATAAGTTTATTCGTGTTGTTCAGACACACACTCGATGAACCTCCCGCCTCTTCTGATTGATGGTTCTCCTCGCGCCTTAGGAGGTTTTGAGGGAGAGATCGTGTGGGTAGACAGGATTTCTCCCTTTCGTGGTTGGTAATTGGTGGCCCACCCGCCACCCGCGGAGCCAGTGTCTTCTGGGAGGAGGAAGACTGCTTGAGAGTGGAGGAGGAGGGGATGGATATGCTCAGTCTCCATCTCATCTCCTCCAACACATGCTATGCTGTGTGTGAGGGCTCGGCGGGTTTTTTCTTGGTGGAAGATTTGTGGGTTTGGGGGGACCTTTCTTTGGTTTGGAGGTTTGGGGGTTGAAGTCTCTTTTAAACTTCAAGGTTTAGAGTTTGGTGCCTTTCTTTGATTTTGGGGTTTGGGGTTTGGGGGGTTTTTTTCCTTTGATTTCGAGGGTTGTAGCTTGGGACTTTCTCGCCGTGATGAATGTGGGAATGCCTCCATGGTATTGATGTTTTGGTTTGGTTTCTGATGGGTGGGCGGATGCGTTGATGTTCTTGCTGCTTTGGTTTCGTTCTGCCCTAAGAGCGAGGGAGAGGAGCAGGCGGACGGGGTCGCAAAACGATGAAGAATCGCATGACCCAGAGGATAAGAAGTTGATCGCACGAAGAGGTTCGGGAGAAGAGGATGTGCAGGGAATGTCGATTGTCAAAGGTTGATCAAGTCTTTGGTAATTTCCGTTGCCTGCACATTCTCCCCGACCTTCTCCTATTGTGCTTTGTTCTCAGACTTTGGAATCGAGAGTTGGCGGGAAAGGCGATGAAGGATCTCATGACCAAGATTTGAAGAGGTTTGTCGCACGAAGAGGGTAGGAAGGAGAAAATGTGCAGGCAAAGTCGATTACCAAAGGTTGGCCAGGCCTTTGGAAACCTCCATTGCCTGCACATACTCTCCCGCCTTTTCCTCCTGTTGCGCTTTCTTCTCAGGTTTTGAAGTCGAGATTTGGTCGAGCAATTCGGAACAGTGGAGATGTGTGTGCTTGCTTGAGTTTTTTGTCTTCAAAGTTTTTCGAGGCGGTGATGGCCAAGAACAGCCGATTGAATCCGGATCCGGCAAAGAGAACTGAACCAGCACTCGAGAGTTGTGTCGAGAGGTTGCTCTGGGATAACAGTCGCTGGCATCTGTTCTAGAAGTCCCAGCGAAGCTTCTGGTTTCGAGTGCCTGATCCTTGGTCAGTCAAGCCCGCGTGGTTGATGTTTTAGGAGACGTACACATGGATGGAACGAGGTAGAGCATGGAGCTTTCATCTCGACTGCAGAGCCATCAGGCTTTGAGACGAGACATGCTGCTGATGAATCTGTCTGTTGGATCTCGCTGGTACGCTTCTCCCTCCTCGCTGCAACGGCAGACCAACGAAACTGGCTGGACTTTGGACAGCCGGGCTAATGTCCCAGGCGCGCTTCTAGGAAACCAGTCGACTGCCCGAAGCCAGCCAGAAGACGAAAGCATGTCGATGGAAGATGGCCGGAAGCTCAAGCATAAGGCGAGTAGGTGGTATCATGATAGAGGGCGAGGCAGTGTGCTTAGGTGGTAAAGCAAGAAACCGGGAGAGGCTTTGCGTATTGGTTGGTGCAGCCTAAGAACTCAAGTTAGTAAGAAGTTGGGAGACAAGAAGGCACGCATGCTGGGTAGTAGACTAGTAGACATACTCAGATTCATGATCATATAGTCGAGATGATGAGCTGCTGCGAGATGTGTAGATTGAGGATCGTCAAGTGGAAGATGTCCCGGAGAGATAGAAGAAGTGGAGTTCGCTGGCCACTAGAAGAATGTAGAGGAGGCATGAGAGATGGAAGTGCGAGATGGTATGGGGGAACTATGAGCTGAGTAAAGATCCTATGTATGTGCGTCGCGCTGCGCGGAACGACAATAACAACAACCACCACCACCATCACAACACGACGGCAAGAACAACATTTCGAGCGCGTCTGAGATGAGATTTCCATGGGCAGTCCCAAGAAGACAAAGACAAGCGTTAGTATCCAGACCGCCAAGCATTTGACGAGACTGCATGCGGTGGTTGTGTAGATTGGCCGTCACGAATGAGATGAGGTGAGGTCGAGCGACAACAAGATGGTGGAGGGTCATTGGGCAGGATTCGGAGTGATTATTGCAGTCTCCGTGCAGAGCGCAGTGATGGAACGCAAGGACAGAGCGGCAGGCAGGTCGTCGTTCGAGGAGAGGCTGCAAGAGGACCGTCCATATCCAGGCTCGTTCGCGGCGCAAAATGAAGAGCAGAAATGTCTTGCTTGAAGGGAAGTTAGCCAGCAATTCTCGTGTGCCGGCATGGATCGACGGGGCTCGCGGGTTCAGTAGTACGAACACATGTTTGCAGCACCTCATCTCCAGACATCCTGGGACGAGATGAGATGAGGTGAAGTTCTCGGGATCGCGGGCGCTTGGCGGGCGCTCCCGCTTTTGTAGCCCAGATCAGACTAGCTCGCCTGTCGTTTTGGCACTCCACGCAACACAGTCCATACCTTCAGAACATCCCAAACTACCCTCCGTCGCTTGCTCCGTCACGGCAATCAGCCTCGTCAACCTGGCCCACTCACCTCGCCGCCTTCAGTGGACTCCTCCCGCCCGCCATGCGCGCCGTCTCCCAATTCCCCTCCTGTTCGCCGGCTCCTGACACACGACGGGACGGCACATGAAGCAGCAGCAGCATGGGTCCTCAACACCACCCGCACCATGCCTCACCTCTGTCCGTCTACCCGTCCGCCGCAATGGTAGACCTAATGGATCCGACGGGTGAGCGCCCAGTGCTCTGGATGCAACAACCCGCCGCGTTGGGTCTTCATTTTCCCTCCATCTCGCTCAACATCGACGTCCCTCTTCGCCTGCTATTTCTGATCCATGCCGAGGCGCTCGACGGGTACGCGCAGCTCAGATGAGTCCCCATTTTCGGTGCCGTTGCTCGGTGGTGGATGCTGCGACTTTGGATGCGGCAATGTCCTGTCAGATGGGCAGAGTCCCACATCCCTCTCCTCCACCTCATCAGGCCTCCCGCACCACTGTCGCATCACCAAAGGCCCGAACAGCACACCCTCTCACCAACCCAACTACCTTGACGTCGTCACTATCGTCGAGTGTCGATCCGGGCGGCCGAAGTGGACGTGAGTTGGGCAAGGAGCATGGAGCCGCATTGGGAGAGCAAGGGCAGCATTCAAGAGCAGACAGCAGTTGGGGGTTGGCACATGGAGTCATACTTCGGACAAGAGCCATACCACAAGCCTGCAGGTGCCCATGATCAACCGTCGAGCGTCAACACTCAGCTCGCAGCAGATGGTGGCTGGCATACGGATTCAGCCCTCGGACAAGAACCGTATCACCAGCTTCCAGGACCACAGGACCCTCCGTTGAGCGTCAATCCTCAGCTCGCGGCAGATGGTGGCTGGCATATGGATCCAAACTTCGGACAAGAGCCATACCGCCAGCCTGCAGGAGCCCACGACGTACCGACGAGCGTCAACACTCAGTTCTGGAATCCGCCCAGGTCCACCTCCTCTGCATCGATTACAGGCCCTGCCTATCCTTCTGCTCAAGTTCACCGTCGTACTGCCAACCCTCTTTCTGCATTTGCTGTGAGCGAGTATGGCTTCTCACCATGCACTCAGCCACCACCTCCAGCAACTCCAGACAACCCAGTCCCAGCTGCCAGGATCCCAGCACCACCTCAGCGTCACCAAGTCTTACCAATCAGAGCCAGCCGTTCGATTCGCAGGTCCAACCAGCTGCTTCACGCACAACTTCGCCTTACTGCTCGGGAGCAGTCCACTGTGCCCAGCGGTTCTGGGGCCGGATCAGCAGCTCCTCGTCGTTCCATGCAACTGCAGCACGGTGCTTGTGATCGCATCCAATCTCTCGACCGCCGTCACCATCGCTACAACCGCCAACGCCGACTTCAACGAGTTGTTGCCGATTCAATCAACGGGATGACCATCTCAGCGGCTCGACAGCTGCAAGCTGAGCGTGCGTTCTTCTCACCATCATCCTCGCCATCGTTGCTGGCATCGACCCGCACTCCTCGGACACCAGAGCCGAGACCCGCGTCGCCACACCTGCTTCCCGAACACATCTACCGCTCGCAACAAGCCCGCTCTACGCCTGCATTCACCTCACCGCCTTCGCCACCGTTGCCCATTCCAGCGCCGCGCTACATTCTCCGCTCGCAGCAATAGTCACGGCGCTGTGCATGTGGCAGGGACCTGCAAAAGTTACTGGATCTTGGTGGTGGACGGTTGGCTGCTTGCTCTGCGTGCTGGAATGTAATATGGCGAGTCAGTCGGCGAGTATGAGAAGGATTTCCGTTTCGGTTGCAGTACTTGCAAACTTTGAGCGCTCCACTTGTATTGCTTGCGAATGTGGCTGAGGGCTGGAAAGTGCATGGTTTGGGAGATGCGACATGCTCGTTTTCACTTCGATATCGGCAGGCGACTTCAATCACACATCCATTGGCTTCCCCGTCGAATCCCTTCACCAGCCTTGCAATACAAGTTCTCGGGTTCAAGTGAGGACCTTCAGACTACGATGAGCTTGTGTCCATTCAGCTGACAGGTCTTCATCTGTATGCGTGGGTGGAGGTGGGTGCGGGGAAGTTTTTCAGGAGAGTTGGGGCAGTATGTTGGAGTATGGAAGTGGGTGCGTGTAAAGTATATCAGAAGTATAGAAAACCCAGAGAAATGACGCGCAGTCTCGACGACGACGACAGCCTCACAGAATGCCCACCCACCCTGCTACAGAAACAGCCCGTCTTTCGTCGTTCAAGAGCAAGGCATCGCATGCTCACGTCTCATGTCTCATTTCGTCTCAAACAACGACGAAGACGGGCCCTCGAACCTCCACTGCCGCTATGCCTCACCATCCCACCAGGACTTCGAAGGAACACAACTCGAACACCCAATCTCTCACGCTCAATTCAAGCCATGGTCATCTCACATCAACACAACACAAGTCAAATACGAAAGGGATGGCTTAACGCACGTGGAGATGAAGAGTAAATCCCCTCCCTCCAGCTAGCCATCTGCGATGGCTGACTGACTGACTTGCCCGCCCGCCGAGCTTCGTGATACCTCTCTTTCTCCCTCATCACCGAAGTTGATGGTAGAGAGATCGAAGTGCTGGTGACGGACGGTGATGGAGTAGGCTTGTCCGAGGGGGGAACTGTCAAGATTGTCTGTCAATCCGAGCAAGCAAGCATATAGTGAAAAGACTCCATCGATCTAGGACGTTTTGGACTGCTCATGTACATCTACGTCGGAACTCGGGCGAGGCTGGTCGTGGGCGTTCCCGATTTTGGGGATGAAGGGGTGAGGCTTTAACCCACCGACAAAAGTTATAGATCCCATCATGAAACGTTGTTATCACACTAGCAAGGAAACGCATCTCCACCTGATTTTCATCTCTGCTGTGCTATCAAAGCCTCGAACTTGAACCCGAGGATCGCGACAGCTTTCGGAAAGAGCAAAGGAAAGGAAAGGAAAGTAAAGGAGACATGCAATCCTTCCGTCGTACCTGACCTTGGCCACATCAAACCTACCCGTGGAGGACTGACTGTAGGAGAGAGGTGTTTGAATTTCCCCCTGAATGCTTCATCCACGCTTGAAGAGCCTCTCCCTAGGAAGGGTTTGTTCTCTTCTCTTCATCTTACTAGGCCCTTTCATTGTCCCCTTTGCATGTATGAACGTCCTCTCTCTCATCAAGAGTCGTGTCGAACGCGGTAATGGAAAGAAAAAGAAAAAGAAAAAGAAGAAGAAGAAGAAGAAGAAGAAGAAGAAGTAGCCAGAAGGGGTTCTTCTTTTTAAATCAATCAACGATACATTAGCTTGGCTAGATTCATTTCTCGACGACCGAGGCTGTTCTTGTTGGCGGTGTTTGGGTGAGTGATCTGTTCTTCTTCTTCGTCGACGAGGGAAACGAACCTCGCTTGGATGTTTCTTGCCTGGCTGTATGTTTGTCCATACTATACTCATTCGCGGCGGTGGAGGTTGAGGTCGCTTGAACTTCGACTTGGTGGAGATGATTGCGAGTCGTCTCTGCATAACCAACCCATTATATACATACACATACTCGACGAGGAGGAGTGAGGCTTTTGCAAAAGAAAAGGATTCTGGAGAGGGAAATGCTGATCTGGATGATGAGCAGGGAGAAGTGCAATGAAACGTTGAACAAGCTCCCGAGAAGATCTCTCTCAATCCTCCCGCACATGTCTTTTCTGTGTAAATATCACCCTGTGACCACGACCAACGCTCATCTCTTCTACATTAGCTTTCCCTCCAATCACCACTGCGGAAGCGACATTTTCAAGCTCTTCCACTCCACGACCCGCTGCCAACAATCCTGCATCGGGCTCAGATCTGCCACTCGCACTGTGCCCTCCCATTTCCCCTGCTGGGACTCCTCCGGCCGGATGACCACGCTTCCCACGCCGGGGACGATCGGTCGGCCTCTCCTGGACCAGCCCTCCAACTCGCACAACGTCAAGTTCCCCCAACCTTGCCATGAGGCGGAACAGACATCTTCCTCTTCCATCGCGAAGCTGTTGAAGCTGTCAAAGCCGTAGCGTTGGTGTTGGTGGTGGTTGTGGGATGTCGAATCACTGACAACGCCAAACGCCTTCGAAAGGGTCTTGGAGATCTCACTACGGAGATCCTCTTTCAGCTCATCCCACACTCGATCTTGTCGGCCGCCAGCGCTGATCTTGTTGGCGATGTCAATCACATGGTCTTTCCAGTAGTTGAGTTGAGCTGCGGTATGAACGTCAAGGTGCAGCTTGTCGAGCTCATGCTGTGTGACCTGGAGATGAAGTTGTTGTATCACGTCGAGATCGTCTCCATCAAGCGTCCGGCCGACTTTGGCAGGATCTGGAAGATCGCGGAGAGAGCCAAGTCTGTGCTCCCATTCTTGACCCCAGTCAAAGGCACGTAGAGTCGCAGACGGCAGCAGAGGAAAGACATGCTGAAGGGTGAGTAGCAGGACGGCTGTGTGCTGGCGGAGCTGGGCAGGACGACGCAAGATGACCGGGAAGAGCTGTTGAACACTTGGGCGGATCCAGAGAACGTGAGGACGGAGGTATACGCAGTACCAGGTTGCCACGGTGGGATGGACGAAGTGATGAGCAGTCCGGGGACTGGGACATGTGGAGCCGAGAGGATTGTCGAGATACTCGAGATACCAGGGGTGCGGCTGGAGGTCAGATGGAGAAGAAATGCAATGAGATTGCAAGTGGTTGTTGAGGTCCTGCAGTTTTCGAATCACTTCATCCAACATGGGAGCGAACTCGCTCTTGTAGCAGCGTATCTGGCGAGCAAGGCGGTCGCGGAGGATCAGCACATCTGTGACATAGGCGTCATCAGACAGACACTCGCTTTCTCGTGAAGAGGGTTTGCGGGTGGAGATCCATGAGGATGGAGACAGAGATGATGACGATTTCCGGTCACAGAGTCGAGATGTGCGCGGCAAGGTGGTGGTAAAAGCTTGAGTGTCGGGATGTTGACGCACGAACTCGTCAACACCATTTGGACACACTGTGATGAGCATGTTGTCGAGCTCGCAATATGCCGCCGCCATCAAGCTGAAGATTGAGTGAGCCCAGTGGACAGGAGGACTTCCCAGGCAATAATACTCACGGGATGTGGGAATCCAGTGGTCTGAACGATTCGACGAAGCGAGCTCCCGCGTGGAAGGCAGCAACAGGAGAGTGGCGGCCGAGGAGATGATGATCGTGATATGACTGGCCCAGGTACTGGGATGTGTTAGCAAAGATAGCAAACGTTTGAGATGATGAGCTGACCACTCCAGGGCTCATAGCATCATGACGGGCGAGAATGGTGGGATCCAAGACGATGCAGAGAATAGCGAGAGCGAGGATGCAGGTCGCACTCAGGCCGGCTCCAGCGACAAGGCCAAACCATCTCATCCATCGATATGCACTCCAGTGAGTCCAGAAGAAGTAGCCAAGGGCCAGGGCGAACAGGGCAGATTGGTAGACGGGGTCAATGAACAAACAGGCGCACAATGGCCAGGTCCAAGAGATGTATCGATTGATGGCTGGGGTGACATGGCGGCGAAGGGAGTGGGCCAAAGAGGGCGGTCTGCAACGAGAAAGGAGGACGTCGATGAGAAAGATCCAGGCCGCGGCGGTAGCGAAGAAAACAATGGCGAGCGGCCGGGCAAAGGGCACCAAAGCGCAGAGCCCAGTGCACTGGGAGGGCGTGTCTGCCATCGTGGTCTTTGTTGTCGGTTGGGAGGGAGATGGAATGTAAGAGTGTGGAATTTGTGCGTTTGCGGTCGAGACATGACGTGCCGTATGCGGTGTAACCGCACGCAAACGGGGGACTCTTTAGATGCACTCTTGTCGAAATCATGCTTCTCCCATTTCTTCCATATCGTGCTTCTGCCAGATGCCCGCGACGCCCAATTCCTTTGTCCGACCTAGGAGGCCCGCACGATGGTGACAACACGGGCCATGGTGCTAAGAGAGCAGGCCCGCCAGGCTGAGGAAACTCGGCAGGACCAAGGGAGCGGTTCCGACCGCAGTCAAGACGACAGCGACAGCGGAGAGAGCGCCGGCAATTCACATCATAGCGAGGGCGGAGGACTCGAGCAGGATGATGGTGGCAGTGGGGACGCCGAAGATGAAGATGGAGATGGAGAAGGAGACGGCGGAGGAGGAGGTGGTGGTGGTGGCGAAGATGAAGGCGACGGCGAGGCTGAGGCTGCAAGGCGACGACCGTGGCGAGTGTGGGTCTGGTGCGCTCTCGGCCTCGGCCTCAGTCTGTGCAAGTTGCACGTGATTCCGCGCGAGCGGCCTGGTTCCGCCCCCGCACCGGCCTGGGACTTGGCGCCGCCCTGTCACGTCGCGACGAACCCCAACCAGATCGCGCCGTGCATACAGCTGGCCAACACGACGCGCCTGCTGGCCCTGCCGTTCGACCAGCTACTGGAGACGCTCCGCTCCGCCGCCCCTTCTCTCCCCACGCCGCCGCCCGCCACCCTCCTGCCCGTGGATTCCGCCCTGGACGCCGCCTTCTCCCACGCGCAATCCCTCCAGGACCAACTGGACATCCTCCGCCCGCACTTCCTGCCCTGGACCCGCCCGTTCGCCTTGCTGGCTCCGCTGCGCGCCGTGTCGACGCGATACGATGCCTGCCACGCGCCATCTGCTCTCCTCCGCCGCGTGTCGTGCCACCTGTCGCCGCCGCCGCCCGTCGTCCCGCTGCGCGCCTTCCTGCCCGCTCTCCTCGAGGACTGGCACCTCCGTCTGTCGCTGGAGCGCCCCCGGTACCTCGCCGAGCGGGAGGAGCTGCGGCGACTCGATCGCACGCTGAATGCCGTGGCCAGCGCCGTCACCGCCGCGCTCGAGGCCACCAGCCCCCGGTCCTCCACCGCCCAGCCCGCTCTGGTCTACCTTCGCCGCGCCGAATCTCGCCTGCTGGCGCTGCGGGCCGCGTCCCACATCGTCCACCGCCGCCTCGACGCCGCCATCGCACACGAGACGGCCCTGCAACGCCGCTTCGCTGCCGCCGCCGCGGCCATCATCCACCCTCTGCTCTGCCTCCCCCCCGACCACCCCATGCCGACCGACCTCGCCGCCGTGGCCTCCGCCATCCAGACTTATCCTCAACTCCTGGATCTTCCCGTGGAAGCCGCGGCGGCCCGGGTGTACCACAACCTGACGGCTCTCGGCCGTGCGGTGCGCCAGGCGGTCGAGCACGAGGGGAATGGCGAACACCTCGCGTCCGCGGTCGCCGACGCCACGTACTTTGGCGCTCGAGACTGGGCTCTTCAGACGTTCGATCACTGCATCGACGAGAGAGCACAGGTTCCGTGTCGGCGGCAGCCTCAACCTTTCGACATGGCCACGACTTCCGACTCCTCTCACGTCAGCCCGGTCCCAGAGCATCCCACTGGAGACTTCAAAGGAATGGGTTGCACTACGCACCCGCAGCTCTTCCTCCGCCATTGGTACAGCACCACATCGGACGCGGACGCATTTGATCCCCAGTGGCCGAGCCTGCCATTCTTGCACGAGCGTGTTGGGCTACTGGATCCGAAGCGCAGGGGCAAAGTCAGGTGTAGTGCCACCTCGGCATCGCATCCATCCACCTCATGGCGAAGAGAGGGATTGTGGGAGGTCCGGGCCAGGTGGGCTCAACATCAAGGCTGAAAGAATGAGAATGGACCTGTATGGGTGAAAAGAGGGCGGGACATGTCAAACTTGAAGGATCGGGCAGAGCTGATGGACGTGGATACCTGGAGGAGGATGAGCTGAGGAGGTTTCGCTGGGCAGAGGATTGATGTATGGCTGTTGAATGGCAAAGATTTGCAGACGATGGAGAGCTGGCTGACTTTGGAGGGGTGAGTGGGAGGATTCCGCCGCGTGGATGCTCTGTGTCCGTGTACAGTAAATGAGTAATAGAGGCAGGGATACAATTCTCACACCGTGACAGCGACCCGCACAAATCTTTACTTCCAAGTTCTCACTCCTCCGTCTCATGCCCGGGAGATTTCGCCCGACGCACGATGGCGTGCGAATGTATCCATCAACTCATGGATTGATTCTAAGTACAATACAACACAAACAACCCCGTCCATCAAAATGTCTCTCCTCACCGGACCCCTGAATCCAAACATTCCCGCCATTCTCTCTCGTCCCGGATTCATCATCAGGGCGAGCTCGGACTGCTGATTGAGTGAGGGTTCAAGTAAGGTGAAGTCGAATCTGCATACAATTATCATGACGCCATCACCCTTAATCGATGGATGGATAGATCACCAGCTGTGCGTTATCCATTGGCCTGGAGGAATATGAAGTGAGGATAGGAAGCGTCGAATTTGCAAGAGTACCTAGGTACCTATCGTTAACAAGGAAAAGGGAAAAGGAAAGCAGCAGACTGATGAAGACGTGGATAGGAGATTTCGGCGTTGATGGAGAACATATTTCTTGAAGTTGCCCTGTTCTCTGGTACTATCATCACCACCACCGCACACACACACATCTCCCAAGGTGAACAAAACATCAACTTCCAAGTCGAAGAATCGAACGACAATCTCGAATCACAAAACAGCTATCGTACAGCCAACAACAACACAAAGGCAGAATGGAAGAACAAAAAAAAACGTCTCGCCGCATTGTACTGTTACACCTCACGCCTCCCATCCCAAACCCTCTTGTCTTGTCACGATGCTCTGCAGTGTTTCTTCCTCAAATCCTCAGCGACGACCTCATGCCCTTGCTCGGCGTCGCAAGGTACTCCTCGGGTGTGGGCTTGCTCAGACGACCGCCGGCCTCCAGATCATCAACACGATCCTCGAGCGTCTCAACACGGCCCTGGACGTCCCCGCAGAAGCCCTTGAGGTTGGCAGTTGCGGAGGCCAGGCGCTTGAGCGAGGCCACGGTGCGTTGCTGGAGGTATTCGTTCTGGGTGGCCGCACGCTCGGTGTCGGCGGTGTGGGCGTCGAGGGCGTCGGAGAGCTGGGAGAGGTCTTTGCCGTGTTGGGCGGTGGTGAGGATGATGGCCTTGTGAGAGGATGCGAGGCCGGTGTGCGAAGAGGCCAGGTCGTCATGAGCTTTGCGGGTGCTGCTGATGTCCTCTCTGTAGGATTTGAGTGTCGTGTCGAGGTTCTTGGACATGTTGCGGATGCTGGACGACTGATGATCGATGCGGTTGTAGTTTTGAGCGACGGTGGTGGCGAGACGGCCAATGTCGTTGGCTTGATGGTGAAGCTTGGTGGTGTGGTCCTTGACAACGCCAGAGAGACTGCCCATCTTCTCAGCGTAACCATCAAGGCGGGAGACAGCGCTGGAGAGGGAGTTTGTCTTCTCGGCGTGAAGACCAAGGCGAGTCTCGTGGCCCTCGACGGCGTTTGAAAGATTCGCCAACTTCTCAGCTTGACGACCAAGGCAAGTGCCATGCTCATCGACAGCACCAGAGACCTGCACGAGCTTCTCAGTCGCCTCCTTCGACACAGTTCCCAGATTGCCGACTATGTTGGAGAGGTCGTCGAGACGGCCGCTCTGGTTACGGAGAAGGCCAGCGCTGGATGTCAAGCGTTGGTGTTGATTGGAGAGCTGGCTGCCATGGTCTTTGAGGGTGATGTCATGGGCAGACAGACGTCCATCCTGAGTGTTGAGGTGGTGGTGATAGAGGTCGAATTGGGAGTCATGGCGGGCCAGGTGATTGTCGTGGGCATCTAGGCGATGGGTGTGACTGTTCAGGTCATCCTGGTATGGGTTGTCGTGGTACAGCTCAGACTTGGTGGGTGAAGGAGTCGGAGGAGGAGTGGCTGGAGCGGTACCGCCGAAATGGACGCCAGGAAGTTGGGTCGACTTGGCGGTAGCCTTGTGCGGCGTCGGGAATATCTCGACAGTCGAAGCAGGAAGGACGGTAGGGGCAGCCAGGATCTTTGGTGTGTTCGCGCGAGGAAACGAGGACTCAAAGGCGCCGCTCGCAGCCAGTTGGGATGTGGCAGCGTCAATCACACTCTTCCACCCAAGATTCTTGCCACGCCACTGACGCGCTGGATAGGGACTGATGCCAGCGTCGCCCCAGGTGCTGACGCCGCTGGCAATGCGAAATGCAACATCGCGCCAGACAGCCATGCCGAAACAAGTTGGAATGCCGAGGGCATGGGCGAAAGAGATGAATGCCTGTGGGGTTGGTTTGCCAGCAGGCTTGCGGAAGATGCCATGCTGGGATGCGGTGGCGATGATCTTGAAGAAGAGTGTTAGCAAGTGGCAGAGATGGAGCAGGGAGAACAGAGGTACTGACCTTGGCTTTGAATTCGGCATCATCGTAAGACAGTCTGCTAGGACAGCCGTCGGCCGCAGTAGCTTGACCAGCGAGATATCCCAGCTTGAGAGCACCGTTGCCAACCTTGTCGGATCCGAAGACAACAAAATGGATGTATTTGGTTCGGAGGAGAGGAGTCGGCTCGTTGGGAAGGGCGTGGCCATTGTTAAGCATGATGGCATCGGCAGTCTTGTGGCGCGAGGCCAGCGTGTCTGGCTGGCACCAGGAGGGAGGCACGCGCACTGCCACCATGGTGAGAGGCCAAGGTGTTGGAGGGGGAGTTAGTAAAGCAGAGGGGAAAAGAGAGGCAGAACGAAGGAGGGTTGAAATGGGTGACTGTCGAAGTGTTGAGGGGGTCAAAAGTGGCAAAAGAGCGTCGCTGAGGGCAAAGGGAAAAACGAGCGTTGGGAAGAGTAGAGCAAAACGACGGACGAAGCTGAGTGATGAATGGGACTTTGACGAAGAGAAGGCCAGAGACGTGATGCTTTAATCCCCAAATCAGGGTGTCAAGAACATGGCTGGCAAGCTGGTGTGCTCAATCTTCAAGAAACCAACGAGGGAAATGAGGCATGGCAGAGTGAAATAGCAAAGACACGAAGTTTACGATAAGACGGGGCGCTTGAGGAGATGTCATAAGCCAGGGCCGTGGGCCGGGGAGAGGGTCGTCGTTTGGTGGTGTGTCTACATACGTCGCGTGGGATGATCTCCGCTGGCGGATGAACGAGAGGGGCATGCAGGTTACGATGCCGCCGGGTATCATTGAGTGCCGGCTTCATACAGTGCGTGAGTGCGTGATGGGTGGCAAAGTGGACGTGAGTGAATGAATGCTGTGGTTGAGGTGTCGGTTGCTGCCAAGCGTTGCCCCAGCACAGACTAGCGGCATTTGAAACGCGGCCCATGCGCTTTGTCGTCAATCTCCATCTCATCTCCATCTGTTTGGCTTCACCCAAGCACCCTCACCCAGATTACCCACCCCATGCCTCAGATGCCGCCGCCGCCGCCTCACTTCCCGCGTCGCCAGAACCACGCTCCCGCGATGGCGTCTCGTCGCGCGCCTCATCCACCGCGTCCTGCGCCGGCAGCAGGGTGAGAGGGCTGGCTATGTGTCCATTCGACCTTACAACCTCCAAGATCACTCCTACTGTTGCTGCTTGGCACGACTCCTACCGTTCTCCTCGACAACTGCCACTACCCCCCGTACCGCCTCCAGTGACCGTCCACACCTACCATCTCCCGCCATCATGCCTCCAGCGGCCGCCGCTCTCGACTATGCCGCCTCGAAGCCAGTCATCCAATCATTCCTCAACGACATCCGTCTGGACTACCTGGTCCATCTGGAGCCTGGTCAGCTCAACGCCCTCTACAGTCTTCTCGACTGGATCAATCCCGCCGACGAGCTTCGCAACAAGACACTTCTCCTCGCCTGGATTGCTCGGCACTTCCCTGAATTGAAGCATCCGGTCAAAAAGATGGCTACGCAGACACTGTTGACACAGTCGATGCAGAAGAAGAAGGCTTTCGTAAAGAAGGAGTGCGAAGGCCAAGATTGGATGCCGGACACATCACGGTTGTCCGGCCGGATTCGTGGTGTGAGGGAGGATATGCATGATACGTCACGGCAGTACAGCAGGATTGGCGGTGTGAAGGAGGATATGCATGATGCTTCACGGCGGTATGGGCAGATTCATGGTGGTGTGGAGGATACGCATGCCACTTCACGGCAGTACAGCAGGATTCGTGGTGCAATGGAGGATATGCATGATGCTCCACGGCAGTACGAGGAGATTCATGGTGCGATGGAGGATATGCATGATGTTTCATGGCAGCATGGGGACATTCATGGTGATGTGGAGGATGTACGTGATACTTCGCGGCAGTATGGGAAGAGTCATGCTCATGGAGGGGATAGGCGCGATACGTCGTGGCAGCATGGAAAGACGTATGGTGAGGTGGAGGACATGCGTTGCACTTCACGGCAGCATGGGAAGACTTATGGTGCAGAGGAGCAAATGCTCGACGTCCCTATGCAACATGGTCAGACCCAACAGGCACCGTCGACGCCCACACGCAACTCTCGTCAGCCACCTCGTCCTCCGCAGCATGCCCAACTTCCAACCCGCCAGTCTGCCCGCGTCTCTGGAAAGATGGCAAGCGAGGTGCCGCAGTGGACCTCTTACGCCTGCGATCTCAGCGATGTCGAGAGTCTTGCCGCGTTCTCTGACGACATTGGGTGCGCCTCCACACCTGACAAAGCCGAGCACGTTCATCTGCAAGCCAAGTGCCAGACCCCACCTCCCTTCTTCGACCACGAGGAAGATGGTTATCCTGATGCTGATCAAATGCCGGAGATCAAGAACCACGAGCACCAGCAGAACAACCCCCTTGGCAAGGATACATCAAGTGCTTCCGCATCTCCACAACGCATTCCTGGGTCCCTGCAAGACGGCACTCGTCCTTTCATCCCCATCCTTCAGAACACCTTCTTTCCCCGTATCTGCGAGGCTCTCCGCGTGGGTCATGTAGATACGGCAGTGCTGGAGACAGCTCGACTGGTGGCACTCGTGGTGCAGATTAAAGATGTAGCTGGGGAGGCTGACAAGCAGGCGAACTGATTGATCCTCTTGCCGTCAAGGAAGCCAGACAGAAGAGGCTGATGCAAAGGTCATTGAGCTTGAAACTTGAAGCTGCTGGGGTCAAATGTGGAATGGGTTTGGGGGGAAAGGGTTTTCTGTACTCACTTCGCTTCTGTACTACTACAATACGATGATTTCCTCCTCGTCAGGCCACCATCGGTCACTCGACCAAGTCATCACCGCTCGAACCAGTGGTGAAGGACGGGATGGGCTCACCCGGCGGCGGTGTGGCCAAGCTATCCTCGCCGTCCTCGGTGCGCTGGGCCGCCATCATCTGCATCAAATCCAGGCCTGTCTGCCTCCACTCACCAGCACAGACACGGAGGGCATCTCGCCACTCGCGCAACACCCTCCGCTCACGAGCGCACCACGCCACCATGGCCGCCGCCCACGCATTGTACGCCGCGACGTCGGTGCGGAAAGCCGCCTCGTCGGCCGCGAGAGCGGTGTGCGCGGCGTCCAGGTGGTCCTGCTTCGCGCGGAATTCCTCGTACACGGATGCTCGCAGGTCGGCTTCTGCTTCGGCTCGCGCTTTCGTACCACAACGACGACACGATGCGCTGACCGCGGTGCCCTTGCCCTCGTCCACCACCACCTCCTCCACCTCCTTTTCCTGCGACAGCTGCGCAGCCTCCTGCCGCGACACCGCCCACTCCCTCGTCTTGACCGCCGACGACGCCCGGGCTACCTGCGCCTTTTGCTGCTCCAACTCGTTGCGCTCCTGCTCCATGGCCTTTTGGTCTTGCTCGAGAGCGGCTTGGCGGTCTCGCAAACGGCGCCACTCGAGGCTCTGGAGGATAGTGCTGTTGCTGTTGGTCATGGTGGTTGGTTGGATGCTTGGTTCGAGATGAGTACGAAGATGCGGATGTGGATGTGGGGCAATAGGTAGTGCAATTGGTGCAAGGGTGGGAGTCTCTGTCGAGAGTGATAGGCCATGCAGCTGGGATCTCTGTGCTACTTATACTGTCAGGAACCGCGTGCGTTGGGGGTTATATCCATCAGAATGTCATATTCCGGTGCCGCAATGCATTCTCCCGCTCCCACCAGCCTCGACGTTGCACAGCGCCGGCAGGGCTCGAGGCTTGATACAATGGCGCCAATGGTTCCACGGCGGCTTTGTTGCACAGGGGCATTGTCGCACACACAACGCATGCGTTGTTGACTTGACATGTCCTCACGTCTCATTGTCAGCGTGATATCTATCTCTTTGTCCGATTTTCTTCTTCCAGTCTCTCGTCTTGGCAATACTTTTCAATACGATTCTTCCTTACGTTTCGTCTCCTCAGTCTCCGTCGACCCAGGACTCATTGTCACAGCTCTCCCTCGATCATGGCACCGTCCTCCTCCAATCCCCCGCCTCACCGCAACAATGAGCAGGCAAAGAGCGTCACCTACGCCCCTGAGATCCGCGACCTCGACGACGTTGACGCTCTCCTCGACAGGATGGACGCCATGTCTCTGTCTCCTCGACCAAAAGCATCCCGCAGCAAGGACGCTTATCACTCAAACGCCGGCATGAGCGATCTGGCGGCGGCCAAGCCTTCTCCAGAGAATGAAGGTTCGTGAGCTCCATTCATTCTTTTCTTTCGACGGGCTGCTCACTCTCCATCCAGGCGGCCAGAGGAGTGCTCTCGACCCCAACGAGGCTTACTTGAAAACCACTGGGAAGACGTTCAACTTCACTACTCCAATGTCGCAGCGCACCTCGCCGGGTGAGATGCGAAGCCCACGTATGTATCTGTGCCTCGATGTTGTTCCCCTAGTCATTTGGCGCTGACTCGGTGACGATATCGTATATAGCGCTCAGTCCAAAGCCGACCCTCAAGCTCGAGGAGCAAGGTTCCGCCTTGGGGGAAGAGGGTGGTGAAAAAAAGAAGATGTTGCCGGAGGAGGATTGGGTGTCGCCTGAGAAGCCCACATTGGCCGCTGGTATGTACGCATTCAAGTTGCTCAGCGCTGCCTGACCAATGCCATCGCCCCTTACATGCGTCTTGAGCTGACTTACTCATTCGTTGCCAGTCTCCGCGATCGAAAAAGCCTCAGCTCCGAGCCATGGTGATGACGGTGTGTCCAAGTGGACGTATTCCTTCTCCAGGCCCGAGTCAAGTCCTGCAGGTACGTCCGTGTCAATGGTGTTTGGTGGCGGCTTACATACAATTGAGGCTGACGCAGTCATTCTGTGCGTGTTACCAGCCCTCCCAGGCAAGTTCCCGCATCACGAGCGGTCAGCCACCAGAAAGAGCGAGATCTCACGAATTGGGGGTGCTCAGCTCCCACAGACACCCACCCAGGAGGATTTGCTACACAAGACCCAGACTTTCTCCAAGCCTCACCACGTTTGGCGGCCCGTTGAGTCTGAGGAGAAAATCCCCCTGACGTCCGATCCTGACCGCCAACTCTTCTACCACACCGGAGTCGACAAGTTCGGCAAGCCTGAGGAGAAGGACCCTTTCAAGGCCGAGCAGGACGACCGGCAAGTCCACCCACCTCGTCCCAAGAGCCACTCCCCTCCCCTCCCCTACCCCAACCTCCCACCCTCATCGCCAGCCAAAGACCCCCTTCCTGCCCTTCTGCGGCCAAAACGCCCCTGGGAGCGATCAGCCGACGCCTACGGATCAGTGTCGCCGGTGCAAGACGTCAAGACTGCGCAGAAGGAAGCCGCTCAAGTCGAAGGCAGAGGGCAGACATCACAGGCCCTGGGTGTCGAGGGAAAGCAACTAGAGGCCAGCAAGGGCGAAGAGACGAAGACGGAGGAGGGCGAGGAGGATGGGCAGCCGATCCCCAATGTGTTCCAGAAGATTGGCAGTGCGTTCTCCGGCTCTCCCAACAACTAGTGGGAGAAGAAAGGCGTAGGTCGTGGGGGAGTGGGGAGTGCGAGGAACATGAAGTTCGTTGTGTGAAGTATGCTGTGCGTCTGCTATAAGCCTCAGGCACATATATATCTTTCAGCCACAGACACTCGCCACTATCAGCCCAGCCACACACCCAGTCAACTTTCGACATCCCTTCACTGCTCCATGCTCTCCTCACCCCTTCTACCGCCTCCCTCCCACCCCATCGTCCCCCACCCCGAAAAAAACGTCTTCCGCTTCATACCGCCCGCCAGGGCCCTCCACCGCGCAGCTTCGAACCACCGCCCCCGCGAGCTCCGGCTGAGGCAATGGCATACTCTTCACGCTGCGTCGCACCACAAAGCCCTGCTGATGCTGCGCGCGTCCCGTCCAGCTGCTCGCCGCACGCGCATCGGGAAATCCCAGCTCGTGGTACGGCGGTGATGCAGGCTTGGGCAGGAGGAGTGATATGCTTAGGGCTGAGGGGGCGCTGTTGTTATGGACGGGTGCTCGCGAAAAAGCTGGAGGCGACGGGTCTGCTTGCTGTCGTAAGAGGGTGCGGAATCTCTGGTTGGAGGCGCGGATACTGGTGCTCCGTGCGACACTCGGGGCTGGTGCTGCGAAAGCTCGTTGCGGTGCTGGCGGTGATGTACGAGGCGAGGGCCCGGCTATAGTAGATGCCTCGTGATGGTTGCGTGCCGGTCGATGGCGGCGGTGTTGGTAAGTCGGAGATGCGCTCGTATCACCACCAGCAGCGTGCTGTGCGACCATCACATCCCTCTCCGGTCCCCTTGGGCACCGGAATGATGGCGTTGGAGTATCCATGATGCCCTCCTCTTCGAACAACTTTCGCCAAATCTCGTCAATCTCCTCCGGCAGCTCGGCTCCATCCGCACCCTCAGCTGCGTACGACAAGTTGGCGCTGTGATGTTGTGCGCATGTCCGTGATGGGTATGGAAGAGAAAGATCAGATACGGTACTGGCACCGGCATTGTCGTCGCATACAGTCGATGGGAGCTGGCCAGGATCATGCGGCGAGATTGGAAGCGGAATTGTGGACATCTGGTTCTCAGGCGTGAAGCTGCTTCCCAGTTGGAAGTGCTGGAGAGAAGGACCCTGCGAGAGATCCATGTCGCTTGCCGGATCAGACTGCGAAGGCACAAAAGGCAACGATCCGATCTCTCGCCCGCTTATGGACAACGAGAGGAAGAATGAGTGCGAAAGACCGGAAGCGTTGCCTTGAATCAGGCGAGAAAGAAAGGATGGTTTGGAAATGGGATTTGTGTACTGGCAGGTCCATAATCAAGAAGAAACATCGTCCGCATTGATCACGCCTCACCGTGGTGCATGTAAATACAAACGACAACCCATCTCCAGGTCGACGCAGCCCGCCCGCCCTTCCCGTTGCAAGACAAGACTCCCACCATGCTATCGATATGGGATGGAATGAATGAATGTGAACGAACCCCCTGCACACGGGACGCGGATGCCTGCATGATCGCTCCCAGTTCTTCGGATTCCGGTCAACGGCTGTTCATGCATCATGGCACCACTCAATCTGAATCGCAAAAGCACCATACTCATTCTCCTCCGCTTTCGGTGGTTCTTCTTCTGCACTTCTGCTCCTCTCGACTCGTCACAAGAATAAGCATGCGTGGGTGGGTGATCCGTTAGCATGTTCCCCGTCTGCTGCTGAAAAACCCCCAGTCCGCCTTCTCTCTCCGTTCGGGGCGTTCGAATATCGGGCAGCGGGCACCAGGAGCATCTTTCCAATGAACTGACTGGTTGTCGAAGAAGGAGAAGAAAGACCATGAACCGCAGATAGATGCGAATGAATGGTTTACAAGATGTCTCACATTGAGAATTCCCCCAAAGCCTTTCCTTCTTTCCCAGTCTGGGCGACTGACTCCTATCACCCATTGTGTCTGGCTTGAGATTCGTCAAGTCCTTCGAGGCCATCTCGACAAGAGCTGTGGGCCGTTGCTCAACCCATTATCAAGAAAGGAAGACTTCTTGGACGGGCAGGATGTCTTGTTTTTCGGCGGAGGAGGGATCTAGACGACCACGGGGTACGTATGTGCACCTGGATGGATGGAGGTTGTCATCAAACAAGAAGAAACGATATTCCAATGTCCGTTGCTTCACCGCGGATGGACTGCGAATCGTATGTCTCTAGAAGGTATGCAATGTAGCGGTGTTATGAAGCATAGAGTGTGTTTTGGCCGCCAATAGGGGACTTCGTCTACGTTGCAGTCATCTCGTTATGGAACGCAACTGTATTGTCTCATATCGTGCTGGTCTGATCACGCATTACAAGCTCTGCTTCGATTGAGGGGGAATCTAGGACAAGATCTGTACGAGCGTAGGCAGCGTGGTAAGAAATTGCCCGCGATGAAGGATTGCTGGTCTAGAGGTGGGCCTGAGATGATCAAGTCCTCTTCTTTTTAATCTGATGGCTTGATTGATCCTCACCTTGATCGATACATCTTCCGTGCTAGTCGTACGGAGTGGAAGATCGTTAACGTCCAGGATCTCGCTGTCCTAGCTAAAGATCTTGAAACTCGGTGATTGTATCGTTGTCGAGGCCAATGAGGATGATGAGGTATGATTTGAATAGTATCATGGACTCCTGTCATGGCATTGCCGCTAAGCCTGAGCCCACCAAATCTGAAGCTCAGGTCGGTTATGTTCGATCCCCTAAGGGCAATACATTCTCGCCGGGGATCGATGACGAGAGGCTTGGAAGCTAGGGCATAGCGGTAAGAGCGTTCGTATCGATGTACAAGCACGGCGTCGAGATCTTGTGTTAGAAGACTTGTTCTCGAGTGGTGACAATCAGGGGCATGACGATTTTCATAGAGTTGCCTGCTCGGCAAGTTCAACTAAGATTGCGGAACCAGCCATTGTTGTCTTGATCTTAGGCTTGCTTGACGACCGGCAAGAGAAGTTTCATGCTTGAACTCCATGCTCTCCAGTTGAAACCGCATGGCTCGATCATAGCTAGCGTCGATGGTTTGAGCTGCTCTATCGTTGTTGGAGTTGGACATTTCGATCCTGAGGCTGATGAAAAATTTGTCCTGGAAATGACGAGTTCTCGTGTCCTGGAAATGACGACCACAGATGCCAGAAATCGCAGCAGCTCTGCGAATATCTCCAAAAGAGTGCACGTATATTCAATGGCTGCAGACGGCTGTCTGAATCGGCATAGGTCGTGAGGAGTTGCCTGTGAAGCGGAATGTGTGTAGTCCGGCCCATGTCATCAACGCTACAATTCTGACAATTCTTGTTGAGAAAGACGTTGAGAGTGCTGCTCTCTCTGCAGGCATTCATGTAGCCAAGCTTCCATCGGCCGTGGCCTGATGAAAGTGGTCACTGACAGATCGAATCTCGAAATCAGAGCTGGTCTTGTCTCCTTTTCGAGGTATAACTTGGAGAAGTGCCTGCTTGGGTCGAGGCTCCATAGCGCGTGGATAGCACTCTTCAACGACCAGACAAGGCATTGGGAAGAGTGTGTTCCCTAGAGATCACCTGCTCAACGAGGGTAGTACGATGAGATTGTTTTATGCCAGCTTCCACAGCATCCAAGTCTTCTCAGTTTGAAGGAAGTTGTGTGTCGAAATCCACCAGTCTCCAACTTCTCCATGCCCACAAGAATGTTTGGAAAGGAAGAATCAACTCGTGGATCTCGTTGCCAGCGATCCAGGGTGGAGTCCCAGACTTCCCTCCTCGGCAACAGTCGAGGTCTGAAACTGGACAACATAGCCGTCTTGCCTTCAGATGGCCTGCTCTTCCATTTCAACGACCTGGCATCGCCACACAGAAGATGAGGGTCGGGATTAAGGACTTCGCAACGGTAGATAGTCATAATCCGATACCAGCGACGCCCATTAATGTGTTCTCCATCAGCATCTTCAGAACGTGAGAGGGAAACCCTCGATTTGCGCAGATTGTTCTGCCATTTGAGTCCCAATCGAGGACTTCTGAGTCGAGCGGAAGATTTCAATTGAAGGCCAGGTTCTCGCTCATTGAAGGTGCAACGGATCGCAAAGCCAGCACTGAACGTTGGTATACAGGTTCTATCAAGAGCATTGCAAACCTCTCGGCAAGGGAATGCATCACAGCGTCTGATGTTTTGATCCAAACTTCTGTTTTCGAGACGACAAGCCCGAATGCTACCCCAGTGCAGTCAACGCTGTAAGATGTGACTACATTTGACAGAATCCTGCAACAGCGAGTGCAGGTCTCAACGATTGGGACAGCTGGTCCAGATTTGACACCCATGTAGTTCTCAAAGGAGTCGAGGGATTGCACCTGCACGGGATATCTTGCCTTGTACCGTACTTGCTCGTCGAGAACCACGTTCCAGCCGTTTTGAATACGAGGATACTTTCGAGACGAATACTGAGTCGAACCGGACGATGCAGAAGGGCGCTGAACTGTTCTTGGGCTGCTGGATTTGCTGGAGGTGATGTGCGTTCCAGGAGCAGAGGTGTTGCCGTTAGCATCGTTGAAGTTGTGTTCTTGAACCTGTGGAATACCGGCATGTGATCCCTTACCTGCGACTCTCGTTGATAGTTACTTTGCAGAAGGTATTCGAATAGAATTGAGCTTGACCAGCCACGAGCTTTTGGGTATGCTGTTGGGAAAAGCCCATATATACCTTGTCATATATTCAGCTGAATCACGCCTCGTGATCAGGTCAGTACTCTAGGTCTCAAATATCTTGTGCGCAGCCCGGGGTATTCTCTCGTTTTTGACGAAGTCTTGCCTTTGAGCCGTGAAGAGCATCCGCAGAGCAAGTCTCTCAAAACTGCCCATTCTGTCCCATTGCTGCTCATAACCTCACATCGCTTTCCTCGCAATAGCTGTTGCAAGAGCAAACTCCATCCCCATGAACTGGTCAACGGTGCCTACAGTTCCTCCATGCTAGCAAGTCGTGTCGGTTCGAAGTTTGTTAATCTTGGGCAGCACCTTCCTAGCCGATGTTGCCGTATATCCGACAGCGAATGTGTGGGACGATACCTGCATCGTGACACTTACTATCACTCTCTCGCCAACTTGATCTCCGCATCAATCACTACCGCTGCCTAATTGCTTGCGTACTCATGAAACTTCTTCGTCATGATAATCCATAGATCTCCCCCTGCTCCTAGAAACACCGTCTTCGACGCACGCCGCGCGCCGAGCATCGATTGTTCCTACGATCAGTCTTTGCTTGTACCGTCGTAGCCGGCGTTCTCTTTGTACATTGCCTCTTTGCTGAGCGGGTGCTTTCGCCATTGGCGGGAAGTTGGAAAGGCTTTGTTGTCTCGAGGGTGGTTCTAAGACACCAAGCATTCTCCTCCTCGTCAGGTATATGGTACCTGCCCAGAAGATACATCTAAGGTCACCAAACGCTTATGAGAATGATTCGGTGTCGAGCTGTTCCACATCCTGTTCCAGACTCGGATCCCACATTCTCCACCTTCCAGGACAATGGTGCTGTGACCCTGATATGGACTGGTTTTGAGGGTGCAAGGTGGAAGTGGAAGTGCAGAGGGCGAGCGACGAGTATTGCAGTGGATACTGAAGGCGTTGGTAAGATGGTGAAGGGCTTGGAGCTTGGTAATTGACGGAGATGTTGTTGTCTGGCCCGGTTCATCGGTTTCGAGCAGCTTTGGCTTTGCTGTTGCGTGGATTCTCGGCGCCAGTGGTCGGTATAGATCTGGTTGTAGCTGAAGAATAGAAGGTTGATGCGTTTGCGTTGTTTGACGGGGTACCAGAGGAGGTAGGGTAGTAGGAAGCGCAAGTCCTTGCTACGCTCGAAATAGATTTTCGGGGTCCGCTCGCGTCCCGTGTGGCAGGAGCTAGGGGGAAGAACAGACACAACATAATCAGAGCGTTATTCGCTCCATTCATCTCCATCTTCATCATCACCCATCACAACATCTTCCTATCGCCCGTACCAGCAGCCTCTGCGCCATCATCTGGATGTTCAGGGGAGATTTCTGCTCCTTTGCTGACAACCACCAACTCGGCCGACCAACTTCAACTTCGCCAACCAACTGCAATCTTCCTCCCAGAAACGCTCACACCATCGCCAAACACCGAGCGAAGCCGTACAAGGCTGAGCAGAGTCACGTCCTGGCCACGAAGAAGCTGGACACCCAGACCACGCACCCCGAACGAAGCCGTACAAGGCTCGAGCGGGACTCACTTTCCTCTCGCGGGAAACGCCATCTCTCTTCGATGACTACCCGCAGCTTTGCAAGCAGAGGAAATTGCCAGTTTACATCATCAATGCAAGACCGGTCAGCAAGCACGCCAAGGACCGTGCACCACGTCAAACGCAGAAAGCGACTCCTGCTCGGCCTACTCGTGTTCTCAGTGGATCATGTGATCTCCACGGATACTGCAATCGATTCTTCAAGCAGACAGCACAGCTACTCTACTTTGTCAACGCAAAACCAGTCAGCAAGCACGCCAACACCATATCTCTCGGACAGTTACAATCAGCTCTCCGCGCGGAGATGATAGCCCGTTTGCATTGTCATTACCAAAACAGAGCTCTCGGGCTATCAAACACAACTCTCGAAACCGAGAGGATTGCGAGTTTGCATTGTCAATGCGAAGCCGGCCGGCAAGCAGACCCACGACGCCCTGGATGTGCCGCCAGAGAGGACCGCAGGTCTTCATCGCCAACGCAGAATCGGCCAGAAAGCACGCCAATGACCCAAGAAGACGTCGCACCGCAAGCGCAGAGGACCGCTCGTTTACGCTGCCAAGACAAAACCTGTCACCAAGCACGCCGACGATCCAAGACTACCGGCCTGTGGGCGAGAACAGAGACGCCTGCTGATTTGTATTGTCAAGGCAAAACCGGCCAGCAAGCACGCCAACAGACCAAGCCACACCTTCCGCATTGGGCGTCACTTCAACTCAAATGTCGTTGAAGATGGATGCCAGACCACTGGAGAGGCACACATCCGAGGGCAGTTCATCAAAGAAGCAAACCTTGGAGGAGTATGCACCCGTGGGCAGTTCATCAAAGACGCAAACCTTGGAGAAGCATACAGCCGTGAGCAGTTCATCAGAGAAGCAGACCTTCCAGATCCGTTGGCAGTTCATCAAAGAAGCAGATCTTGCAGAATGGACGTCGAGATGAGTGGAAACATCCGCGGGCAGTTCATCAAAGAAGCAGACCTCGCAAATCCGTGGGCAGTTCATCGAAGAAGCAGAACTCACACCTGTGGGCAGTTCATCAACGCGTGGTTCAGATCTTGGAGACGGACACATCCGTGGGCAGGTCATCAAAGAAGCGGATCTCGGAGACAGATACACCAGCGGGCAGTTCATCAAGGAAGCAGACTTTGCAGGATGGGTGTCGAGATGGCTGGAGACGTGGACATTCGCGGGCAGTTCATCAAAGAAGAACATGTTACAGAATGGGGAATGGCCGTTGTCTGGTCGATTGTCCTGCGGTATGGCTTGTAGGTCCTCGAAGCATTTCCAGAAGTAATACGTTGTCCCAGCGTTTTGAACACTGTAGGTTATGTACTGAAATCGTGATCACACCTCTCGTGGAATTTCATGTTGTCTTGGTAGGAGCTGAAGGGGGTGGGGTTGTTGTCGTGATCTTTGAGCATGCGTATCCAGGGGTTAAGGCAATTAAGGCCGCTTCGTGGGGTCCCAGCTCTCCCAGTCTTTCTCATCGAGACCTGAGGCTTGCGATCTACCCTAGCGGTTATTGTCTTGCCTCCAACATTTCTGCAGTCATCTCTGAATCTTGTGCGAGTGCTCGGCTATCTGCGTGCAGCATCAAGTCGTAGTCCGTTGTTCATGATCGGGGAACGACACTCCGGCGCCGGAGTCTTCAGCTCTCTTGACGAGATTGCAGTAACTGGGAAAGCTCAGGAGATTGAATCGTTAGATAAACGGCCAGGCATATCGAATACATCGAAGAACACACTGACCAAACCGTTGCTGTAACCACTGTTGCGTGAGTGATATGTCATTGTCGTTGGCCCCAGCAGTGCAGAAAGGTGATTCTCGTCTCAAGCAGAGAAAACGTCAGTGCAGTTCTCGAGCCAACGGCTGCAACCGGCCTCGCCGCAAGGAGGTTCAACACATGCCTTGCCGGAAGAGCTTCATCACTTCGTAAGCATTCGTGACGCTCTGCTGATCTTCAATCTTCTCCTTACATCTTTCTCCCTTTAGCTCAGCCAATGTGACTGGTCGATAGCAAGATCGAGATCCCGTGGCTATTACGAACAACAACCGAGTTCTAAGTGGAACTGCGTTGTCAGCGCAGGAAGTGGTCCAGTGTGAGTTGAGGAGGTAGTGTGCGTAGATCTTGTCTCGAATCCGGTTCTCAAAACAGTAAGCCACAAGAGGAATGTGCGTGCGAGATGCGTTCAAGCCCTTGAAGATTCAGCGCATGGCATGCTGATCTCGAATGGACGCTTGAGCTCTGGACTGTACTTCTGCCTCATTGCCAGGGACCACCAGTGGCACTGAAGAGAACCTGTGGATAGCGAAGGTGCTCTAGTCTCCCGAGAAGAAAGAGTACGTCCCGCATACGGAAGCACAGGGTGTTGAATGAAGACGATGGGCTGCCTTGTGCACGGCGTAGAATCAAGACCGCAATCATGACATTGTGGCCGTGGGCTCGATGATTCAACAACATGGATGTCTTGCATAGCCTAGGGCAGAACAGGTCTGAAAGGTTCCGAATTCAGCGGGTCAGCATTCTTGGGTGGAACATTGGGATCCAGGGAATCAGCGAGAGGTTCTGTTGCACCGTCCACGCTGACGATCTGAGCATGACTGCTACCAGCCACGGCACCGGCGTACATCATGAACTGAGCGATGTCGTCGACTACAGCAGTTCCAAGATGTAGTCATTGCCCAGGTCCCAAAAGCACAAGTCGGCTACGGTGTTTCTTTCGATGATCAGGCTTGAGTTTCAGCAAATCATACAATGGCGTCGACAATTCCGGATGCGTATTCTGCAGAAACCATGTGTGTTTTGGCACCTTCTTGGAGTCACCTGCAGCGATTGTACCGGTGGCATCGATACCCACTGGAAGAAGGCGGTAATACCACATCCAGTGCACGAGTCAATAGAATCGCAGGCTCCATCCCCTTTCATCTCGCCAGGAACCTGGATCATGACCCGCCTGCTATCCAAGGCAAAACGCTCTTTGTCCCCGCAAACGCTCTCTACTCGTCATCTTGCAGGATACGCAATGTTTGACGCTCTTCGTTCTTATCCTTTGCCGAAAGCTCGAGTACAATACAGTCCCATCGAGCCCGATTCTGCCTCTTCAAACCAAGCTCGCATTGTCATTGTAGCGGCGAATCAAGTCTGCAGGCTCTCTTTTCGCTTGTCGAGGACAGCCTGAGTCCACAAGTTCGGTTTGCACATAAGGAATGTACGGAGACGTACTGGAAGTCGAGGAGTTCGAGGTAGCTCGACGAGTTCGAAGGGGAGTTGAAGTGATAGGTGGTGAAGTTGAAGAGTTTGTCGTGGATACCAGACATGTACGCACTCCAGTCGAAGGGGAACTTGGTGTTCGACGTTTCGTTCACAAGGCCTGGAGGTTTGGAGTTTTGGGGATGCGGAGGCCATAACTTTGTCATGGACGACTCGACACAGCTTGTGCGAGAGTTGTTGAATAGAAACCCTTCATGCTGAAGTTCCCTTGACCTGATTTTGGCTCGGTTCATGCTCTGCAAATCAACATCCAGGATGGAATCGTCCAAGATCGTGAAAGTTTGAGCTCATCGACGGTATTGAATCTCTCCACGATCCAGTTCCAAGGTATACAGTTGTTTGAGCTACAGACCTCTCAAATCAATCCCTGCCTGGTGAACTCTTTCTCAGTAGGTGTTAGAGACATTCAACCACAATCTGGACTTCATCGTATGCTGGATCCTGGTCGAAGTGACTCGTTCTACTTCAAATCCTGCTTATTGTCGTGAAATCGCCATCAAAGCGAATCGCCTCAAGCGATCATTCTCATCCGCTGTTGTGCGGTCGTTCTACAAGCCACCATCCCTACTGACTACCCTGGTCTGCTGTTGTGCGCTCGTCCTTCTACCCACCACCTAAACTGACCACCCTGGTCTGCTGTTGCGAAGCGAGCGATCGTCCTTCTTGGAGCCACAAGTCTGCCGTTTGCGAGGCGAGCGCTCGTCCTTCTTGGAGCCACAAGTCTGCTGTTTGCGAGGCGAGCGCCTGTCCTTCTTGGAGCCACAAGTCTGTTATTGCGAGGCGAGCGCTTTCTCTCGTCCTTCTCTCCCACCGCCTAGACTAACCACCATTGTGTGTTGCTGCGGTGCGTGTGCGCTCTCTCGGCATTCTTGGGGCCACTTGGGTGATGCTGTGGTGTGCGTGCGAGCGAGGCCGACTGGGGTCACTTTGTGATGCTGTTGTTCGGTGGAAGGGGCCGCCCGTCACTTCCCGCTGCTGTTGTGAGGTGGGGGATCGCTAGTCTCCTCCCTCTGCTCTGCAGTCGAGATCGCCCGCCTGCTCCCTCTGCTCTGCAGTCGAGATCGCCCGCCTGCTCCCTCTGCTCTGATGTACGGATCGTTCGCCTACCGGCTTCACTCTGCAGCGAACATGCGTCGCCATCAGCCGTCCGCCAGCGGTGGGGTACTTGCGAAGACTCCTCCCCCGCCACCCCGCAAGTACACATTGATGGAACATGAAATGCCGCACTCGACAGCCAGCAACACTGCTGTCCATGTATGTGAGCCTTCTCGGCAGTACCATTCTCAAATCATCGAATCAAATGTCTACTCTACAATACCACGTTCGATTTGCCATTCCCTTCTACATCCGGCCATCGGCAGCAGCGTCGTCGTGATCAAAGTAGTGATGGGGTCTGGCTCGATGGTTCCAGACGCCCTGAAGCCTATGAGTGACTCTCACTGATGTGCCCTTTCAAAGTGCGTGAGTGGCAGGTTGGTTTCCATGGATGAGAGAGCACAAGAGGTGAGGTATCGAGCTGGGATAAGGGGACAAGGTTGCGAAACGATTGCTGCCCCAGGCCAGGCAGAGGGACATCACGCCGGTAAATTGGATATCATGTGTAGCAAAAGCGTAGAATACAATTCTCAAACATGTCAGCCTTCACACTTCAGCTCACCTCAAATGCCTACCGAGAAAGCCGGGTCTTGAAGCTCTTACTGCCCGCTGACACTCCAGCTTCCTCAGTACATCCGCTGATCTCCCGAGCCTGACGCTGAATGTGATCTTGTTGTAGATGCTTGGCCAGGATGTTTGGAGGTGGACTCTTTGTTTGGATTCGCGTGGTTGAGGTCGGTTGTTCCATTTCTGCCGCTCAGTAGCTGAGAGTGGAAGATCACGGAATGCTGGGCAATATCTTCGGCGACTGGTCAGGATGGCGTCCACGAGCCTATAGCTGGGGTAACCTCTGCTCAACTCGCACGGAGTAGCTTTGTCGACCTCTTCGTCATCGTTCCTCGTCTCTCTCATCACCTTCTTCTTCTTCATCTTCTTCTTCGGCTGCGTGGCTGCCTTCTTGGCCTCTCGAATGTCGAAACGACTTGAATGTCCATCTTTTGTTGGCTTTTGTTGAACCTTGAATTGGCTTCTTCTCGATCGTGTACACAGCCTATGCGTTGTCATAAATGACTGGTTGCGTGTGCACTTGACCCTCTGGTTCAGGCGTAGCTTCATTCCAATCCCAAGCATCTTGCATCTCGGCGCCAGTCACGGTATTGGGCTGCTTGGACGTTCCCTTGGTCTTTCAGATGTAGACGTGCAACCCATGCCGACCAATGGAATCTCTCTTGATCTTGGGAAGCAACAAGGTCTCGGCCAGAAAATCTCCAAAATCGCAGAACTTGAAGGTGCCTTGTGACCTTCATGGACTCGAAACAGTCCTCATCGAGTTGATAACATAGTTCCTTCGCAAAACGCGAGACTTTGTAAAACTCCTCAAAATCGTCTTTTGCATGCCGTATCCAGATCTCGTAACCAACCCCCACACCCCATGACTCAACAAACACCTGCTCTTGATGATCGGCGATGGTGTAACGGCTTTAACTACCTTTGCCGTGTTGCAAGTCGGCTGGCTGCAAGCACATTGGTCCTCGGAGGGGATAATTCTTCGTCCAACACATGAAGATCGGTCGGTTGTGGAAAACTCTGGTGGAGTTTTCTGGGCAAGCCTGTTGACGCCTTCACAAGGTGGGTGATGGTGTCGTGGAGGCAATCGGGGAAAAGGCAGGTCTGTCGTCAGGCGGTGGTTTTGCGATTCGAGATCAAGGCGATGATGTTGTGGGTGAGAAAAGGGAAAGAGGCGGAGACGGAGGTTGATGAGATCGGGGCCGAAATCGATGTCGCGGAGCTCGGCCCGGGAAGAGACTAGTTTGCCGCGTCAACAACCGCCGACACAACATCATCTTCAGCTTCCTCCTGGTCCTCCAACAACCGCGATGAAGGAACATTCTCCAACCAGCACAGAGCCTCCTTCAATGGAAGTGCACTGGCATGACAGCAGCAAAAGCCCGCCCAAACGCCAGCTGCACCAATTCGATAGGCCTCCGGACTGACTTCTCGCGCGCCAACCACCCCAACTACGCCCATCACGACTCTCTGCCGTATGGAGCATTTCAAATTGGTCGCGCGAGCTTGATGGCACCCCCTCACATATCCTCAGCGACCCCACGACCATGGGCACGCCATTCCCCCCACATGCCATCGAAACTCTCGCCCAGACTCCTGGGCAGCAACGTTGGACGCATGGCATCCACGTTGAGCAGCAAGGCATTGTGAAGGGTTGAGATACGATTTGATATGGAGAATGGGAGACAACGAAGTGGGCCGACATGTTGCGTGGATGGGTGTCTGAGGCACAGGGGAGGAGATGAAGTCGAGGGAGGAGATACCCACGAGGACGACAAGTTGGGTCTCAGAGACTTCGTGATCGGCTGCAGTGGGTAGCGGGGAGCAGAAGTAAGGCCTTTACAGCTTCTGGGCCGCAAAATAAACCTCTCCATATAGCCCGTCCGTTCGATCGCACGCAATCGATTGCCGAACGACGTCTCCTCTATATCGATCGTCCTCCCTCATAATTCATTCCAAATCTATGCGGCCAACTTCTTCGCTATGCCCTCAGATTCTTTCGACGACCGAGAACGATGTGCGCTCAGTTCCGCATGCAAGTCTGCCCAACAGCGCGGAGATGACTTCGTGCTAACAACCATCCGAAAACCTCTTTTGAGTTTCCATCTTGAGGCATGCTCTCAAAGACTGCGGGTGGGAGGTGAATGGTACGATGAACGGCGCTTCTGGAAGATTGTAATAGCTCTCGTGCATATCCGCCATGGCATTCTACGGCCGCCTTCTCATCCAGCTACCCCCAATCCACCAGAATCGCCCTCACGTCAACGAGGTACACCAAGAACGCTGCCCAATCTCTCAGCTCCAAACTTCTTCCTTTCCTTGTCGATCGATTCTCTTCTCGGTTTCGTCTCCTCCCTATCAATCTCGCGATTTCATTCACGCCCCACTGATTTGCAGGACCGACACATTTCCAACTCCAGAGATTCCAGCCACCGATCCCCAACAATACTACGTTTATGGTCTCCTCAATACGCACGCCGCAGCAGAGTAGACGAGTTCAGTGCAGACACCAGGAGTTCCACTCCGCTGTATTGGTATCCGACCATGTCATGCCACTGGAAGCTTGCACTCAAGCCTTGGGATGATGTTCCAAGCTTGCTCCTAGGATCTCCGCCTTGAGTCTGGCGAAGTCCAGCGCATTTGCAGTCAAACAGGTCTTCGTTTGGGGACCTGGGTGCTTCTGACTCAAAAGCAGTCCGCTCTGGCACGGTGGCCTGTGGATGACTGCGGGCGCTCGCTTCGCCAATTCTCGAGAGACGGACCGCAGACTCGACGGAGACGGCATCTATCCTGCGTACGGAAAAGCACTCTAATCTACAGCCTCCACAATCGTGGTAGAAATCAAACCCAACCGGCCGTCTTCGAGATGACATATCTCTGCAAGCACTCATGCCATACTGTCATACACCAACGCTTGACGTGAGAGCTCACTCAAGAGCGGATCATAGCCGCAAACGCCGTTCCCAAACTCCATCCACCTCGGTCAAGCCCCAAAGCGATATCGAGATCGAGCATCCTCTTCTTCGACACCGGGCACGACAACGTCTCCGATGGCGTTGAGGAAAAAAGCTTACATCGGCCTCGTCCAAAGCCCGGCTACTTATGCTATGCAGCACATCGCCGTTGAGGGCTTTGGACAGCCTGTCTTTACGAGGAATCTAAGATGAACACGAGACGTGGTGTCCCGCTCGATGCTACCGTAGATAGTATTAGGGAGGAGTTGCCCACGAGGTCTGGCATGGAGATTCTTGCCTGCCAGACGTCTAGACTTAAGATGCCTCAATCTCACCTACCCCTTCTTTGTAACGCAGCCTTCTATAACTAACCTCGAACCCTCCGAAACTCCCAAGCCTCCCAAACCTTCTTAACAGTTATCTCAATCCTCAAACCTACTTCCCTAACCCTAAACCCAACCTACTAACCTCCTTCCTCCCGTCCCCTAGACCCCTCCAAAACCCTAGACCCTTCCCAATACGAGCCCCTACCCCTCCACCCTATGCCCACCCCTCAACCCCATGCCCACCTACCTACACCCCCCCTTCTACACTCCCCACACCCCAGCGGAGAAAAATCCCGACAACCCGGTCCCCTAAGCAAGGGTCTGCGCCGGAAGGCGGGTACACCCAGTAGCGTTGGGGAGGCTGGGGCAGAGATGGGCCGTTCGTTCGTTCGTTTGGGGGGTGTGTGTGCAGGGGATGGGGATGCAAGGGGTTTGGATGGGTTTGCTTGTTTTGTAAATAGGTAGGTGGGAGAGGAGGGGAATAGGAGGGGAGGGGAGGGGATTGGGAGGTTCGTTTGGGGTGAGGGCAGTAGGAGGGTGTAGTAGGGTGCGAGGGGGACTAGGAGATTAGGAGATTGGATGTTTTGCGCAGGCTGCTGCTGGGGAGATAGGTTGGGGATGTTGAAGTGTTGGAAGGGTTGGGGGTTAAATGCCCCGAAAGCTATAGGCCTGTTCTACATCTTTAAGGGGAATCTCATTACCTATCGCCGTGCCCACAGAACTTTAGTACCTACTCCATAGTCTGTAGACCCGGCGAAGATCCCGCACGCCACGTCTGATTGTACTCGTATCTAAACATCTCCTATTCCTTCCAGCTCCCCTTCCTCGATCTTTAAAGAGCGGTCGGTACGTGAAATTGGAAGGCCCAGTGCTGAAGATCTCGAATTTGCGAGGTTTCCGGTAGGAAGGTGGATCTCGACACGAACGACAATGAAGTGTTTCGCGAGTCCTGTCGATGAGGAATACCCTCGGCGGTGTTTATGGGAAGATGGTTGGAGGAGTGTACGTATTAGTTATGGAGTAACCCCTGCGAACTTGCGAGAAGGTTCCACAGATCGGTGGTCCTTCGACGAGTCGACACTACCGGTCTGCCTCTTCTGCACGACCATGTTGTTTGTGGCACTCTGCGCTTTGCTGGTGTCGCTTCAGGGGTGGGTTGAGGAGATACTACGGGCTTCTGTGCCAGCTCCTCACGTAGGACTGGCGTTTGCGTTTCTCTCGGGATACAGGCTCTTGAAGAGTCTTTGGAGCTGCTCTTCTGGTGTTGTACTCCACGGCATGCATACCACGAACATAGTATGCGGCGGTCGATGCATGGTGCAGGAATTGTTCGATTCAGAACCGGTGGTCATGGGGACAGAGCTGGTGAGCGTTCGTCCGTGATCAGTGAGAACGTGACTGATGACTGGGTGGTTGGGTCTCGCCATGGTCCATGCTATTGTCGGCAGTATGTGGGAGATATTGCCGGACGCTGTGCATGTCCGCGCTGTTATGGTCGGCAATGATCGGCGCCGCCGCTTTGGAGTTCCAGCGGGAAGAATACGCCTCGATTCCACAGAGAGAACAACTTCCGGTTTGTCCAGTCCATATCACATGGTTATACACCTGCCACTCTCCGCCGCCTCCACCCTCACCACATTGAAATCCGCAATCTTGACCCTCTCCATCTTCGACCTCTCCATCTTCAACATATCCTGGCCCCACAACATCGCCATCCACACCACTCCACTGCCTCTCCTCCCTCGACTTCCGCCTCTTCTTGACAAACCCCCCGTCATCACACTCCTGCTCCTCGCCTCCCCTCTTGAAGCCCCGTCGCCGCAGATGTGCTCTCTCAAGCCTGATTTTCTCTTCCTGTTTCTCTTGCGCCTGAGCATGCATTCCCCTCCGCGCATACTCGTCCCGATCAAGCTCCAGCCGGCGAATGCGCTTGGTGTGGGCTTCGGCGGAGAAGTCGTCCGATCCAGGGGTCGTGACGCATTCGGAGTCAGTGTCCGAGCCAGAGGGTGGTTCGTCGGCGTCCAAGTATGTGGCAAGCTGGAGGGCGGTTGCGAAGAGGAGCTGATCGTACAGAGGAAGCTTCTTGGCCATGGCGGTTGAAGGGGTGAGATAGCTTTGTGTTTGGTCCGGGGAGCGGTGTCTGGCGTGCGGGAGCGTGGTTTCGGGGTTGCTGCTGTGGTATCGTGTCTCGCGGTCTCCATGGCGTACTTGGGAGCATCCACCTGCAGAATTCTCAGGGTGGGTGGGCTTGTGCTACATGAGCGCGGTCCAGGTATCGCATGGGGGATGCGCCGCAGGGTGGTGTGTTGGCCATGGCGCGGACGGTGTTGTTGAAGGGCGGAGGGGGAGAAGAGGTGGGGTATTGCGAGGGGATTGCTGGGGAGTTGTGTTGTTCGTCGACGAATCTCGACTTCATCACCACGCCTGACTTTTGGTCGTTCTGTTGAACAGGCGTGGATGAAGTTGGACGTTGCGGGCGCCGTCTCCAGGCACGCTTGCTAGCGGCGGACACTCCCGACGACCTCGAGACGGCAGCACTTCAACCTTTCCCCCTCCTACTTCTATTCGATCAACACCAACAACAACACTTTGCGAAGACGCCCTCAACGTGCATCCATGCCAAACACTTTCCGCGCCATCTATCCTGATCACCGCCATGGAACACTGCCACCGAGGGACAGGAGCACGCAATGCGCCGGATCACAGCGAGGATCCACTCTCGCAAGGCAGCAGAGGGAAGAAACGGGCAATTCGGCACGTGAATGCGCATGGCAGAGTGCTCTCCATCAGGACGACAACGAGGAATCGGTGCGGTCTGGAAAGGAAGGTCCATGGAGAGTGTGCTAAGGAATCAAGAGGGATAAAGGCGGCGACAGGCATAATTGCCGAAGAGTCGTTGTGAGAATGGGGAAATACATGCCTGCGCAACACATGAGAGTCACGGGCGAGTTCAGGGAAAGGTGGGGACGTAGACCCGTGGAGGAGGTTGAGACCAGGCGTCGCAGAGTCTTGTCTCGTCTCGTCAGAAGTCTGGCCGACGTACCACGACCGAGGAGATTTCACGAGGTAGGTTGTGGCAGGCCTGTACACGGCAAGGTGATTTCACTTCCACAACTATCATCGTGCGTCCCATCTCTTTCGCTGGTCATATAACCCAGACGCTCTGCGAGAAATTACTTGCTTCATGTCACCTTTCGTCTCGTCGAATCCCTCCACAGATACTCGCCGTTAATAGCAAAAAAGCAACGGTGTCCTTGAAACACACTTTCCGCATTCCTTCTCCTTCTCGGCACAGACTCTCCCCCCTTCGAAGATAATCTTTTAGATACTGTCTCCAAATCTATACGCTCTACAATCGGCACTTGATCATGCACTTCTAGAACGCAGAGTAATGAGAATGCGGGAGAAGAGACAGAAGGTCATGACTATTCGATTTGTGGATCACTCATCCTCGCCGGATAGCTAGAAGATGCAGACCAGGGTGATGCTCAACGAGTCGAAGGACGGCGTAGATGGTGAGAGGCAGTGCGTTGGTCTGCATCGACATCGGGAACATGATCACCTGCCGGTATTGCCGCGACTGACAGGCCAATTCCAAAAGACAGCACATTTCATACGACTTTCATCGCCGACAGCTTTCACGATTTCATCGCCTGGCGACCGCGGAATGTTGGTATCTACGACAGAACCTGCATTCGCACAGCCCGAAGTCAGGTCAATTCGTTTTGGCATCAGTGTCCATACTCAGCAACATCAGCGGCACTCGTATCGGAACATGGCACTCGAGACAAGACACACGAAGAGACCTAGATACTGTTGGCCGCAGAACTCGGATCTTTCAAGACGCAAAACATGGCAATGACTGCAAGGGACGAAAAGCAAACGCATTGGCCTCCCCACACCTCCGCATCCTAACGCTTTGCGCTCTAGGATCTGACTAGACCTCCTTGAGGTATACATCTCCAGGCCTCTAACTTCCACCTCCCCCAGCAAAGCTCTTCCACAATCTTCGTCTGCGACGCCACCGTCTCACCAGCCAGTACCGACTTCTCGCTCAGCAGCACTGTCTTCAACTTCCCATCACCATACGCTTGCAGCGGTGTATGACTTCATACTACGGAGACGGTCACTACAGCAGTCACAGCACTCTGTAGAGGTTTCACCATTGAACCTGGCGCAGTCTGTGCGTAAAAGAGCGATCTCTCCAAACTTCAGCCCGGAAGAAGTCATCAGCTCATTGAGGATATCTAGGAGCATTGCCGAGACCGCCGTGCACTCGTTAAAGGTGACGTCTCAAGTCGAGGATTTAGGCGTAGGATGTGGATTCCGTCGAAGCGGCTGGTAAATTGATGGGATTCAAGGCTACCCGCATCCCTCCCCTGGTACTTCAAGAGCAACGAGGCTATGCTCTCCGTCTTTGCGGCTCCCGATGCCCTACGCCTCTAGGAACACCACAGCCATGTCGTGAATCCTGAGATAGCAGGAATGGAGTCAAAGTTAGTGCTCGGCCGTCGAACAGGTACAGTCCACTATGTACGACGGGACTTCTGGGAAGAGAAGCTTCGTGGCCGGAAGACTTGTAGATTCTGCACTGCCTTCTTCTCAAGGGTTTGTTGATCTTCAGCTCCAAGACTGCTCATCAACACCTTCCAGGCCGAGACAAATGCCCGCCAGCGATTGCCCCTGGACAAGTTCGTGTTCGATACATCGACGTGATTCACTCACTTGCCGCCCGGCGCCTGTTTCCTCAGGCTGCATCCTGCTTCTTGCCTCCTTCACTTGACCCTCCTCTTCCTTCTCCTCCTCTCCCACCTCGCTACCTTTGCCGATACGTCCGCTACCTTTACTACCTAACACGGCTTCGACGGATGTCGGGCAGGCTGTACAGCATCTCCGTAACTCTCTCGAAGGCTCCTCCGGATGGCTATATAGCTCAGGAGAAACCCTCCAGGCGACAAGATGGGAGAATGTACCCAGATAGCGAATCGAGTACCGACCGGATCAAAACCTCGATCTCCAAACGACTGGAAGAAGTCAAACTCACTTCGCTGCGTACAATATGTTTAGCATCTATCCTGTTTCCCGAAGATAACGGTTCCTCCACAGATGAGACGAGACCACGGACGGAAAGGAGTCGGTTGGTGGGACAAGATGCATAAAGACGGAGTGGATTTCTGTTTGAGCATATGCGGCGGATTGCTCAGGAGCATAAGGTGCTCGAGGTTGTGTGGGAAACGGCGGTCATCGTAAGACGTACGATCTGGAGCTTGGCCACACGGCTTGTGGGTGAGTGATGGATGGACGAGCAGTACGACAATGTCGTATGTGAGGATTCGAGTCGGAAGTCTGCAGTGACACATCCTCCGTATGTCTGGAGACCCTCCCTCGAGGACAATCGGACAGAATCAGTGCGTGTCGGCGTCAATCTTGTCAATCTTGTCTTCGTCGTCAAGATTGAGGGTTGGGGGTTGAGTGTTGGGGATTTGAGTGTTGGGGGTTGAGAGCTGAGAATCGAGAGTCGAGAGTTGAGAGATGAGCGTCAAGGAAGTTCGAGAAGGTTTGGGAGGGGTTGAGGATTTGGATCGAGGGTTGGGGCTTACGGATTGGAGATTGAGGGTTAGGAGTTGGGCCTTAAGAGTCGAGAGTTGAGAAAGGGGGATTGAGAGTTGAGGGTGCGAGGGTCTGAGATTTGCGGATTTGAGAGCTCAGAAGTCAGGCGTTAAGAGACGAGTGTGGAGAAGGTTTGCTAGGTTCGAGACAGCTTGGAAGTTGGGGTTTGAGAGCTGGGGTGTAAGAGTTGTTAACGGTTTGAGAGATTCGGCAGGTTTGAGGGTGTGGGAAAGTAAAGAGGGTTTGAGAGTTAAGGGCTTAGGAGTTGAGATTTGAGAGTTGAGGATGTTTAGAAGATTGGAGAACTTTAATCGTTGGAGGGTAGAGAGTGCGGGAGGGTTGGGAGTAGTGGCGAGGTTTAAGAAGGTTGACATTCGGAGGGAGGTCAGCTAGATGGAGAGAGTTTAAGAGAGACAAGGGTTGGAGAGGGGTTAAAGAATTTGAGAAAACTTAAGATTCGACGGAGACTTAAAAGTTGGATCGAGTTTCAAAGACTTGCGGGTTTAGGGGAGTTGAGGGATCGGGTAAGATAGGAGTTCAGAAGGGATCGGGGTAGTCGTTTTGGGAAAAGGAGTAGGAGGCTTTGGAAAAGGAGTGTAGTATGTGGAGGTGCGGAGGATCGTTCCGCAACAGCGATGACATGGAGACTAACGTTAAAGAGGGTTATGGATGATCTGTTACCAAGAGTGCTCCACCAACATCAGCGGTTTGCGTGCAGCGAAGGCCCTTTATCGACGAGTTTCAAATCGCTGCCAGAACTCCACTCGTCGTAACGAGGAAAGGGATCGGGCAATTCTCCTTCGTCCTAATTCGAGACGCTTTACTATCGTCGTTGTTCCCCTTGACAACGAGGTCCCGAGAGTTGTAAGAGAATGATAGAGACTTCGAACGCCCGCCTATTTCTCTCTCTTGAAAATGTCGTATCAGTCGAGTGGACCAGTGCTCCGCCCGATATCTCCCATCCTCGACCCCCCGTACGTATCTCTCGTGCATCTGGCCTGGGGGTGAGGAATATATGTCTTTGACAGAGAACTCGGTTCTGAAAGTAGGAAACGATGACGAGAATAGCCCGAGTAGACACAAGTTCGTGCTCAGGGATGACATCAGGAGTACTACTAGAGAATCCGCTTACGCAGGTTGTGAAGAGTCGAAGGGCGAAAGGTTGAGCAGCAACATCTTGGGGCGCTAAAATGATCCTGGAAGATGTGAGACTGGGCTTCGCTCTGGGAGAGATGCCGTTTTGACTCCATCCTCGCCGCGCTGAGAGGCGGCGTACTTCGAACTATCGAACTCGCTAGACGATCGTCTTCTTCCTTGCCGATGAGGAGTCCTATCCAACGATGTCCAAAATCGTCTAGTAAAGATTCACGGTGATGCAGATGTCGTAGACGACCTGGACCAATCCAGATCTTATAGAGGCGGGAGCGAAGGAGGTATACTCAGGGGCCGATTTTCAAACGTCGGGCAGAACCGCAGGTGTTTTGAATGATATCCCATGGCAGTACTTTCATCGTTCTTTGGCGAAGACGACAGTATATTCTGCTTGGACATGATGATATGGATCTGGTGTCTGTCTCTGGATCGGCGTGGAGATATGATGTGGCAATGCGGCGGCGATGGATAGCGATGGCCGAATCCATTTCTGAGGACAATCTTTCGAAGCCGACATGGACAAGAGCCGTCAGATCCCAAGGTCGCAGCCGAACACAATTCGCTGGAATCGAGAAAGCCTGCAATATGTCGTTGTGCCCGAGGTAAGTCCTCGAACCATTCAATCCTAATCGATACCCCTTTCCTGCCCCTTTCCCGCTCCTTCTCCATACCCACAACAGTCGCAGCAGTCACAAGCCCGACAGCCCTCGAGGCTCCACTGTACCTCTCTTTCGTCGTGAGAATACACTCATTGTCGATCTTAGGGGAGTCCCCTTGCTCCTCTCGAGAAACCTAGCTACAGCCCCTTTCACAGCGTCTGAACGCCTCCTGATGATCATGATGCATCATCTGCAACGCCTACTCCGTTGATGTAGTCCTGGACCTGGAGCTCTACGAGATCTCTGACAGGTCGAAGAACATGCGATTAAACACAGCGCACTCGACCTCGAGGATGTAAGAGGTTCGAGAGGTTGCTGTCTGCTTATTGGTGAACAGGTTTCGTCATCGAGATGCTGCCTGAAGTCGACGGCCTTCGTGCGAAGGAGCGAGACGTAGATGTTGACGTTGATCGTTCTTCGTGCTAAATGGCGCTGAATCGTGTTGTCTCTACGCTCGTCCAAGTTCCCAACGAGGGAGTTTTATCACTTTTGGGATCTCGTGAAGATATTCGGCGGTAGCTTCTGATGCAATCGAACTGGACGTTCGTGCCAACCAGCGGGGATTGCTCATGCCAACCAAGGTGGATTTGCCAACTGCCATGGTTCATGTATTGGATTTATGATTATTGGAATGTTCGTCGGTAACGAATAACATCACAACGAAAGCATCGAGGCAGCAGATCGTGTGTGCAAAGGCAATTCTCTAGCGTTTGACGAAAAGGGTCAGCAGCGCTAGCGAACGGATCCTGATCTTCAGCCTCGTCTGTCTCTCTGGTCCGCGGCTCGTGCATGTGTTCATCATGGTCTCCCTCAGCGTCTCTCGTGCCAAGATTGTGATCTTCCTCGATGGGATCGTAGCTCCACCGACTGACGCTCTCGCGTTCATGGTACGAGAAGCCTGAGATCGTAGGTTCCAGAGGCAAACTCGTTCTTGAAGCTGATCTCCACGAGCTATATTCCCTTGGGCGTCGTCGCAAAACTTGGTTCGGATCCGAGCCCAGCGGTAGCTGGACCTGAGCGTGGCATTGGTGGTGGCATTTCGAAATGCTGTTCAGGAAAGGGGTTGAGAAGACGCCGAGCAAGTCGAGCATCCCATGTCGCTGCTTGATATGAGGAACGGGCAAATGTCTCTGATTTGGGAGCCTCGTAAAGGTTCTGAAGGCTCTGAGGATCGAAAGGAGCCCATGTCGGTATCTTTTCACCAATTCGAACGAGATGTGCTCGCAATATCCAGGGCTGCGCCGTTGGAAGTTGTCTCGGTGCGAACTTCGACTGCTTGAGGAATGTCAAAGCCGACGAATCGACACGTTGTTCGCGATACCTTGATTCGTTGATTTGCTGACCCTGGGCAATGCTTTGGAAGTCCTCTCCTACCGTATAGCATTTGACACCCGTATAGGGGGGAAACGGAGGCCAGGCTTCGAACGCAAAGATCGATAGTCGATAAAGGAGTTTCTCAGCGCTTCATTCGTAAACAAATGCTGCAGCCCTACGCACGCACGATATTCTAGATCTTTCGAAGCCCAGATTGCTGAGGTATCTCTATGTTGTTGCGGGGAAGTCGAAGAGCAAGTTTCTTTTCGTTCAGGGGTTTGAGACAGGACGCAGCGATGGTATAGCTCAGGCCACGCCGTTGACAAGTTGAACACAATCCGTCGTTCCGCAATCAGCAACCCGTGGAGCTATATGAGTCCAGAATCGACGACAGGAGAACTTGTGGAAGAGAGACGCTTGGGGCGCTCAGACCGGTCTTTAGGGGTCGGACGCGCCAGAGATCTACAGCGATGGAGTACAACATGTTCCAAGTAAGATCACCTCCGGATACATCAAGCTGCAGCGTCGTCCGAGTGCTCAGATACGTGCTCTCCTTGGTGAACAGCAACGTCATGGGCGCTCTGTCGATCGGTAGCAAGTTCGAATCCGACCAAGGCATTCGGGCCGTATCGGTGTTCGTCGAAACGAGCTCCAAGTTGATGAACCACGCCATGGCTCACAGACTCCATCTGGATGTATCCTTGCCTGCCCCTGTAACGTTCCCTGGCGGAAGTAGAATCGGTTTCGGATCCGTCGATGTTGAAGCGATAATCTTGTGGAGGTTGATAAGCCGAGTACTGGAGCTGCGGATGGGAGTCCGTCAGTTCAGCAGCCACGAAAAGGAGTACGCCTAGCAGTACTAGTATAGTAGTTGCTGGTCGATGGTGCAGCCTTCAGAAGGGTTGATCCGCTTCTGTACTTCGACAGGTATATGTTGTAGAGCCTCTGCCAGCCGATGGACATAAAGTGTTTAGTTCAGCGATCTTCGATGCATAATGGGTCCTTCAGACGGGTCCAAATACGCTGAATGCCGCTCAAACGCAGTGCAGTAGACATGGCGAATCACCAGCGGTTTGATGAGCTGGAATACGTACGTCCTGAAAGATGTTTGCTGACGTTGCATCCTCATCAACGTTCACAGTACCCAACAGCCGTCGATTGAAGCCCTCTCAGGCGGTGATGTTGTCTCCCTGATGCTCATCGTGCTCAAGGTGCTCATCTTCTTCAATGTTCAGTCCTCCAGCCGCGGCCTGCTGATCGGGCTCCGTTTCGTTCTCCTCCAGACATGAAGATGTTCTGCATTCATCGCATTCTATCCTGTACTCATCCTCGTACAGATAAGAAGATTGGGCAGAGATTCTAGCCTCTCGGCGATCTGGAGATCAAGCCTCGTGGTTGAGTATGCAAATCGTGGTGACCAATGTCCTCCAGGCGGCCAAGTTCTTGACCTCAAAGATAATGGTCTCTCAATGTCTCATGACGACTGTGCAAGAAACAGCCGTCGAATTCTCCAAACTCTCGATACCATGCGTCATCAAGTATGCTGCGTCTCGCCTTGCAGTCTGCCCGAACGAGGCAGGGAGTCCGACGTCAGGCTGAGATGTCGATAAGATGAATGATATGACCGCCTTGACGTCCTTCAACGACCAACATCGCTTTTCGATTTCATCTTGGCAGTTCTCAGCGATCCAAATCAGTTCTGGCACCATCAAGACCGTTTCGAGCACATTGCCCTCCCCGAACCAAGTCGAAACCCTCTCAAATCCCAGAGATAATGCTTGAGACGACCATGGGCACGATGAGACCTGGTACTTCCTCCAGAGGTGCGTTCCTGTCAGGTGCTAACTTCAAGATCTACCGAGAGGAGTTGAGAACGAGCAGGGAGTACCTTCGAGACCGTCGACGTTCGAGGAGACGGAGTATACGGCGGCACACATCAGGATCTTCGCCGCAAATGAGGCTGCTGAAGACTCTCTCCGGGCGCCTGGCGTAGACTGGGATAGAGATGGTGATGGAAAGTCTTTGGGATTGCAGAACGTGAAAGCTTAATCTTAACCGTGATTATCAGCGTCCGCGCCCCTGGGAATTGCGGTGACTGCTCTCAATTTAGCGGCATTGAGGGAATCTGGCAACTCATGGTCAGTAGAGACCGAGCCCAGCGCTGTCGTGATCAAGGTGCAGCAAGGGAAGGAGTCAGAGGCCTGATATTTGAAGAGGAAGATGTGGCGTAGGCTGCTCTGCAGCTCGCAAAGTAGAGGAGTATATCCGGGATCGTCTCGTTGGAGACGGTAGATACAATGCGCGTGTTGGGGGAGGTGCATCTCCTTCGTATGCTCAAGCAAACACCCACGAAGACCACGAAGTCCGGCTCTTGGAGCGCTCAAGTCTTGTCCTCTCACGATTCTTCTTCAGAACCCCGGAACCATGGCTTCGCCCGCACCTCCTGCCTGTTGCATTGCTGCAAACGCCATTCCAACTCTTCACTGGTCCCTTGCTGCTCAATAGATGGGACGGGGCGGTCGTGGGATTTGGGGCGATGCGATGATTTCCGGCAATGCCTTCCACCACACCTTCCACCTGTTGCATTGCTGCAGACGCCATTCCAACAGACGCCATTCCAACAGACGCCATTCCAACAGACGCCATTCCAACTCGTAGTGGATCCTTTTGCGGCTCGATGGATGGGACGGTGCGGTCGTGCGCCGCCTGGGACGATACGATGATTTCCGACAATTGTCTTGGCTGTACGAGACGAGTTCAAGCTGCTGGCTTGCGAGTGACGATGGTGGACGGCGCTGTTGAAAGTAGAGCGGCGGGTCGAGGCGGTGGCAGGTGTGCAGCGGTGGCGGAGGTTGCCCATGGAAATAGCGCAACGATAGTGACGGAGCAGGTGTTTTTCCGAATGGCGGTGGTGGAGGGTGCTGAATGGGGAGGGTGGAGGAGGGCACCGGGTTTCGAAAGGCGATGTTGCGGAAGTTGCTGGTTTGCAAATGGAGATGGTGGAGCAGGTTGCCGGTCTGCAAATGGGGATGGTGGAGGCTGGTGCTGGTTTGCGAGTGCCGATGGTGGAGAGCGCCGCCGGATGGGCAGCCAGGAGAGTTAGCTGGTTGGTCCTGCCAGTAGTCATACGCTTGTCTCGAAGATCGAGGCATGCGGGTTTGGGAATGGGGATGGTGAAGGAGTCTGCTGGCCTTCAAATGGGAATAGTGGAAGCTGCCTGTTTGCCAATGGTGATGGTGGTGGAGCAGCTGAACGAAGCAACTGTGCCAGCGGCAGCGGCGGCGGAATTGAGGCTCAAGCTGCTGGTTTACGAGTGGTGGATTTGGAGGAGGGTGTCTTTGAAAGTAACGCGGCGACGGTGGTGGCAGAACCTGCGCTGCCGAAGGTGTCTTGGTGTAAAAGCAATGCTCTCGCTGTCGCCCAATTTCATCGCGGTGGAATTCTCCTGTCTCTTGGCCCTGGCCGACCAACTTATGCCTCTTCTGCCAGAGTATGGCTCGCAGCAGCCGGTTATCAGTAGAGGACGTCCTTCCTTCTCACTGCTGGATCCGGCGACGAAGCCATCACGTCGGTGCACGAGGTGATAGAGGCTGGTATGAGAGGTGGGGATCTGGCCCTGGCACATGGCAGCCGGTGGGTGCTGGATTCGCTGCTGGGCGAGGAGCCAAGGGGAAGAGTGGGCGCATGTCGAGGAGAGAGCGGCACCGAGGGGGTCGTCTGGTGAGCCTCGTGGCTCGGTGGATGGGGGACGTTGAGGAGGTTGATGACGCTGGCAGAGAGTCAGAAAGATCAGACACGATGCGCCGGGAGAGATTCACTCACCCTATGCCATCGCCGCGAAATCAGCGCCAGTGCGAGGCCAAGGCTGAGGCCGTCGCCCATGATCATATTCAACCGCTGCCGCCAAGTCATGCTGGATCCGGGACAGGATGCTAGGGTGCTGAGGAGGGAGGATGGCGAAGATGAAGGTGAAGCAGTGGATGGGGAGCGGTTTGGATGGGGAGCTGGTGGGCGAGTGCGGAGAACGGGCGCAGATGCCCCAGAATTGAACAGGGCGGGCTCCATCAGCCGCGAAATTTGGTTGAGATGCGGAAAATATTGATGAAGTCTTCAATCATCCCCAAATACCATCCAGTTACCAATGGCCGACCCACCGCATCCTCGCCATCATCTATCAAGCTCGCTGGGGACATCGCCAGAAGTGACGATGATTGAGGTTGATCGAGGCGGAAACATTCTTGATGAAGGTGAAGCCTGCGGATGAAGGTACGTGGTGTGGATGAAGGTGGAAGATGTTGTTCAAGGTTGATGGCGGTGATGAAGGTTGATGGCCATGACGGGGGTGGACCGTGATCATGGAAGAATATTCATTCATCGTCGCACTCATCGCCAGGGTCGTGGGACCCGCAGCAAACATGTACGGCGATGGTGGTGAGGGACAATCATTGAACCCGAAGGCCAGAACAGTTTCAACCACCCAAACCAACCAGTCAAACTGGCCTCCTTTGAGTCGGAGCGACTTGCGATGCCTTCCCGAAGGTTGGACGATCAGCGAAGATAGGCCAAAGTAAAGGTGAGCAAACTGCAAGTCATGTCAGCAGGTCTTTCTTGGGAGAGGTGAGATGGGGCGTGCGACGTACAGCTCGGCGACAATCAATCTTGCCAGCAATCATGGTCTCGAAGCCGGCGACTCAGGCTTGACCTTGACGCCTTCGACATGGCTTTGTCTCGAAGCCGGTGAATCAGGCTGATCTTGATGCCTTCGACATGGCTGGGTCTTCATGCCTTCGACATGGCCGGGTTCTTGGAGCCTTCGAAATGGCTGAGGTTCTTGGAGCCTTTGAAATGGCTGAGGCATGGTGAAATCTGCTTCAAGTGAGCCTGTCAAGGACCGAAAAACGAGTCAACTTGCCAATCGAAGCCACGGGAGGCTCGTCCAGTCCAGAATGGAAGCTCGAGGTCCAGTCCAGTGCTGTGGTTAGAGGTCAAGAGTGAGAACATCACGACATGGGCAGCGACGTGGGCAACGACGTGGGCAACGACACGAACAGCGACGCGGGCAGCGACATGAGCAACGACATGGACATCACAATGGGCGACGAAGACATACGAAAATCCAGTCCAGTCAACTCCGGTGGAGAGGAGGTTGTCGTCGTCCTCGATGGTCGTTGGCGTCGGGCGCCTCGTGGTTGGGGAAAGGAAGAGGAAGAGAGGGAGAGGTGGGGGAGAAAATGTCGACAGAAGCTGGGGCGACGGCGGTGAGTCATCTGCGCAAGTTTTCTTGCATCATCTCAACGAGAGGTAGAGGAATGGGCAGGCGCTGGACGGTGTGGCAGTTGCAGGTCCGCCGGGGAAGGCGCAGGAGGAAGGGGCTTCACCAACCTCCAATTCTCCCAATCGAACGTATATAATCGCCAGCGTCGCGCAGAATCAAGATGTTCAGATCGACGAGATCAATTCCAACGTGCATAATCACAAATATATGTACTTCATGTGCCTCAGCAATATATATCCGGCCTTGACGAGTGAAGAACATGAGGTTACCCCACCCCGCGACTTCCACCTCAGTTGGCGACTACCCTCCGAGAGAGGCTCCGGTGTGCAGGCAGCAATCTTGGCGGTCTCAGATGCCTTCTCAGGAGGAAATCACAATGCCGCTTCGAATGAGAGACGTATTCGCTGTGCCGTCGTTGCAGTTGGAATTTCGGTACTTTCAGGGTGATTTGCAAGATGTATTCCCTATGATAGCTTTCTTCTATGAGAGACACATTAACATATCCTATATCGCGGTTCTCATCTTTGTCATGCACCTGCACTTGCGTGGTTGATGCCCGACCAAACCCGGCAGGCAGGAGGTGATGTCTCAGAAGGAGTGCACAGGCCACTCGGCTGCACGGTTGGGGAAGGAAGCGGGCACAGCTGGGGTAGGAGTCGGCGCTGGCGTCACTTTCGGCCCGGCTTGGTACGCCGTGATGGCCGGTGGAGATACCGGCGATTAGCGTCGATCACCCCAGTTCTCAACTGATCGCATCTCCGCCTTGTTTCTTGAAGCCCTCAGCGATGCCCTACCTGCTCCATGCAAGTTTCGACGACTCTTCAACCCGCGGCGATGTCTCATCGGCGACCTCATCCCTCCATATCTACAGCATCAGCGCACATCCAAGCTGTGAACACTCAGTCTCGCAACACTCGACGGCAAACAGTCCATGCCAACGGTCCGCATTCACTCACCACGTCTCTGCATCTGGAGAGGCCCAACGTCCCTCCAAGTTCCTCCTCGCCCTAGTAGCCAGCACTGCAAGAAGCGGCCATTCGGTTTCAAAGCTGAGGCAGAGCAACGCAGAAAAGAGGCGCGAGACTGGAGGCGGAGGAGAAATGTGCTGGGCAGCGTCTAGGGGATAAGGGCGGAGAAAGGGGTCGCCAAGGAGACGAAGCTCACGCGAATGCTCAGAAGGTGACGGCAAGGCAGAATGACGAGGCGAAGATCAGCGAAACGCCCTCCAAGTTGGCTGTGAAAGATCCGTTCGACCGTGGGAGAAGGGTCAAGAAGGCTGATGCCCGTATCAAGCAGTCTTTGAGAGCTGGCGAATGCCCTCGATATATCTGGATACTCTCCGACAAGACTCTCCCACAGACGGGCACAGACGCTTCCTCGGCTGAAAGCACGCTATACGATGCAGGCAACAGTGCTGCAACCTCCCTGTTCGAGGACGCGAATCCGAGATGAACAACAGACCCAAGGCAAAGATCAAAGATCAAAGATTGCATCAACATCATAGCCACCGCGCATGCGAGCGAGATCATTGTCGGGAACGCCAGCCAGCTTAACCCGCAGAGCAAGAGCTCCGAGGCGAGAGCTGTTCATACTCCCATCTTCTTTGGGAGCACCGCTTTCAAACTTCGACATGCATCGGCACTTGCTGGAGAGATACGACTGAAAAGCAGCTGGCTTCTGGAAAGGGAAGACTCTTCGTTTTGAGGGCGATGAAGTCTTGATGGTCAGAGGATACGACAAAGAGAGCCAGGTTGCTGAAATACCAGTGCCAGAATGCGAGAGGGAGCATCAATGAGATTGGCTACGGCACAACCATACCATGGCGAAAGAAGATGCTCAAGGCTTCACATCGAGATGTCTTGTCGAGATTGTGAGAAGCAATGTATCTACAGGCTGTAAAAAAAGACTCCATGGTCTCAACAGCAAGCCAGCACTTTGACTCAAGATACTTCAAGACACTCCTCGGTAAACACATCTCGTCCGGATATCTCTCTTCAGCTTTCTCGACGACATCGGCGTACAACCATGCTGCTGAACCTCGATGTCGAGGGAAAGATGTCAGCCCAATAGATCATGCATTGCATTTCATGACTTGAACTCTGAATCTCCATCCATTATGGCACCAGATCCCTCGATGGTTCCCATCATCGGAGGACGTTCATGATTGCTCTACGATGTATACCGACAATCAACACCTGCACCCAAGAGCCAAATGACAGTAGAAGGGTCTTCCTGTTCCTGAGCTCTTAGACTGGCGATTCCACTGCCACAAACCCCCGAGAATGTTCTCTCCACGACTGCGTCTCGTCAGTTCGACTGCCTGCTCCGTGACCACAATCGATAGCGGTATCAATGATGCGTCTGAGTACATCTGGAAGCTACAATCGTACTGCGGTCCATCTGCTGAAGATGTGATTCCAACAAGGCGATGTACTCCGCAGTCGCACTCCTGCACCGCTGCAGCTCTTTTCGTTCCTCGCTTGGTGAAGACCATGCAAGGGACTTCGGGATTTTCAAGCTGCGAAGATGTAACAGTAACCCTTCTACTCGAGCTGCCCAGGTCATGGACTTCGATGATGGGGAATATCCTTCGTTTCGACTCAGCATCCTGGACTTGGTCGTGAGAGACCATCTCCAATGATGATCCGGATGAGGAGGCACGCACGATATTCTGCCCTTTGCTAGAGTGACTGTGCAAGCTGAAGGACATGGCGACTCCATACCTATATCGAAGGAGAGGAAGAGCCAAATGAGGTCAACTCCCAGCGCGATCAAGGTTGCAAACTTTCCAACAAGAAATTCAGAGAGAAAGCATCCAGCTTCCGCTTTTCTTACGATCATACACAGCAAAAGCTCATTTCACTAGCTCGTCTCCATCATCCTTGATCGCACACCTGAAGAAGATCGCCAATCTGAGTGCAGTCCGGCTTTGCGAGCAAACCCCTTCGCAAGGCTCAAATACCAGACACTTGCTGTCTTTCCAGCAGCGTCAATTCCATCCTTCGCAGAATGGTATAAGATTGGCAGCACCATTACAATCAAGTAACTCACAGCTTGACAACAATCCACGTTTCGGACAGATCATGCCAGTCGCCTAGCTTTTACGCTCAACAAGCTCATCTTCATAATGAGGAGAGTGCAACTTCTAGACTGGTTCTTCCAGGATAGCTGGATTTGGACGGGAGACCCGGGAAAGACTGGCATTGAGATGAAGATGATCAAGCCAACGTGGAGATCAAGCGTGCAAGTATTCACACATTGGACGAGTCGATGAGTTGAAGCGATGGCCTCACCGAGCACCATCGTTTTGACGCTGGCGATCTGAGCGGCGTTGAAGAAAGAAAGCCAGATAACGATGCATTGCGGGAATGTGAAACAAGATCTTGGGTTGAGCATCATCAATCAGCTGGACGGCCGACTGCTCGATCTACCCAGGACTGGTTGGCTTCATGATTCTGGTAAACGACCTGATTGACAGGCTTCTGCCGTGTTCCGTGCAGCGCTGAGTCTTGCCGCTGCGTTGGTGTCCAGATGACAAGAATACATGGCTAAACTGGCAGGCTGCATGCTTTTGCTCCCTCTGCGTATTTCGTCCGCAACGTCCAGCTGCTTCGGCAACGCCATATCCAAGACGAATAACTTCGAGACGGACCTCGAGAGATGGCCAGAAGCGAGGCAGCTCGACGACGAGCCAACCAACTAAACCACTGCAGGTGGTGTTGATGATGTGATACGCCATGGGAGTATCTTCTCTTGACTGTCAGTTCGGCTGCTATTGATGTCCACAGCATCAACAGCACTGCACCTCGTCACCACTACCACAGCTCAGGTCATCTCTGCCTCTGCTGATTGAGTATCCAATCAAGTCTGTTCAACGACGAGACTCAGGCAACCAATTCGGGCCTTCGACCACATTTTCCGTTGATCTGGCAAGAGCTCTGAGCCTGTGAGGCATATGAAGTAGCCATTGCGGAGAGATGGAGGGACTCAATAGTTCATGGCTGGTACGCAGGATTGCCGTCTTGAGGTCGTTTGAGCTTCAGTCGAGAGGATCAAACTCCGAGGCATCGAGAGAACAAGATGCCTGATGTGATGACATGTGGTTTGAGTTGACGGTCGAGGGCTGACGCTTAGAAGTTGATGACTACCATCAGTCCTGACTGGTACGGAACTCGCTCTTCCTCATGTTGTTCCTCCATAAGACATTCCTCCTCGGAGTGCCTGCTTCTTTTGTCTTTCATTGCCTCCCGACCGGAGAGTCTTCAAGACTTTGAGTCTGCCGAGCCTCCCTTTTGCTGCGCGAAAAGACGGCATGAGTCAGCAATCCACAACACAGCTGATAATCGGAGCTTGGAGAGGATGACGGGGGCGCAGCTGTCGGAATAGGGTTGAAGCTGCCGTGTCGAGACCACTTAATGTCTGTCTGCTGTAGCAGAACAATCGATACGAAGTGGAAGAGGATGGCTGAGGCTGGCGTTCGAAAGGCAGCTCCTGGATGAATAGTGGATGGAGGCGGATCTGTCATTGCGGAGGGGCGGAGTGGAGTATACGGATGGTGTACTGCCGGGGATTGCACAGTTGGGAAGGAAAGACGCTAGTTCAGGGTCTGGTATCCACAAGCCACGTTGCTGGCACGTGCTGGTGACCCAGGTGGCCCATAACGTCTTCTCACACATGCTCTCAATCTCTCCACGCTCTCACGTACAAATGCAATGGCGGCGCGACAAAGTTCAAATACCAGCGCCAACGACTTCCACATCTCCATCGAGGAGATCATCTTCAGATGAGGCGTCTGCCAATCCACCGTGTCCAAGATATACGCCGACACCTCGCCTTCCTTACTGCGCTCCCCCAATTCAACCTCCAGTGTCAAAGCATCACCGCTCAATACCAGTACCAACGACTTCGACATCTCCATCGAAGAGACCGTCTTCAGATGAGGCATCTGCCAAGCGACGGTCTCAGAGATCTACGCCGACAAGGACAAGGTACATTCACTCTCCAGCTCTGGAGACCAGAGCGTCGCTATCCCGAACGGCGAAGCTTTGGATAGCGGACTGCTCGCACGTCTTCTGCGGCGATCACTTGGACGGTGGTGGTGAGTCCAGCTACCATGGATAGGAGCAAGCTAAGGAGGAGCGTATTCGGTGCTCCATTTCATAGCAAGCACGAGCCTTGCCTTCCTCGCCACGCTACCCCAGCTCTACGTTCAACGTCAACATAATCGCCGCTCAAGCATAGTCGGTTCCATGACATTACTATCGTCGATGACGATCCTGAAGTTAATTACACCACCAACGGAGCAGTGGAGTCGTATCTGCTGCCTGAGGAGAAGAGGACTCTTGCCATCTCTTTCGCTAACTGGAGTTGTACGATGAGATCCTCAGCAAAGTCAAACACAGATCGAGGACAATGTGTAATTTTGGGCCCAAAAGATCAACCTGTTGAGACTATCCCATCTCGAAAACAACAGCGAATCCGACATCTGGTCTCTCGCGGAAGCACGCTCGCCTACAGGTAGTACAGAAAGCACCTTCGATCCCCTGACTGCGCTCAGCAGTGCACGCCATTCGTCAGATATTTGAAGGGCACGAAGACTCGCACATTCAGAGACACATCAACGCACTCTCTTTACCGCTGACATCCTGCGCCGCGGCGCATGCTTCGAGAAGCCTCCGGTCTGTCTCCGTATGATGTCCAGCTTGCGAGAGAGAGATTGCTTGGGGAAGGCAGAGCTCGCTGGCGAGGCGTACCACAAGCAAATCTGGCTATGGAGCTCCAAGCAGCCGCTGCAGGATGCATTCCAAACGGCTGACAACCACCGGGGCTCTGCCATGCGCAAGCCTGCACATCAGGAGACGGAACGAAGTGCTCCTGTTACTATCAGTCTTGCGTTCTGCGCTGCTTGTCTTGAGGAAATGCACGACTGGGCCCGCATGACACAGAACACAGAGATGGGGTATCGAGACAGAGGTGGGGGGCAACGGCTGGGTGGGGGATTAAGTCTTGGAGGTCGCCGCAAACTAGGAGAAACCCGTATCCAGCACGCATGAGAGCCGGAATGCTTCACCTTACTACCGTACGAGATCTTCCAGCCCATGATGGTGAAGGAATTGACAGCGAATATCGCGATCCACCTTTGAAGTGTTTCTGGACTGCCCTCTGACCATCATCGTTTCTCGACGTCCCACTCTCTCGACCATCCCACAACACTTCCTCCTGAGACGTCAAAAGTGAGAGCAGACCCTCACATCACCGCACATGTATCCTCTCGCCGGCACACACGCCTCGTCCCCTTTCGCACCGTGACCTGACTCAGTGACTGTTGAAGGAGCAGTTAAGATGGGACGCTGGAGTGTCCATAAGCGAACGCCAGTGCAAGACGGAGGCAGTACTCAACCTTCATGAATGGACCTTGTGGTGCTTCGAGAGTGGTGTGGAGTAGAGCATCGAGGAAGACCACGGCCATAAGACTCGAAGAAGTTCAAGAATCAGCATACGGATCTGGCATATGCAACAATCAAGGGGCTCGACAGGGGCATCGTAGCAGTCATGCTCCCAAGAGCAATGACTCGTCCGGGCTGATCATTTCATCGATCACAGTGATATAGCGCTTGAAGTCACAAACGTCGTTTATTGTCATCATGCGCAACAGATCCCAGAGCCTCCTCAACTGAGCAGAGTGATGTCTTCCCCCTCATCCCGCTCTCATGAGATAAATCCATGCTTCCTCGCAAGTGTCTCTCATTTCTATTCAGAACTTGCTTGCTAAAGATATCTTCTCCATCAGCATAACCCCAAAAGCCACCACCAACAGGGGGAGAACACAGCGTCTGAGCGTGCGGCTCCATGGTCCAATTCAATCCTCCAAAGCTCCCCGATTCCAGCCAAGCACCTCCCGAGCGCAACAACAACCTCAAATCGCACCATCCCAACGTTGCCTGCTTTCAAGCTTCTGGAACGTACATCTCCTCCCGGAGCGACTCGTCTTGCTCATCTCGAACGGCAAAGATCTAAGGAACATCGAGACGTCAATCGCATGCAGAACCACTTGCTGCAGCTGAAGGGCATGCCTTGTCTTCAATTCGCGGCTTTCTCGATCTGTGTTCCCATTGCCCTCGAATGGCCCAAAACCCCAGCAAATAAAACGCTTTTCTCCGCCTCAGCTCTCAACAAATGCCGTGTGGGTGGGTGCTTCGTCCAAACCATGATGTTCTTTGCAGACCCAAGCAGTGGACCCGTGCTCAGCGACAATGTAGCTGTAGCTACACCAATGCACAAATAGCATTGAACCCTGACCAGAACTTCACGCACCCAAAGGACCGTTCACCGTACCTCATTTGAATAAACATTCGATACCTCTCCATTTATTGTTTACAGCTTCTCACGGTTGCTTCGGGCATCGATCATATGATCTCCTGCACCAAGGCAGGGACAAAGTCCATCATGTCGACCCCATGTTCTCACACGAGACGAGTTCCGTGGAGATATCATGCTCGAGCATGGAATGACAATGATTGGGTGATGAGCTTCGCTGACATTGATTAAAGCTTCCAGCATTCTACGTTGCCCGCAGGAGAGATTAGAAGGGTGTGGGATTGAGATCGAGTCAGCCTGGGACAAATTGGACGGTTGTCCGTATTCGCCACCACGAGGGCCAGTCTGCCGTTCCCCAGGGCGGGGTTCTACCGCACGTTTTCTGCATCTGAG